ATCAAGTATTGGATTGATATTTACACACAACCACAATTACAACCACAATTACAACCACAATTGCAATCAGCACAGTCTGAATATTAGACATTTGAACATCACGTATCGAGTTGTGGATAAATGCGAGTTGGCATATTGGACTGTTTTTGTAGTTTATTAATGATTTGATTCACGACTGTTTGAATTCAAGGCTCAATATGGATTACAACTGGATTGTCGTTGTTTCCATTTGGGATGACAAATCTGTCAATGTGTTGAGTGATTGCTAGTTCATTGTCCAATCCATCGATCAGTAATTGTCCAAATAAGTTGTATCCGAGTCGAGTTGTCAATCAGGATACCATAACCTGACATCCAAACGATTATTCAAACGATTGTTGAAACCATCAATGATTGCCAGAATAAGCTTTACGACTCGACTACAATAACCACCACAATCATGATCAGGTTAGTATGTTGATCCGTTTACAAAGTTCCAATACTGCAACAGATTCAACATACTCTTGAAAGTGCTGCACACCACATGGATCCAGCAAACCCACTGATGAATTGAACCAATCAATTGACCAATGACATGACTCGATATTGGACATCGAGTTGCACACAGTTGGTAAAAAGTCACCGACATGTCCAGATAGTCAAACCTTGACTACAGGTTGATATCATCACCCAACACACCAAATACAACACATAATCTGGACGACTACTGGATCATATTGTGGATATCAATCAACGGAGCTACTGGTTCCAAACAACCATGTACAGTCATGTACAGTCATTACAGGACAATATAATACATTTCGGAATAGGATGTTGTAATCAACACGAGTGGAGTTGTGCAATAGACTTGTCATGGTTTACAATGGTTTGATATGAACATGATGACTCGGACTCTATTCAGTCGCATCAACTCGACTACAATTGGTCGTGTATATTATGATTGACACGATCAATTGTAGTTGAACTCGAATACAGATTGACTGTTGAATCACAATGCGTGGTATCAGCAACATGATGTGCTATATAGTGGAATGTATACGCTAATATGACATGTGTCATGTAGTGTGTATTCGATCAATATGAGTATTAGCAATCAACAAGCCATACGATGTTTGTGTTCGAGTGATGGAATAGAATACAATGTGTGCATCAATCCAGAATACGAGTCAACCATGACATATGATCATAATGTGTGGTTGATACAACTATAGTGACAATCGATGTTGATATAGTAGCACACAACATGAAATGCCAACACAACAGTTGCAAGTCACTGATCATCAATGTGACATTGTGGTTGCAACATGAACTGCATTGTATTGATTCAGTTGATTGATTGAATTGCTGGACAATGTGCAGTGATGATTGATTGTGTCGAGTTGAATGCAGAGCATTACTAAACCACAGCATGTTTGAATCATGTCAACCACTTGCCATTTTGAAAGGCATAAAATATTACAACACATTGGTAATCAGCTAATAGCTGAATGTCAAAGTCATTACATATAGCTATGTAATACTATTCTGAATATGTACCCGACTGTGTTTTGATTCACCAGCCGTTTTTAGTGTATAAAAAAGTGAAACTGCATAATCAACTACCCATACGATACCTGAATACACAAACAGCGGTTTAATCAAGATTACAAACCCTCATAAAGGAATGTCCCTTTAAAGTTTAAAATTGATAACAACACTAGTCCCTTAGGGCGGTCATTCAAAAAGCACACTAATACTACCCATCCAACAATAGATATAAATACAATCTAAACCCAACGTGTTGAACGACAATCGTTCACAACTTGCTTAAGCAAATCAGTAAAATGAAATTATCAATCGCTGTATTGGCATCAGTTTTAGTCGCTTGCTCGGTTACTACAGCCAATCCAATTCTTCCCAGTTCGACTACAAATGCTGAGTATAGCACTTCAACCGGCATTCCCAGTTCGACTACAAATGCTGAATATAGCACCTCAACGGACATTCCCAGTTCGACTGCGAGTACTGAATTTAGCCCTTCGCCAACCCCTAATGAAAGCGGCATAGGGTTACATGGTCTTGTTTTACTTTCAGTTAAAGTCAAGGACATGCTCGATGAATACTTGAAAAAGCAAAATAACTATTCTAAGCAAAAAGAATCATGTGACTTGATAGGATCTCGATTTCTTGAACAACAGAAATTGGTAAAGAATCTGGAGAAAAAGGTTCGAAATTTTAAATTAAGACTTGAAAGTAGTGATGGCAGTCCAAGACATGGTCGTAATAGTAAAATGGAGGGGCGTGAGGTTAATCTTGAAAGCCAATATTCCAAATACTTGAAGCTTGAAAGACAAAAGGAAAAATGCGATCTTGAGAGTGGTCGTCTTAAGGATGAACTGGAGTTAATAAAAATATTATTCGTGGAGCTCGTTTTCGGAAGACCTTACGATCTCGATTCGTTTGAGGATCAATTTTTGCTTATCCTTTCACATCCTACCGTTGATTATTACCTCGAGAATTCATGTGATAAAGAACGACCATCATCGGAAATGCCGTCTAAATCTGGTTCCAATAAGTGGAAGAGCTCCAAACTTGTGGATAGATTTAAATCATTTTTCGGATGATTCTATAAAGATTCATCCAACTGATTTGAATGCTAATCTGGACTGGTCTCGGCCGATTCAATTGTCATTCTACAACTGCATTTATAATTTAGCTTACAATAAAGTTGGATTTTCATGGACGAATGCTGATCATTGTACTGTTTTATTTGGCATATTTGTGTTTGACATTGATCGACAATCATTAATATTATCAGTACATTCACACATTATACAGTCAAAAATAAGACCCAATCACGGTACTCAGCCAGATCCTGTTCAGTGTTTGCAGTCACTGCAGTGGTGACTGGACCAAACTCATGATTGCTGAAAACATGGCAAGATCACCACATCAATCAACCAGTACCGTTTACTCAATCACCCAATGCATTCGTGACAAATGTAAGGTGCTTTCGATTGATCCAGACAGTGCATCTGCGTCTGATGCAACTCGACTGGTATATATAGTTGGATCTGTGTGCATGCGATTGATCAACAGCGATTTGTCAGTGTACACGCAGACCAACAATTTGCGTGGTATCAGTCCAATCCAAACTACTGGCAGGGCAACTCGAGGTAATATGAACTCGATTGGAAACGTTGATTTTTTCATATCGATGGACGAGATGCGACAAACAGTCAAATACCTCATCATGCAAGTTGTATCCTTGAAAACTGATATGGCCGCTGTGACTAGCGCATTTGGTCAGTTGCAGAGTCAAACCAATGACATTGTTGTCATGATGACCAAACACGACAATGTCATTCGATCATTACTGGAGCATATTTTGGTCAAACTGGACTCTGGTTGCTCACCAACACCTGTAGTTGTTATACCAGTTGCGGTATTCGAAACCATTTCCACGACTGTAAACACCATCGCAACAGTGACTGTGTTTTGTCCATAAAGTCAATCCAAGTTGTTTATATGCGACAACAGTACGTTGCACACACACGCATACTGTCGATACGGAATGCCAAGCAACAATCGACTTATTCCGTAATCGTGCAATTGTTGACATAAATGCCATTGCGGTCAATGCTGTATCGACTGGTGTCGAACCTTGAATGAATGCTGCAACTCGCATTTGTTTATTGCGTTTTGCATCGAATTCAATGTGCACACTCAATAAACTTTGTGGTATTCTGGTCACATTTCGTATCAATCTGCAACGGATTACCAACATGCATACAATCAACAACACGATCAGATTATTAGTGGATCAATCTATTGCTGTCAAACTTGTAGTCATGACCCAACTCGGTACAAATCAAGTCAAATTTGATCCAGAAACTCCAATAAAAAACATCAACCCGACCACTGAGCTGTCTGCTCGTTGACGGTTTGCTGGTTATGTGGGTTTATTGTTGATGGGTAAGCGTGTAAACTGTCGTACACGCAATTTATACTGCGAGTTGATGGTCAAGTCTGACAATCTGCATTCATGAACTTGTGTGCAAGCAGTGTTTTGTTGGATCTCAAACATCCTGCAACTCGCGCAGTTGTTTGCACAGTTGCTCGCCTATCAATCCAACTGGATCTGCAACTCTGTCAAGCAAATCCGTAGTCCAACCTGCTGATGTTGATGTGACTACAATAAACACGAAACTCACCGAAATAACACTTGCTGATCTGACAGGTCAATGAGTGACACTCTAACCATTAATACCAAATAAACAACGTTTTGAATCAACAATCAACTGTCATGACAATGGGTAACATTCGTGGTCATTTGGCATCCATTTCAAACCATCACATCAAACACATTTCCAAAATCGATTGCTGGACAACTCAACTCGGTGCACGAGTCCGCATTACTGTGTCAGAGTCATGTTCCGCACACACTATCCATCAACTCTGTCACCAATCATCCGTACAACAACTGACACATACACAAAAACTGTCAACGCAGGCATCCAACGACATCCTCACTGTGTGTTCCACCACTTCCTAATTGTTGTCAAATATTGTCAGTCAATGTGTCAAACATTGCCAGCAAACACTCACTACTTTGACATATATTCAGCCAAACCGACTATGTGGATTATCCGAGACTTGCATTGCAACGGACAGTTTCAAGCACACAGTGTGTGGTTTCAATGTATTGCAACACTCGGCAACTGTTCCCGAACATCGAGACACCATTCGGTATTGACAAATGGTTTGGATTTGCAAAATGACTGTTTATGGCACCATAATTGTCGCAAACATTCCAAACTTTACACCTGAATGTGTTTGGACTGTTGGCTGTGTACATTGGACACTCGGCTGCATGCGACTATCAAACGCGAAATGTCTTGTCTGCCATTCAACATGTCCTGTCAGCAGTTATTCGGTTTGACGATCACTCATCCGTGCTACTGTTTGCAGATTGGAACACTGAATATGTGTCATTACAACACATCATACACGCACGAATACTGCGTTTGACTGTCATGCAGTATGTTGGCAATACTCCGACAGTAACATCACTCGAGTGAGCAGGACTGCATGTCATTGACACTCTATCAATCACTTTGTGTGTGACGAGACTGAACAAACACTTGTATAATCTGCTCGTGTAGACATGAACATTGCGGTTGTTGATGATGTGTCATTTACACTTGCATCCGCACTAATACACATGCACCAACTCATTCAGTCCATTCCACTCATCCAACTGACATATCACAACTCTGCATATATGCCTATGATCGGATTGCAATGTTCACGATTGGTGGAATATATGCAGCGTTTGATGGATCATACACGGACACACACGAGCTATGTATTCAGTTATTGGATACTGCCAATGCAACAGTGAATGACTGTCAACTGCACGCACATGCACATACTGCTCGGCTACATAAACGTCGACTGTATCGCTCAACCAAACGGACGATTTGACATGGTAACACTGGAATATCGATGTACATTACAGCAAGTATCCGTGACAATCACAATGAACTCTGTCGCATCCAACTAGGTGCATTCTGGGACAAACACAATGCAACAATCCAGCGACTTGAATGCGCCAATGAATATATGATCTGGATCAAGTTTGCTGACACACCTGACCGGACAGTATTGATGATCGTTTTGATATGACATTTGCAGCAGCTCGAGTCATGTCTGGTGGTGCAACACACACAACATCCATCACTCCATTCCATTCCATTATACGATGTGATGCCAATCGTATCATTCAGTATAGCAGTGATAATATTTTTGGCATACCGAGTAATCACTACTTGCATCTTGCTATGGACGATAGTGGACATTTACTTGACTTGCAGTAATGGCAGTACTGGCATATACGTGATCCACTTCCACCATACAAACTGTTTCCAATTCGTGACGATGCCACTGATCTCGACTCGGATATACCTTGAAATCGACTAGTTGATGCAATACAGCAGCTGGTTCACACCAGACACCCGAAAAACAACAGGATATTGGTCACATTCTACCGAGTCGCATTATATACACCAAATGATACACCTGATGAACCACCCAATCCATTTGCTCGTTCTGCTGCACATAGTTCAGTCAATATGTTGACGACCATTATGCAACCTGATGGCAGTCTGCATACACTGTACCGATTGTACTGACTGCATATATCGACAAGAATAACGGTGATCACATTGATACAAACGACAAACACGGTATTACACTGATTGATGTGTCATAAACTGGTATGCAAGGTCTTGCAAACACAAATTGATGGATCGTGGTGTTCAACAAACTCGTCACCACTGAGCATGGTTGATTTCAAACCAAACAAGTGTGTTGTGCTGGTTGTTTCACTAGTCGATATTGTTCAACGATGACAGTGCGTGTAGCCCAATGCTATTGTTATGTTGATTGACATTCAAAATGCATTCGACACTGTCACGGTTGGTGCCTTGATATGATAACTGCAACATATGTGATCGACACCACGCACACTGGTCTTGTTAACAGCGCTGCACACATGCTCATCAGCTCGTGCTCAGACTGGATCATTGGTTTCTGATCCATTTCCATTTGAGCATGGAGTCCAGTGGTGATATCCACTGTCGGATTGCTGTCCAACGTGTTCATCAACAACATACACGATGATATCAACCGATTGTCATTGCATGAGTATCGTGTAAATCACCACCAATGTGAGGGTTCATGTATGCTGACAATATCGTGATATTTGCCGACTCTGATCAATCACTCCAGTTGGCATCTGATGTACTTGCACGATGAATGGAACAATGCCAAACAAGTTTTGGTGTAGTCAAATGCAACATACTCAGTTTCCGTGGTCACAGCACTTTGATTCCGAATTACCAATTGATATGATGCTACACGAACAACAGATTCGTCGTGTTCAACACTACAAATATCTGGATATTGTATTGCACAACCACTGTATCACACCATGCGACTGGACTATAATCAGGTTGCTGTATGCAATAGCATGTTGGTTTTGTCCAGTTCTTGCAAACCACCAACTCACAATCAACTTTCAGACACGAATATTCTTGGCAGTCAGTCTATTAATGATCATGTATGCACTGGATCTGGTTGGTGGTTGGTGATGACTTGACTTGCATATACAGTCAACAGTCAACAACGGTGTGCAACACATATTGAATGCATGCAAATCCATGACTGTCAATTCCTTGTTGTTGAAATGGGTTCAGATCACCATCAGCTCACTCACTCGTTGCACCGATGCAATTGCATGATCAACCTGACACCAACCAAACCACATTTGAATATATATGTTCCAGTCATGTGCATGGTGTATCGATTGTCAACTCACAATGTCAACTCCAACACATTCCACCATGATTATGGTCACATCACACCATGCTGATGTATGTCGATCGGTATCACATTGCAAATGGCTGTCATCCAATGACTGCAATGCAATACCGTGCATGTATTGTGACTGATATGCTGTGCCCATCAGCAAGTGTGCAACTGTCACTCGATATATTGACTCTGATATCCAACAACATGCTGTGTTTACCGTGATCAGGTTTTTGATCAATCTTGGACTCATGATACATGATTTGTCATGTTGAATCGTGTGGATGTGTCATGGACTGCAATTTAGTTGCAGACACACATATGTTTGACATTGACCGATGCATACTGTGCAACGACTGATCAGTGCGTGTGTAATCGCACACTTGGTGGTATTGTGCATTATAGTTGTTTGACAATGGATGGATGCTGGATTAGTCGGTTATATGCAACCTGTTTGAATCGACCTATTTGGACAAACACTCGATGTAACTGACAACAATTTGTATATATGGCTGTTGGATCAGTCGAGTTTCTGTTGGTAGTGTACCGGTGGTAACAAACACTGTTTTGACACCATCACCACAACAATCATACAGCAGTTGACCAATACACTTGCAACACCACCAGTATATGCTTGTACGATTACAGCCTGTTCACATGAGATCATTTCATATCTCAATACCCGAGTTTATTTTAAATAAATTCATTCAAAAAATAACTGTAAATCAACAAATAAACCAACAATTCAATCCAGCCAACACTGTTTTATACACTAGTTTAATCTGTCAATCTTGGTTGGTATTATTATTGATTATATTGTGGTTTGTTTCATCCAAGCACAAAGGCTCGGTTATACAGTCAAATATTACATTTGTCAATGCTCATTATCTTGTATTGGATCCCATTTGTCGTCAGTATACTGGATTGAACTAATCACTTGGTAGATCAGCATGTGCAATATATCAATAAGCAACGTGTACAACAACAGAGTATAAAAGTTGTTTCAGTCGATAGTAATCCAGTGTTATACAGCATACATGATTATTCATGAATGTTGACATGACTCAAGAGTATGGTGTCCACGACATTGGTAATGCAATCAAAGATACAATAGTTATTCAGGTTTAGGGGTAGCTAATCAAGCCATGCATAGTGTAGATCTTGATGCTGCATAATCATTTAAAATGGGGTCTTTTTAAGCTGTATTCGACACTTGGATTCATGCTGGTGTCCAGTTATGATCTGAGCATTGGCTGCCTTATACTTGCCAATTTGAAACAACCGGGAATCAGAGTCAAACTGTTCAACATATTGCGCAAAGGAAACCTAATACATGCCAGACAGTTTGTGGATCCATTTTGCTTTCGAGTCAATACATGTTATACAATGGCTGTTTTAAACACCATTATTGCCATCCAAACACATTGCTCACAAACAGCAAATCAATCGTATGATAACCCTGACCAAACAGAACTCATAGGGTTGGCACTCATCAACCCAAAATAACATATCTAGCCAAGTAACCAGTTCAAAAAATACAAACCAAACAGCAGAATTGAGCAAGATACTTGACAACCATTTACTAAAAAACAAATTATGATGATTGGATAGTGTATGGATAAATACAGCACATTTTGTTACGTTCAATTATTCGACATAACTGGCATACGACATACACAGCCATGGTGGTATACAAGCAATCCATTAGCATGCAAGCCGGACAATTGTAATAATTGACATGTTCATTAAATGGGTTTATGCAATCACCACGTGTTAGACCCTAAATTAAATGAGCATAAATTATTGGCAATGCTGCAGCCGACAAGTGATTATCTATTGACAAGCCAATATGTTCTGTATATTTGATATATGGACTGGCATAATTCACAAATGTCAATACACCATTAATCATCATATTGATTGAACTGGATTCACAGCAGTTTGAGTTGGATGTTGTGTTGGATAGTAAAATACAATTAACATGGCATGTGTGGCAATGGATAAATTGGCTAATCTACAAATTCGTTGCTTTATCTACCCTGAATATATACCTCGATCCAGTTAATCTTGCTCGATATCAAGCATTTTAGTAAGAACAATGCAAAGCATATAGATGCAAAAATACCAAGCATTAGTATTGCCAGTCAAGACCATCAAGGTATAAAAATGAGTCGTCAGCCACTATCAAACATCATCAGACTGCTACAAATCAACAACTCAATCCGTATAGTATTGATACGCTTGCCAAATACAGTTCAATAGTATACTGCAGCCACGATGAAATTTTCACTGCTAGCCATTGCTTCTGTTGCGTTCGTTGTCAATGCTCAAGGAAATAAATCTGGTATGCAAATCTGTTGATCAGTCTATTTTATGTTGGGTTTGTCAATGTTTGAATTGTGCAATCGTTCAAAACTGTACTAATTGACGTACATTATAGAATCCATGCCTACATGGGCCTTTATCAAGGAACACCGTGACGCTGGCAGATTTGTTTTTATGCCATACACTGACGAACAACGAAACGTCGTGCTGACCAATGTTGAAAATAGTTTGAAAGCATGGTCCAACTATGAATCTAAAATCAAACACTATGGTGAGCGTGCCGATCCCTTCCCGATCATCAAGAAACTGCGTGCAAAACTGGATGCATCTAATCTTACTGACACTGAGATGCAGACTGAACTCATGAATGCTTTTGTTCGCATGCGTGACTATCATACTTATTTTGAGCCATCTGGACCACATGCCTGTTTTTTTGCCACAACTGGTCTTTCTTTCAGATTTATCGAGGGCGATGCAGATATGATCAACAAACCAACCGTTGTTTTTGAAAGATTTCAAAGCGATCAAGGTTTGCGTGCTTTTTTTGGAAAGGACTATGACCAGATCAAAGTTGGCGACGAATTACTTCTTGTTGATGGTATGACGTTTGTTGACTATCGGAACTTGAACCAGGACAAAACAGGTGGTGCCAATGATTATGGTGGCCAGCATGGTGCTTTTGAATACATGACGTTTCGTTCTGGTACTTATACTTCTTTTCCAGAAACTGATACGATCAAATATCGGTTCAAATCAAAAGATACTGGAAAAGTGTACGACATTGAAGCTCCGTGGGTGGTTGGTTTTAGTTCATCATGCTGGAGTATGACTAGCCAATTGTATGCCAAAATTTCTGGAAAAACTCTACCTGGAACACCTCAGCCTGCCGACACGAACAGTATAATTGACGCTGGCGTTGATACCGGAGCCAAACGTCAGTTCAAAACTTGGAAAGAAATCATAAATCCATCGATGATATCCAAGTACCATCATAAAAAGCAAAAAATTGATCAGATTTTACTTGAACAGCCATTAAAAAATAGTGGTCTCGAGTACCAAAACGCCGGCGTGTCGACTATCAGTTGGGGAATCTGGAAACCCGAATCCAAAAATCTTGGTATTATTAGATTGGATGATTTTTCGCCAACAAACCTTAAAACTGATGCACCAGCAGATACAGAGGCTGTTCGTGAAATCCACAAACTCCTCAGTACTGTACTCAAAAACACCAATGCTATTATATTTGATCTCCGTGCAAATTCAGGTGGTAGTGGCGAGTTTGCCAATGCCATTCCACAACTTTTCAAACCTGATTTTCAACCGATGCCAATGAGATACTTGATGAGTTCTGTCGCATACAACACTCTGGTTAATGGCACGTACTTTTTTGACACTTCTAATCCAGCATGGTACAAGACTCCACCTGGTAGCAAGTATTCTATTGATCATGACAGAACTTCGTATAATCAGTCAAACTTGTATGGCCAAGCCTATCTCAAACCTGTTGGTATATTCACTGATGCTGTATGTTACTCAGCATGCGATCTGTTTTCAGCGTCTATTCAGTCGTCCGAAACTGGCCATGTTTTTGGCGAAGATGGAACAACTGGAGGTGGTGGTGCTGACATGTTTTCGCTCGATCCACATTTCCTTTTGTTCAATCGTGTTGATTTTAAGCCAATGTCATACGCTAAAGAACTGGCTGACACGGCAGCTGGCCGAAGTCGCACCAACACTGTTTCAGTTGGAGCTCGACAGATTGTACGTAATGGAAAACAAAAAGGTCAGCTGGTTGAAGATATTGGTGCCATAACCGAATATATTGTACGTCCCCGTTTGACGGATATACTTCCTGGATCCACTGAAAATTCTCAATTTGACCGTATTGCCGATCAGCTCAAAACACTGGGTGTCAGAACTGGACTGAACAATCTTCACTTTGTTTCTGAACTTATCGATTATGACACCACTAGCGGTGACGTGACCATTGATGTAGAAGTTCAAGGAATCAATCAACTGTCGGTTATTGATGACACTGGCAAATCACTTTCAGTTGCCAAGTTTAAAAGCAACATAAAAAGTCAACACTCGTTCAAACTGGCATCTGTAATCAACGATCTTGGTAATACTCGGGTCAGTATCATTGGCCAAAACAACGGCAAACAGGTTCTCAAAACACATAAGCATATCAGTCGCACTCCACAACAACAAGACCATTTTAAACTTGAACATGGTGTCAAATGGAAGTTTAATGGTACCAGTAAATCGGTTGGAATATACAACTCGCCATTTACCAAAAAATCACAGGGATGGAACTCGGTCAATGGTAAATGGGTTGTTGGCGACGGAGTACAATACAGTCCTGCAATAGAGACTGAGATCCGATCATACTATACTGCACCAGTTGGATCCAACATCACTGTTGAAATTGATATTGCACTTGAATCACAGTTTTATAGCGACTTTTTAGGACTGTATATTGTATATGCGGATGGCAATGTGGAATCGCTTTTGAATACGCTTGGTCCAGATGGTAATATAATTACAAATAGTATTTCTGGATCCGAAGCAATTGTCAAAAAGTTCCCAGTGACAACCAAGACGAAACAGTTTTTTGTTAATCTCGTATTCAAGTCAGATGTTGCTACGCAGATGAAAGGAGCAACAATCAATTCTTGGAGTGTTATCATGAATTGAAATGGGTTGTAAATGTTGTCAAACACATCATTGATTGCATCACCAGGCTATGTTTGAATGAATACAATGTTTGCATAACTATCCTATACACTATTGTTTAAATTTATTTCAATCAACACATGTAAACCTTTTATTTAGTTGAGTGAAATATGCAAGTTTCAAACCATTTTTTAAATTGGACTGGTTTTGTCATGGATGGAATATTGCAACTGTTTTTAAACTTGTCAGATTTTTGTATTTTCTGGTGTTTTAGACATTGGAATGAAAGTTGATATTGGATATTTACCATACCAATCAGAGTTGTCATGGTTGTTTAATGAAACTCGGTACAGATCTGGATAAAACCGCATTTAGACCTGCATTTTCAATGGTCTGATGCAACATGAAATCATTCGAATTGATAATGGTCATTGCACTATTGTCTTGTTCTTGTTCTTGGACTCTTTCACTGGTTTTTTAGCTTTCATACCCGATCTCGAGTTGATTACTTGATTCGCATTTAGTTGATGATTTCAACTGGTATTTAAAACTATGGTTTGATTGACAGCATCAAAGCAGTTGAGCCAAACATGTATACTGCAATGGATGAGTTTGGTGATTGCACAATGTATGGTCATGCCACATGTGCACAAAGTGTAGATTCAACACTATAGTCTGATTGTGTGTCATATGATGGTTGTTGTATATCAAACACGCAATGCAGTCAATGTGTAGTAGCAACCAACCGAACATGCAAGTCATTGATCATCAATGTGATATTGTGATTGCAACATGAACTGCATTGTATTGATTCAGTTGATTGATTAAATTACTGGACAATATGTAGTGATGACTGACCGTGTCGAGTTGAATGGAAAACATCACCAAACCACATGTTTGAATCATGTCAACCACAACACATATTGATGATCATCCAACAACTGAATATCAGCTCAGTTGCATATAGTTTTGTTTAAACATGCATTTGTTCATATTTGACACACTAACCCTTTTAGGGTGGATAAGGGTGTAGTACACAATAAGCTATACGATACTCGAATGCATAGTCAAGCAACGGTCCAACCAATACTGCGGTTGTTATATAAATGGATATCCCTTCAAAGTCGGATATTAATGTCAAATCACCATTAACCCTGGCAACACAAATCCCTAAAACGGTCATCCAATATGCTTTTAATATTATCCATCCAATAATGGATATAAATACAGTTCAAACCCCGACTTGTTGAATGACATTACAATCTGCTCAACCAAACCAATACAATGAAACTCGCAGTCACAGTATTGGCATCAATCTTGTTTGCTTGCTCGGTTACTACAGCCAAACCAGTCAATCCCAGTGCAACTACAAGTGCTGAAGCTAGCACTTCAACCGTCATCCCAACTGCAACTGAAAGTACTAAATCTAAGCATCGGGTACTTTCTTATGAAGGATCTGAATTTTCAGTTGATCTTAGTAAACTCTCAAAGGATGATGTGAAGTTGATCCAAGAATACCTACAAACGGATCAAGAATATGAAGAGATAAAGAAAGCGTGTGACTCGGCCAAATCTGAAGAGCTCAATCAAAAAGAATTGTTAAAACGCCTGGATGGAGAGAGTTACGAGCTGTCACTAAAATATTCGAATAACGAGGATGATCCAGTGTATCAAGAAGAGAAAGAAATAATTAATCAGAAGTTTGATGAAGAGGACGAAATATTCTTCAGCCTTCAACAAAAGCGTCGGAAACTCGATAAAAATCTTTATCACGCTGGCTTGTTGCTTCATATAGCCAGAAAAGAACTTGCAGAGCTCCTGTTCCAAAATGGTCCAAGTACAGCATCACTGGATTCTTACAGGATATCTCTGGAATTAGATCGCAATTTTGCTGAAAGTATCTACCAATCTTTTATTCTCCGACTAAACAAACAGTCGGGATCGGAGTAAGCCTCTACTAGTGGAACCCAGAACAAATCAAAACATCATAAAAGTCCATCATCATCAAGCAAAACGTCTACAGATCAACCCACTCAAACATCATCCAGTACACAAAAAGCTTCCAAATCTTCCAAATCCCATTCTCGTTCTCGTTTATGGAAAACTTCCAAATCCAAGAATGAGCGCAAATCATTTTCGAGTCCACCCAGTTCTGAAGATTCAGATGAATCACCCGTTTGATTTGATTGCTAATCTGAACTGGTTTCGACTGACTCGATTGTGTTTTTATTTGAATAAAATACGATATGATACAATATGATTACCATTTGATATTTGATATTGGATATTGGATTTGCATGCATTGTATCTGATTATTGTACACAGTTCTGGTTGGCATGATATCATATTGTACATTGACATTTGTATTTCCAATATAATACAATACAGTTGATTGTATATTGCATAGTTGTACACATTGATGATGCTGACATGCATGTGTGTATTGTGTCGATATGATATTGCTTGTCAATATGACATGACATGCAATACCAACAATAGTCATGTGTGTTGATATCAGATCCGACCAATTTGACTCGTTGATTGTGGTGTCAAATGGTTGCATCAATAGCCTGACTGATCACACACATCAGTCGCAGTATCAACTTTGTCGTGTATCAAGTATCACATGTTGAATATACAATGCCAACAATATGGTCATTATGCACATGTTGATGTATGCAGTGATCGTATACTGGTCGATTGATGCAATATGATCACACACTAATGGAATGTGATAAGCATGGTATTTGCAGCAGTATACCACATTGCACTGTTGATATTGCACATCCAGTGTCGACATGATCATGCAGATATACAGTGATGAATTCAAACAATGCATACCATGACTGATACACTTTGAATAAAAGATTCGAGTCATTATATGAATGACGTAATCAATTGAGTTGAGTTGACACTCGATTGAACAATACAAATGAACACATGACAAATGTTTAAACACTATTCAAAGTGTGTGAATTTGAATACACAATATTAAATTTTGGATTTAAAGTCGGATTTTTTCATTACATTTATTTTTATTCTTTTCTTTTACAAACTACAATGGAAAACATACCATTTTACATTCAATACCTCAACAACCAACCGGTGGAAATAGAAACCCACTTCAATGGTGAACTAGAAAGAAAAAGGCCATTTGACAGTGTTTCGAAACTAACTACAGCTTACAAGACTGCTACCACTCCCCTCCTTGACACTATTCCTGTTGATGAACTCCATCCATTATGTGGTGGATGGAGTGGAGACCAACTACAACTCCTGGGACCCCATTGCTGCTCTTGGAACAAATGGGACTGTTGGGTCCAATCCACTCATCATCAAGTCCAGCAGTCGTATGGCTGGTCAAACTCAAGGTATTGTACTTTTATGAAATTAACCATATTATGGATAGTCAAACTCATTATTGTATTTTCATCAACAATAGACACTGCCATGGATGTCGATTATTCTCTAGAGGTCGTTTACAAAAATCTTCATCAACTGATAAGCTTGGATGAAAACAAAACTGTTTTCTCCACTCAAGACTCGATGGACATTGCTTTGGACCAATGCATTCTAAACCTTGATGTCCAAGGTATTAATGGAGTTCCCAATTTCCTGTACTCGGAAAAGATATATTCCGACGAAAAGGAAATTGGGATCGAAATGCCGGTCGACAGGCTGTGCAAGGTCAAAGGCAGAAGCATTGCCATGATCGGTGTCAGTGGATGCGGAAAGACAAGAATCTGCTACGATCTATGTCGACGTAGTTGGGGACTGTATTTCGACTGCTCGATTGATTCTGATTTCACTGCGATGATTGAGAAGTTGGCACAGTTGGCACCTGCCAAAAAGACGGACAAGAATCAATCAGTCTTTGAATACCACTCTAAAAGACTGATCCAGTGTTTGATTTCTGCTCGTGTTTTTGTTTTGAAAACACTCCATGAAACAAATCCCGATCTCAAGCCTTTTACATGGCTATGCATTCAAAAAAGTAGACGAACTGGTGGGCTTTTTTGTAGAGTATTCGACCATCTATCTAAGCTTCCTTGGTCTGCGTTTGGTAACGTCTATCAACAGTTGAAATCATGGTTCCTAAAAGACGGTTGTGTTATATTTGACGAATCGCAGCATATGCTAAGTCTTTTAAAGTCGGACTATCGTTCAACAACAATCCATCAACACTGCTGGACAATTTGATTTTCCTCGGTCGCTGTTTTCGTTTTTGACCAGGACTATTATCCAAGATGGCTTCAAGAATATATGGTGCGGAACACAAATGCGAATCTGCACCATGGACTTGATATACTCTGCTGCTGGACTCAAACCAGATAATATATTGATATTCACCGACTTCAACTACTTGAAACCATCTGATATTTTCAAACTACTATCGATGTGTCAAAGAATATTGACCTTCAAGAAATCTCACAGTCTCTTCAAGGTCGTCCAAGACTTTTTGTTTCATTTTTACACAAACTGATTGATTCGACTGACATCAATGATTGTTATTGCGGCTATATACAGGAAATGACGACAAAATCTGGCATGTATTCGCCCCATTCATCATTTTACTGTTTCTGGGAGGACCGAATTGACCGGGTTATCGAATCCATTGAAAAGGCTAACTCTTGTCCCGTTAAAATCAAATCGGTATCGGAGATACTTGTCAAATTGTGTATTTCGTTTTTGTTTGGTGATGGCTCGAGTATGTCGTATTCGCCAGAGCTTGATTTGGTTCAAACAGGTCTTGTAATGGTTTCAAAAGTGATTGACGGATGGCACGCTAGAATGACAGAACCCATTGTTCTTACTGCAGGATTAAACTATTTGGCAGACCAAGAGACTCCAGTATTAATGGACTACTTTGCCAATCAGCTGTTTTCACCTGTAGGAGTACCAAGCTTGTCACGTTCAGAATGGGGACATATGATGGAGTATGTAATTGCTCTCCGATTCATACAAGGCTGGTGGTTACAACCTGAGCTGAGAAAATATCTACCTCGATGGGCTATAGATTTGAATATCAAAAAACCTACTGGGATGGTTGATTGTCGCACCAATGAATCGAATGTCAATAGGTTTTTACAACAGCTTGATGAAGCCGACTTTCCGCATATTGTTTTTCCACCGGCCAATGCTGGACCTGATTTGCGATACTCGGTTTTCAGCTGCAATATCAAAACGACATCAACGCAAAACTCCGATTCAGCAATGTACGTTGGCGTTAATGAATGCAGGAAGAATATTGAAACAATGGATCCTAAAAATTGGTACAAGTCGCAGATCCCAGTCCAAGATCAATGCAGAGTGAAAATCAATGGGTTACGATTTATTCATATGCGATTTGAATTGCCATATACAGCGCCATCAATGAAATCTGGTTTCAAAAGTGGTGAGGACGGAGACAATTACATAATATGTGTCGATCTGGATTCTGATTTTGCGACTCATTTTTTGGTGATTCTTTTGTGGACCAGTACAAACGGTTTATCAAATCTCAGTTACCGAATAAATAAAATGTGCATTGGCTTACATTATTGTCATTTAAAACATAATATTGTGAATTTAGGACATGAATTTGTCAATGATTGTCAACTTCATGTATACATATTGATGTGGAGTGAACCAGCAACATGCAGTATTGCTGTGTGAACAAGGTGTATATCCTGATTGAACTACCAACAATGGCTATTGTACACATAGTCACTCAATATCCTGCCAATTGTGATTGTGATTGTATTCCACATCCAATTCTAGATTGTAATCAGTCACAATTGCTGTGTTTGATCAAGTAATGGTTTGCATTGATCATGATACCATACATCACGATATTGCCAGATCACTGCACACAAGCCATGATCAATACAAATGCATTACTGATTGACATTGATTGACACCATAAATGCAGTCAGACAGCACAATACTGTTGGGATTGAGAGTTCTAGTGTTTCAAGCATAGTGCTGACACCATTGTGGCAACCATTATCATTAGTGTAAAAGCTATATGATGTAAAACGACATACACCATATCAACTATAATATGATCAATGATATATTTTATCGCATAAATAACCAGTTTTGTTACTATATATATTCAGTCCATAATTTGTATGTCATTATTAACAGCAATGACTTACATTTAAACTTTACCATTTTCACACTTAGATGCCCAAACTTGCAAAGCAGACCGAGCTGAAAAAGGCTCGTGGGTCTGTCAAGCGGGTCAAGCCGGAGCAGGTCTCCAAGTTGGTCAAGCAGACCAAGCCAAAAAATACTTGGTCTGCTAAAGTAGCACCAACCTTGCAAGACGTTGCAAAGTTGGAGTTACTTAACCAACAGCGAGACCTGCGAGCGGCGCGGCGGCGCAACACGAGCAGTGCTCCTGTCATTGATACTTGTATCAAGGAGCGATCTTCCAAAAACGGAAGATCAACTGCGAGGTTGACGCAGATCAACCCCATCCTTCGCGAAATCCAAAGCGGAGATGGGTGATCTAAACTTTGAACTTGAAGCTTTTGGAAGGAAGCTTCAATTCCACCTCCACCACTATATACCCTTCCATTATACCCTATTGATACCCAACTAATACCTGTTAAAAATACCCACTAATACCTTTTAAATATCTTTTAAAAATACCCTATTCCAATACCCACTAATACCTTTTAAACAAAACCATTAAATTGTTTTATAAAATCACTTTGAATTTAAAAAAGCTTGGTTTAAACACTCATTTGCCACATGGTGTTTAGTTTCCATTTTGTTGATTCTACCGTCGTGTTTCCACAACTTTAGACTGTTTGTGGTTCAATCTTGTTGTATCTGCATGTCTATTGGATTGTGTTGATGAATGTGTAGATTTCAAATTTACTTTGGTTATAGTGTATTGTTTAGAGTAGTTTAGTACATTGATGTGATATTTTCCGCACATTCATGTTGGGTTGCATCTGGATGGTTAGTCAATTCAATGCATTAGAGCATCTCAAAATACACAATAGTATGCATGCAAGCCATCAACCAATGCAAATGTATTTATTACAAATATGGTGCATCAAACACAAATTCAAGTAGACTCTAAAACGTCATGTGTAGAGTGCGGTACACTTCAGATACCAAATCAAGTGAACCACAAATAGCAACAATGCAATCGGTGTTACTAGATGTGATAACGTTCCACGCATCTGCAAAACTGTCAAAGCATTGTGATGGCGTATCGCCTTGAATCAGTGTATTGGCCACATGTGCAATAATACGAGTATCCTTTGAATGAATCCAAAGCATATCAAGTGGTTGTGCAAATGGAACGACAAACACGATTTTGGGTTGAACAAGGCATGAAAGTAAATTATGGATATCTATTCCATTAGTAAATTCAACAATCCAGTAAACATGTGCAAGTAACGCTATTGCATTTTGTTGATGGTTGACCTAGTCTGCACGAACTACAGCAACCAATGGGTTGTGTGCACCATCAAGCAAAATACGCCGATTTGTAGGTGGATCTGAAATAGGTAGATCTAGATGCTGAATTCATTACATTCTACCAGGACATGTTACAGAATCAACCCCATTGATTGTATCAAATACATATTTCAGACAGCAATCCAACATTTTTAAAACACCCATTGAACTGTAATGTATCATGTGGTGGTACCAATACATATCTTGGTATGCTCAACCCAACAGACATAGCAAGTGTTGTTTAACTCGACAGTCATTCAGTATTATCACACATGAAACCTGTTGGCCAGCCATTAGACCATCACGTTGGGTTGATGTTGTGCTCTCATGTGTATCGATCGGTTGATTTTAAACAGCTTTGAATAGTTTCTAAACTTTGAATATAATTTGTATTGTCGTCAGATATAATTCGCACTATTCACGCAAAACGAAACATTTTTAATTATTATTTTGCTTTGGATGATCAATAGTTAGTTATTTGCAGTGTTCTATACTACACATCAACTTTATCAATATACATTGTTAATCCTTCAATAAACACAACGTTTGTCGTATGATGTACACAATCAAACCATCGGTTTGAACTGGAGTAATCTCATCATTTGACATGGCCATACATTGTACAATGACCAAATTGATGCATTGCAATCCAAATATTGGTTTGATTGTTGCCAAATCTATACAAACTTTGTATTTTAATCGGATACATTCGCGCTCCAGTTCAACATATTTTAGGGATGCAACTCTACATGCCAATCACCAAACAGTATCAATCAACTAAACAGTGTATATGGCACAATGCCAACCAATAAACTGACGCCAATCATTTCATGAGACTGGCTGTTTGTTATACACACACTCTTATTTAGTGTTGCATTTTATGTGAATACGACTGTAATACGACACATCTAATCCAACTAAATTATCATACATTGCACTTGGATTTCCAATCAATTTATTACGACTTTTAATGATGATGACCATGGCGACTACCTGTAGCAGGTTGATCAACACGCACTTGATTCTGTGCAGTCAATTCTTGTTGGGTTGTATTTGGAGTTTTAGATTCCTCAATTTCTCTTGTCCACATTCCATAATACGTTCCCACACCGTTCTCGACTGACACGATTGAATCCACACTATGCTTCAAGGTTTCACCAACATGAATCAATTCTTCATGTGTACCACGTTCAACCACTTGCCCATTTTTGATCACCAGAATCTGATCTGCGTCTACAATGGTGCTAAGTCGATGTGCAACGACTAACATTGTCATTTTTCCTTGTGATCGAAGAAGATGTAACGATTCTTGAACCTGTCTTTCAGTTTGGTTGTCTAGTGCCGAAGTGGCTTCATCCAGTAGCATAATGCATGGGTGTTTAAGCATCGTACGAGCAATGGCCACACGTTGTTTTTCTCCACCACTGAGTCGCAAACCTCGTTCACCGACCTTGGTGTCATACCCTAATTGAATTTAAATCGTTGGCAATCGGTATTTTAAAAATCAATTCAAAATTGTATACCTTTGGGAAAAGACAAGATGCGATCGTGAATTTGAGCGGCTTTGGCGGCTGCAAACACCTCTTCATCTGTCGCATCAATTTTTCCATATCGAATATTGTACAAAATCGTGTCATTAAAGAGCACCGTATCCTACACAATAAACGTGAGCAAAAAAGCATGGTCTGGTTGACTACACCATTTCAATCTATCAATACCTGAGGAACAACACCGATTTGCTGACGAAGTGAGACTTGAGTGACATGGCGAATATCTTGACCATCAATGCAGATAGATCCTTGTTTTACATCATCGAATCTAAACAACAGCTGTGTCATTGATGTGAGTCAAGGATTTGATGTACGGATGTACAACTGGTATTAGCCATGTTGAAACTTACGCGAAGAACGGTGCTCTTTCCACCTCCAGAAGGACCAACAAGAGCAACAGTTTTTCCAAATGGAACGGAAAACGACACATTGTTAAGAATTGGAGTATCTGCAGTGTATGCATACGAGACGTTTTCTAACATTACATTGGTCATTTAGTAGAATGTTTAAACCCAAACCAAAGTTGAATACAAAACACGTACTGAATTCAACAGCACCTCCATGTGAAACATCCAACACAGTAGCATTAGCAGAGTCTTCGACAGCCTGATCAATATCAAACAATTCGAGCATTTTTTCCATATCGATAAAGTTTTGCTGAATGACACGGTAGTAGGTTCCAAACCAGTTCAAGGGTTGATAGAGTTGAAGCAGGTATGCAATGAATGCAACAAAATCACCTACACTCAATGCACCATCAACCACTCTGCCAGCACAGACCATCAAGCCAGCAAACAAACCCAAAGTAATGACGATATTTTGTGCAGTGTTGAGTAGATTGAGACTGGCATTGGATCTCCAGTCTGCATTTTGATACATTCTGATTGCTTGATCGTATTCATTGACTTCCCATGCTTCGTTGCCAAAGTATTTGACGGTTTCAAAGTTGAGAAGAGAGTCGACAGCGCGAGCACGCGATGCACCATCCAAATCATTCATTTCACGACGAAACTGAGTTCGCCATTCTGTGATCCAGATGGTGACAGCAATATACAGTACCATGGTTACCAAGACAATGATGGCAATAGACATTTCAAATGTAAAAGCAAAGTAAATAACAGCAAGACCGATATCGACAAAGACAGGGAAAATGTTGAAAATGATGTAAGAGAGAAGTGAGCTGATTGAGGTTGTGCCACGATCTACGACTCGTAAAAGATCGCCAGTTTTTCGAGAAATGTGAAATTGTAAGGATAAAGAGTGAAGATGAGCAAGCATCTTTACACTTGTTTGACGGGATGTAGATTGCCCAACAGGAATCCATAAAAGTGATTGAAGGGACATTAACAGACCCACGTTTCCTTGTAAAAATCTGAAAAATGTATAAAGCAGAACCAGTCCCCATGCAAAGTATGGATGATCAGAGACTTGGTTTGCAAGACCATCAGGGATAAAGTTGTGAGATTCTGTTGAAAGAGTAAGTGCATTGACCAAACGCTTGTAGGTTTCGGGAACAAGGATATTAACAACACGACCAAGAATAAGCAGAGTAAAGCAAACCACAACTAAAAAGCGCAAGTAAGTTTCTTGTGGCCAAAGAAAAGGAAACAGTTTACGTAGTCGACCAATGAGTTCAAACCATCCACGTTGTTTAGGCAGTTGAGTAGAGTGAACGACAGGTTCCAGTTTAGGCTGTCTGTAAACAAGTGCGATTCCCAACAACAAGGCGACAAGTAAAAGACGACCAATAAATATGCACAAAGTAGCAACATCAATACCATGGTTGAGGGGAGAGTCTAAATATTTAATAAGTGAATTAGATTTGAATTCACTTGGTAATCAGAATGGTATTGTACGCGAACAAGACACAACTCACCGCTAGAAGGTGCAATGAGAAAAGCGACCCAGTTGTAAGCACGAACAAGTTCCAATCCAAAGGCAATAGCCCAAAAATGAATTAAAAACGCAGGCGATAGATTTGCACAAGAGATTCCAGCGGACTCGGAACGAGATTCGAGAGATCTGTAATCACACGTAGAAGCAAAGAACAAGGAAACAGTAGCGATTAACCAAGAAAAAGCCAACAAGACATCAGCGAGAGTGCGAGCAGATTTGTGATTTGAAATGACGGAGATGGAGTCAGGGTGAGTGATTGCATAAAAATCGATCAACATATCAGCAATGACGAATAAAAAGACGATAAGAACAAGAGCTCTAGTGATGGGCCAGAGGGTTAATGACTGATATTTATGGATTGCGACCATTTGAATTATGAAATTGAATGAGATTAACAGTTGTCATGTAATGTTTGAGTTTAAACCAAAAGATTAAAGACGATTAGAAAACCATCAAAACATGAACATCAAGGGTTAATAATACCTGAACAGAAGGTCTGATATTTGAAGACAGTAAAGGGTCTTGTTCAGAGAGACCAAGTTGATTAGCAGTAGTAATCATATCATCCGAATGAGCAGTATTATGAAGAGTAGAATGTTCATCATGAATTGATGATTCATGATGATCAATGTCTGTAACAGTCTTGACAGCCTTGAGTAACTTGATAATCCAAATAGAAACAAAGATGGCAATAAAGCATAACAGTAAACTAGAAACAACTAAATCCAACATACAAGGAGAGAATCTCCATGCATGCAAGAATGGACCAGAACAAAAGGCTCGCTTATCGCTTGTCATTCAAATTCAAATTCAACTCGAATAAACTGTCAATCTTGTAACTAAAATTATAATTTAAAAACTTGACAGTTGAACGTAATAATCTAAAAACGTATTCAAACTATTGATTACAACTATTGATTCCAACTATTGATTACAACTATCAATTCCATCTTCAATTCCAACTATCAATTCCATCTTCAATTCCATCTTCAATTATCGTATAGAATTATAATTTAAAACTTTTTAATTCTAGAAATCAACTTGACGTGAATACAATTAATTCTTGGATTATGAATCCATTCTCTATTGATGACTCGGAAGAACACACTATCAATCCTTTCTCAGTTGGTTTAGAAGATCATACTGTTAATCCATTTGCTGATCCTGCTATTTCAAACTCTCTAGAACAACACTCTCACGACACTAGAGTGTCTTTTGTTCCAGATGTTCAAAATACTGCCTTTCATGAATCAGAAAGAACAGTCGATCCACAACTGGCTGCAAGAGAACAACAACTTCTTCAGAGAGAACAAGAACTTGCTGAGAGAGAACAGGAATTCAGGCGTCAACAGGATCAACTACGTCTTCATGGAGCTTATCCTCCCAACTGGCCATCCTTTTATCCTCTCATTCGTCATAATATTGATGTCGATATTCCTGAAGAACATCAATCCACTATACGCATGATATACAAATACTGGATGGCTGTGGTTGGATTACTGACTATTAATATGATAGTCATGTTGATCATTCTATTCTCGCATCCTTCTAATATGGATTATCTGCCTGGTGATTTCGGTGTAGCTCTGGTTTATTGCAAGTATTCTCACTACAACCGATTGCATTCTACATTCACTAATCATTTCTACACGTGTATCTATTAGTGGTCTTTATCTCTGCTGCTTCATTCATCACATGGTATTTGCCCATCTATATGGCTTACATGAAAAACAGCTCTTTATATTCATGCAAGTACATGACTGGCTCAAATTAATCTTTTTCTAAATACTAACTTTAATATTGTGTAAAGATATATTCTTGGTATTCAATGGATTCCACATTCTTTTTGCATGTTATATGGCTGTAGGAATTCCTAGATCAGGTGCGTGTGGTATGATTACAGTTTTGGCAGTATTTGCCGATGGAAAAGTACTTGCAGGGGTCTTTGCATGTTTAGCTTTTGCTGGATGGGTTGCTAGTGCCATATACTCGATCTATTTGTGGAGACTAGTAAACGATTATAACAAAACATCAGGACACACATTTGAGGGTGCACGAGATGAAGCTGTTTCAGTTGGAGTTCAAAGTGGAGTTGCAGAACGGATTGCTCGACAACAGTATTCAAGGGCTTAATAAAGGAATATTCTGAGGGTACGATCAACACGGGTCAAACTATTCGATTAATTCAATAGATTTTAAATAGTTTATAACACAATTCAATGTCAAAAATTACTTGTAAATTCCGACGCGAGAGAGTTGATTTACAAGTATTTCAATGTGAATACAATTGTAAAACCTTTTATTCAAACTATTCAAACAATTTTATTCATTAAAAGAATAGTTTTGAGTTTATATTCAAGACTCGTTTATATTGACAGTAAAACTCGGAGTATTCATGAAAGACTTGATTCCAGCATCTGTTCTGGTATTGGGTGCTACTGGAATGACTGGTAGAAAGGTTGATTCACTTCATATTCCAACTGTCGTCATGATTGGTTTTGTCATGGTATCACCAATTCAAACTAAATCCTGTCACTATAGTTAGTAGGTCATTTACTAGCATCTAGTCATGTTGGAACAGTTCATATTGTTGGTCGTCGTAGTGCTGGAGAAGAAGAGCGCAAGGGATGGACACATCCAGAGAAACTTGTAAGCAGAACAATCACTGATGTCATAAGAATGTATACAAGTTTATTCATTGCTGACATTCCATGATATTCCATGACATTGGTATGAATACAATTCATCATTTAGAAAGAGTCTATAGTAAACATGGACAAACTGGACGATTGTAAGTGAAACGTATTGATGGTTTTTATAAACTGAATCTCAGGCTTTGATGTGATAATTCAACTCATGAACATGTTTTGTATTCCATTGAAAGCCGAACAAGTGTTTTCTGGTCACTCGTAAGCAATAGTGTTTTATAATGTAATTTAAATCGTATTCGTTTAAATTGGAACACTGCAGTCTTTGAAGTAGATTCATTGTAATATTTCTTATTAGACGTTGACTTGAATCAATACGATGGTCATTGTGTAATATTATTCCTCTTTCATTTGTCATGGTCGTATATTATACAATCATCAGATTCAATCTAAACATTGAATTGTCAATACAACTCCACTTTGTTGTATTCTAAAAAACAGATACGTTCTTGTTCAAAAAAAACAAGGATTGCAACTGTTGTTTCCATGTTGATCACTACAAGATCAGCGAGTTGGGTCAAAACTCAAACGATATTGTCGAGTAAATTTGACAACTCATCATTGCATGAGATTGGCTGTTTTTGATTCTCCTATTCAGTGTTCCATTTTATGTGAATACGATGGTGGATCTAGTTGAATTTTCACGAGACCAACCTGTATGCATTTATATAATCAGGATTGCGTATTGCTGTTTGGGAACAACAAGAGCACAAGCTGGATCTGCAGAAGAGTTTGTGCGTATAGACAAGGACATTCCACTACAGGCAGCACGACTTTTCCACAAGGGTGAAACCCAAACTACTCAAAGTGACAAAAACTTGCAGCATTTTGTTCTATTGTCATCAACAGGTAGCAATGCGTCTTCTTGGTTTTTATACCCCAAAACTAAAGGAGAGTTGGAACAGCAAATTATTGGTATGGGATTCAATCGAGTGTCGATCGTACGTCCTGGATTACTGGACTACCGACCAGATCAGAGACCAACTCGACGGATTATGGAAGAGTGGATGATGCCTATACTTGACGTTGTAGCACCACGATCTGCCATACTTGGAGTGACACAGTTGGGTAAAGCCATGTGTAAAATGGGAGAACAGTGGCTGGATGAATTCAGCAAAAACAATGACACTTTATCTAAAGTGCAAGTATATGAGAATAACGATATATTGAATCTAGCAGAACAAGAATGAATTCCAACTAGTTTACAAGATTTATATAAAATTGAATTAAAACAAATTGAATAGCAAGTGCGTTTACTTGTCTGGTTTGTGTATCGCGACAACAGATTGTTATCACACTCGACTCAACAAGACAGTTTCACTCGGTCTTGTTTAACTCAAACTTGAATGTTTCACTACAAAGTTTGTACATGAATCTCAAGCCATTGTGGTTTCATAAGCAAAATCTAATCACAAAAATGCTGTTGAATTTTACGCGAATATCCATCCAAGTGCACGACACAAAGTGTGCCAGTTGTCGACTATTTTATTTTCATTCTTTCGTCTTTAATAATCACTTTGCTATTATCATGGATTCAATAGTCAGTATGACTGATGGAAATGCTAATGAGAAAATTCTACCAAGTTCATGCATTCCAACATCCGATTCCACCACTGCTAATCCCAACATCAACACTGGATTCAATGCTTCAGTTATTACAAATCTTGATCAAAGAGCGATGATGATAATGATGGATCCTCAGTTTAGACAAAAATTCCAACTGCAGTTTCAAACACTGCAGACCATATTAGAGATGATGAGTTCATGGCAATCCATGATGCAAGAAATGCAACAGTCACTGTCCATAATGACTTCCAACACTCCTGCCATCAATGACATGCCAGGAACTCCCACCAACACCTCTATAATGAATTCATCTACCAATGCACCTTCCTCCTCTAATCCAACTGTTTTGCAAAAAGAAAACGAGTCAATGTCTTTGACAAAAAATAACACCAGTGATAATCTCGACCCTAAAAAACAATCAATTCCTGGAATAGAAACTCATCCAGTTGTTTGGACAGGTATACGTGAATCTTGCCAACTTTCTGCTCAATGGTTTGAACCCATAATTTGTTTTTTTGTAACGCAAAACTAATATTTAAATATACGTAGAATCTGAATGTTTAGTTCAAAAGAGTGATGTCGGTTCGACTAAACGAAAGCGACAGCGTTCTAAAAGTCTAGACCTTGATTCCAAATGTTACAAACGCATGCCACTTTCAGTCAGCAACGAAAATTCAATCAACACTAAAGACTATACCAATCCATCGCAAATACCATCCAAACTTATTCCTAACCAACTCGCTAAAAATCAAAAGGAGGATCTTGCAGCTTTTCAAAAAAACACTTGTCACCATTCAGCATCATTTGTCACAAAACCTTTGATTGCGCCTCAAACAAATGTGTTTGTTGATAGCATCCCCGAAAACATTACCGTACTTGAACTAAAGAAATCGTTGGCAGTTTACGGAACTATTTTGAATATTCAGCTGAGTCAGCGACAAAAAGCCACAGCATTATCTGCAGTCATTCAGTTTGAACTACCTTCACAGGCTATGGAATGTGTAAAAGTTAAAAACTATATAAATGGCAATTGCATCATATGTTCACTATACCCATCAGATCTAGGATCATGTACGACGGATGCTGGTGTGTTGCCACAAGACAATGCATCGAGTCGGGTTTCAGGTATTTAATTTGTTTAACCCAAGTGATCTAGAATGTTTTCTGACAGTACTTTCATTGTATGCTTTTTGATAGTCACACCTACTATACTTCGTGTTACAGGAATTGTTGCTCCACTTACACCAAGGCACATCAAAGAAAGTGTTGAATTGGTTTACAAACAAGCTAAAATTTACTTGCTAAAAAATTCAAAATCTGAGGCTATTATTGAACTCAATAGTTATGAAGAAGCTGCATTTCTAATGGAAAACCTTGATCCCAAATCCATTGGTCCAAACGTCAATATTACGTTTGATCCAAAACCAATAGACGCATTTAAAAAAGCACCTTCTAAAACCATAAACACCAAAAACAATACCGAGACAAATCAGCACTTTTTTGGTCAACCTTTTACGCCAGCTGCTTTACCTTGTCAAGCTACACTTGATAAAAACCCCACAAAATCCACCCATGACTCGAGGGAAAATCAAAAGAAAGTCTCAATTATGTTGCCCAAATCTACCGCAATGTCTTTACCAAGTCTACCGCCTTTTGTTTCTACTCAATGCTCTAGACTAGATTTACCATTGAAAAAAGCAGCCCCTCAACCTACATCTTTTTTGTATGGGGTTCCGAATAATTATGCTTCATTTTTTCCAAACAGTCATGCACTTGCTCAACAATTTATTGCAAAACCAACATCAATGGAATCCGATTATCAATTCTCGGCATTACAGACTCATGGAATAGTGTTGCGCAATTTTTTATTAAGCGTTTCTGCAAAACGGATTCAAAATCAAATCATGGCAGCATTTGCTATACTCAACCTAAAGTCACTGAAAATCATCATGACACAAATCACGAGTATTGATCTATTAGTCGCTATAGGCTACTGTGATGAAAATCAAGCTCATCAACTTGCAGCAGTACTTTTAAAACTAAAGAGCATTCACCCTCTTTTGTCTATAGCTGTTTCCAATAGGCGGGATGTTGGTCTTGTCTTGTCAAAGCATCCTTTTAATTGCATTCATGCGGAACGGTTATCACTGAATGAGTTTAAACAGTTTCGTGCTACAGTGGATCTAACTACACATTTGGATTATCATATGGCCGATATTTTTAAACGATCGACTCTTTATCCAATTTTGGGACCCATTTGTCCACCACTTGTCGAGTTTGGCGGGTTTCCAAAAGATATTTTTATTTCGGAAATTATGAAGGCACTCTGGCTTAATGATGAACCATATTGCAAAGGCGTAAGGTCCATATACGAAGCAGATAGACAAAAAGTAGTAGTAGCATTTTCAAGTCAAAGTCCATCTGAAAAAGCTATCGAGGTTTACAATAATCAATTACTGAAGGGCATGATTGAAAGATGCGTTACTCGTGTCACTGCCAAAAGGATCTGGCTTCGGTCTTCGCTTATTTGCATTTATTCGGCAGGCGGTAGTATACCAAACGAAGAACTTATTCGCGCACTTTTGCCATTTCGGTACCCAAAGCGAATTTTCATCGTGCCTGAAATAGGAAATACTCTTTTTGTCAACTATTCAAATATTGAAGAAGCCGTTGAAGTGTGTTATTATCTTCATGGCTGTTTTTTGAATGACTATACTTTGCCTTTATCCGTTATATTTTTCTGCCCGTCCTTTTGGTTTGACGCTTCGAATGACTGGTTCAAATCTATATTTTCCAACAATGGTTTACATCCTCACGTTTCTTCAAATCCTCCATTGCCATTATTCAACGCACCACCACCTGCACTCGCAAGTAGGAATCCAAACTATATTGATTCTTTCAAACCTGTAGCTATTGAGGGGAAAAATTCAAAACTATCCACTCAACACTGTTCTTCATCTATCTCAGCTACTACATCCAAAAGTACTGTCATTCCAAACGTTGTTGATGCACAGTTACCATCTAGTTTGATTGTTACGAATACGAAATCCTTACTAGATTTACACACTGAAGAAAGTAAGGATATTTCGTTGAATCAACTTACTATACCAAAAACAGCTGCTGTGAACTCTGATGTTCAATATACATCTCAGACATTTGTTGCATCAAAAGTATTGATTCCTACCGGCATTCCATCAACTGATATATCCCAGACATTTTCTACACCAAAAGTATCGAGTTTTACCGATATTCCATTAGCCGATATATCCCAGACATTTGTTACACCGAAAGTATCAACTCCTACAGACATTCCATTAGCCGATATATCTCAGATACTTGTCACACCAAAAGTATCAACTACTACAGACATTTCATCAATTGATATATCTCAGACATTTGTCACACCAAAAATATCAACTCCTACAGACATTCCATTAGCCGATATATCTCAGACATTTGTTACACCAAAAATATCAACTCCTACAGACATTCCATTAGCCGATATATCTCAGATAATTGTCACACCGAAAATATCAACTCCTACAGACATTCCATTAGCCGATATATCTCAGACATTTGTTACACCAAAAATATCAACTCCTACAGACATTCCATTAGCCGATATATCTCAGACAATTGTCACACCGAAAATATCAACTCCTACAGACATTCCATTAGCCGATATATCTCAGACATTTGTCACACCGAAAGTATCAACTACTACAGACATTCCATTAGCCGATATATCTCAGATAATTGTCACACCGAAAATATCAACTCCTACAGACATTCCATTAGCCGATATATCTCAGACATTTGTCACACCGAAAGTATCAACTCCTACCGACATTCCATTAGCCGATATATCTCAGACAATTGTCACACCGAAAGTATCAACTACTACAGACATTTCATCAATTGATATATCTCAGACATTTGTCACACCAAAAATATCAACTCCTACAGACATTCCATTAGCCGATATATCTCAGACAATTGTCACACCGAAAATATCAACTCCTACAGACATTCCATTAGCCGATATATCTCAGATACTTGTTACACCGAAAGTATCAACTACTACAGACATTTCATCGACTGATATATCTCAGACATTTTCTACACCGAAAATATCGATTCCTACTGACATTCCATCAATCAATGCATTTTTAAATCAAAAAATTATTTCCGATTCCATTATATTTTCTCCTAGTTATCTTGGTAAGTTTTATTATAAATCCTTCAAGCTTTTGAAAGAAAACTGTTTATAGCGATCGAGTTTTTGCTAACATATACAATTGAATACTTTGATATATTTTACATTTTTGTATGACTTGTACCTATTGTTCAACGTTTATCATGGTTCAAAGCTCCCAGTATTCCATATGGTACAATATCGTTAAAGTCCAAAAATGCAAGTTTTCAGGTGGATGTGCTGAAAAGCAAAGATATTGAAAATGATCAAGTTGTCAAACTATTTACAAGTCAGCATATCAAACTATCTCAACGATTCCCGACCAACAAAGCAACCATTTCCGAACTTGATCGTAGGATGAACAAGTGTTTAAAATACGCAGTGGTTTACGTTCGTGTTGCGCCGAATAGTAATGCAACCACGTTTCAAAACATTGTCGAGTATTTTGAAGAAAAGCGTGCGGGAGGAATATGTACTCTAGGAGACTATAGTGCCAATTTTATTCCATATACCAAATCATTAGCGCTTGTCCCCAGTAATGCACTTCGTCCATCTGGACCGTGTTTTGTCACAGTACTGATTTCACTTTTATAAACTCATTTTCTGCAGTTTGTCGTGCCTGATAAACGTGTCTTGTAAACCAATACAAGTTGATTTCAAACCATATACCAGACATACTGCTGTAGTAACAGTATGCCCATGTGTTACTAAATTTTATGTCTTGATAAAACTAAAAAATACAGTTTGAAGCCGGTGATTGTTTTAGAACAAGGTATGGCTCTAGTATTTAAGCTGTCATCACATCTCATTGATGGATAATCGTGCAAAAGTGAGTCACTTTGCAACTTGACATCTTTCAATGCGCCATTATGAAGTTGATGTGTAGTTTTAAACTGAACTATTTCAACAAGACTAGTTTGGGTTGGAAATGGCGACACGATAAATTTAATTTGATACGTAAAACGTTCATGAAAACAGCATATTAACAATGCTTATTACTTGAGAGGATAATGGCTCAGTCGAACATCAATGGCAGCTCTTTCAAGACGCAGTGTCTGCAAGTAGGCTAGCTAAAACAAAGCAAATTTGATTAAAAATTAGTCAACTCAACGTAATATCGTAGACAATAAAATAGCACTGGCTTACTTGTTCATCTAACTCGAGCTCTACTTCTCGAGGTTTGCAAAATTCCCAACCGTCATGACAAAGACAACGTCCTTCGCAGAGACACATGGTTGGACACAAATAGCGCGAGGTTAGGGGTGCGACAGGAACAGATGCATCTGCGGACACTGCCTTGGATGAATCTAAAGGCATTGATGTGTTGGTAGTGTCGACTTGCTCAATTTCTGTAGTGTATTTCTCGAGTCTTGGCTCATTAAATATGTTTTGCATCGAGTCACTATCCAAATCAGCGACCCATAAATCAACGATTCTCTCGTCGAATCCGCAGACCTTTTTGGCACCTGCTCGATCATTTCGTCCATTTGTACTAGAAACAACGTTTTGTGATGCAGCCCAGTCACGATTATATAGATAAGCCCTTTCAGTAGCATCATCAATCAGAGCCTGACGCATCTCCAGCGCGCGTATCATACTTTTTACTTGTAGAATACGACGAGAGACTTGCAATCTGCGTTTGATATCCTCATGATGCTTGTCTGACTGCAGAGTAGCTCTAGGATCATTAGCACGTGCACTTAACGGAGTGAGCGATGATATTTTTGATTTAAGGAATTTCGTAGCCACCATAATACCGCATGCATCGGAACAGTAGGAGCTATCTAGACGAATATGTTTTTTACAACCAGATCGAGCACATTTTGGTTTCCATACACTATTGATTCCTGTCCGAGCAACACACGTAGCACAATACCACTTGTCAATGGCATCACTTTCAGCTTCGGATATTTTTATACAAGATCCGTGAAACCAATCATCACACTCATCGCATTGGATATAGAATTTGTTTTCATCGTAAGGTTTTCGACAAATACAAAAGAGCAGAGAATTGTCACTGTCCTCTAATCCCTGTGCTGATGCTCTTGACTGTGACAATCTTGCACCTTTTTTTCTCCGTTTCGATACTGGAGCTGAAACAACATGCGATTTTGCTGTAGTCATGGATGTAGTATTGCTTTGTTTTTTCAAGAGTTTTTTGTTGGATTCAGCATCATAGACTCCTGTACTTGACTTTCGTTTTTTGGATAGATGCGAATCCAACCCTGACTACAACACAGTGTGTTAGCCATTATTGTCATATGATGCTTGTTCATAGTACAAGTCATTACCCTTACAGAATCCATATCAGACAGAGAGGAATCCTGCTTAAAGTCCAACTATAAACCAACATTAGTCCATAAAGAATGGATTCAATACACTACAACTCAACATTGCTCAAGACTTGAAGATACTTGCATTGACAGAGTGGTCAGGATTCATATCTGTTTCACAGCTAGCGACAATAGGAATAAGAATGAAGAAATTAAAAGAACTGGAGAGATTCAAAGGGAAATGCTATCAGACTGGATCGAATCAACAGTCGATAAATCGAAACTTGAGCGGATTATTCAACAATTTCTATAGAAAAACAGTCTTGCGAATGACAGCTATTTCACTATTATTGAAAAGGTTATCAAGACTTTTATTCGGAATGTTATTAAATCATCAAATTAAAGCAGATTTACTCGACTCGACAATCGCATTGCAACTCGGAGATTCTATACAGCAAATTGATCCAGGAAAATGTAAATGTTTCAATACATGTATATTGAATCAGATGAGGTTAATATACACGATCATTACTGTAATGGTATGTTTGTATATTAAATACGGTATGTAACAGTTGTATAAATATCTGTAATTTGTTCGTGTCAAAGCAACCCAGTGATTCAAAAAGCACATTTATTTGAACATGAAATCTTGGCAATTATAATCGTATCAAGTATATTCAATTGGAATATCTGATGTGCAATGGCTTATTGAATGGCAGATATGTTGCTAGATATGCGTGTGTTCAGTTGCTGCATGACTCGTATCTGGATAATACAAATTCAAGTGTCTGCTTCAACACAATTAGCATTAATTGTCACTGGTGTGTTGGATTTGGTAATTGATTTGAACCTATCGAGTAGTGCAGTAATATCTTGCTGATATCCAACTCATTTCAACGCAATATCAGTGTTCAATCTGATTCAATATCAATTACTCACACAATTTCATGCAAATTAGGAAATGATTACATTGAACCCAGCATGTCACACATCCACCATTGAATCAATATGGTATTAACATGGTAACAAGTATATACCAAGTGCAGATAAAAAACGATCAGATCAGTGTTTAATTATTATATTTCCACCAAAGAATTGTAATGTGCTCCAAGTCCATAAGCCTTGCGATGATACGACACGATCAATGGTTTAGTATTCTTTGTTTTTTCACCAATTTCTAGAGTTGGTGATCCACTTTGTACAATATGGATTGGATGCTGCAGAGCTTGCGAAAGCGCTTGAATCTAACAAACGTATGCACTGGTTATACACATGTACTTGTAGAATACAGTCCAGCATATTACTCCAAAGTTTACCTCCAGTTGTCCGCCCCATACTGCTTCATCACATATTTTACGACAGTATTCATCAAACTCTTCTATAGTGATATTTTCAAATCAAAGCAAAGGCATTTGAAACCGTAAGTCAAATTAAATGGCGGTTTGACAATTTGAATATAGCAACTCAACCATTTGTATACACGTTTCCGTCATCTGTGGCTAGAAAATTGATAAACTCGTCACGATGATTCAACATGTAAGTGGATGCCAATTCTCTTAGATTCCGATAGTTCTTGTTAAATAAAAGTCATTAAAGATTGCAGAGGTAATGGTTAAAACAAATATTGTAATCATTGACCATAGTGTCCATACAATATGCAATGTCAACTAGATTTACCCATGATGACTGTGAATCTACCAAAAGAAGTTGGTCTGCAATTGCATTATACAGACAGTGTCCATCTGGCGCAATCTGTATAATTGAACCAATAGCCAATGTAAATCAAAGAGTTTTGCCAAATGAAATAATGCTTTGAAAATAACAATACTTGTTTGATGGTCAAACCCATTTTTGAAATAACTTGGTCCATCGCAGCTTGCTCGATCGCTCTAAAATTAGGCGCATTTGCTGCTTCAGCTTCAGCTTCTAATCGCATATCTTCCCATTTGGCAGCCTTTCTTTCCTTTGAGTCATGTAATTGAATTTAAAATAGCATTAAAATGCTTGCTTGCATATGGTAATACCTGCATTTATGGGATACGATAACTACTTGCCTTTCTTTTGGCTTGTCTGCCTTTTTTAAACTTTGCAACAGATTCATCTTTTGAATCAAGAGTGATGCCATCCATGGCGTCTTTGATCAAGGCAACATTTACCTAAAACATGAACCAGATCAACACTTGACAAGCATTCAAATCTAGTCAATCAACAAGTGTGATTTGCTACCTTTTCAGATTCACATTGAATATCACCTAACATGTTCAATAAATACTGTCAGACTGACATCAATACTCATCACATCTATCTATAAGCAATCAAGTACTGAATGTCACCATCTAAAATGGCGGTATCGGCAGCAATTTCTTGAGAATGACGCTCAGCCTGTTCATTCTGCAATTGAGCAATTTGATCCTGAACCTGTTTCTTCTGTAAGCTCAAATATGATGTTCATGTCAGAATATGATGCATAAATGGATGATCTTGCATGCTGTATGAATGAATTCAACTCTCATGAATCTGTTTGACTTGGTGACAAGTTTAAGCATGTAGTTTTGTAGTATGGGTCGTACCTGTGCCTTTCCTGATGCTCCTTTGGCAATTGTCTTTTTTAAAGCAGTGGTTTTGGCAATGAGTTCCTTGTTCTAGCCATTGTGCATGGATGTTTATTATTTTAATTCATGTTGAAAAAACAAAAGGATTGCATCGATGCATTCAAACACAATCCGTTTGATGGGCTGGATAGAATCCATGTTGACTGTAAAATGGTTATCAGTTATACCTCTTGTCTATGTCTAGCCAATAGCGCTTCATGAGCAACTTCCCGATCCGTCATATTACAGCTGGTAATAACGAAGATGAAAACAAGGAAAACTATTTCAGGTCAATTTCATGTTTTGAAACCATTTTGATAATAAGCTGTTGTCGCAACATCAAAAACTGTGAATTCTCTGTAAGATTGTACGATTGTTGGCGTACAAATTATATGCGAAACGCTGGAGATTGTGTTGATAAAACCAAATGAGAAACGCTGTTTTATATTTAATCGAAAGAAACTGCACGTCGTGGCAACAACTCGGATTATCGCTGCAATACAGGAAATATAAGCAATGGAGGATTCTGTCACTTGAATTGACGCTTTTTTATACAAACCAAACGTTACAAGCAAACATTGAGTGATTGACATGCAAACAGCAGTTGCATTACTGATGTCATGATTGTTGTTGAACTAGATTGCGATTGTATCTGAAATTTACACGCTAATTCATTATCCAATCTTGTCTGACATTATTATTGGCTTTAGTCACATTTGGTTTGTACAACTGCCATGAGTTGTACTACCATTATCATGGTGTATCTGAACACCAAATACTCCAATATATCAATAATACCACAGTGTAAACAGTAATACAGTTGATCAGTATTGTGGCAAGACTTTTCATTCAAGTTTGTATTTGGAAATATTCGATGGTTTAATCACCACACATTGTTTGTAATGCGATTGTCATTGATCTCATCTCATCTCACTCCATTTCATTCCATCTGATTTATGATGATGTTTAGTAATCCATTACCATGTGTTGTAGTAAACTAGTTTGTTTATTGAACCAAATCCACAACGATCACATTCAGAATATTAATTTATAGTATTTCTAAATGCATGTTTGATAACAATCCAATTTTGTTACAAAAAACTGATCAAAACAATACTAAAATGGAACAACTCGTTTGTGTGTTTTACAACAATCCAAACATGAACAATTCTTGGCAATTGTTGGACATTCGCATGAATGAAATTGTCAAATCAAAATTCAACTTTACTAATTTTATCAAACATGGATTGTGTTGATGTTATGAAAGAGTTGATTCAACACCTGGAAGATTTAAAACTATTAACAACGGATGCTCAACTATACAAGGCTGATGAAATATGGGACAGACTGCTTGTATTGATACTGGAGTTGGAAGAACAGAATTACAGTAAGTTTAATAGCCATTGTATTATTGATGAATTCAAACTGTTGCTGACTTTGTGTTGGTTTGAAATGGCAGAGTCTACAGATGTAGTGCCTCGCTTACAGAGGATTAAATTGGAAGATATCACAGCCAAGTATTTGGAGTATAATCGACCCAGTTTACAGGTATTCATATATTGTAACAATAATGGATTGTTCATGACTAAACTAATCAGCATGTGTTGTGTAGATCAAAGTAATGGAATTTACTACAGTGTTTTTGAGAATGGTATACTATGATGATGATTTTAAAGTATCTCAACGACTAAACAACCAACTTGTACAACTCATGCAATCACCAAGTCGTCAAGTCAAAATGATGGCAAGTCATGATTGATATTGATCAAATGATTGACATTTAACTCATCTAGTGTTAATATGCATATAGGCGATAAACGCATGTACACAGTTGTACAAATATAAACGCTGGAGTCAAGAGGATCAATTTGACATCAAGCCAATGGTTGAGATGACTGTTCACGAGTCTGATCAACAAGTGCTCAGATTGGCAATTGACCTGTTCTCGACCATTTGCAGTGATATTGACGATGGAAATGTATGTTTACAATGATACAATATTGGATCAGTTTGGACAGTGCCATGTCATGTTGATTTGGTTGTATACTTGACATTGAACAATATCATTAGTTTGGCATCGTGTTGTCAAGACTCGTTTCACGACTGGAATCATCCAGTGGTTCAGTTGCTGCTGGTTTTATCAAAAATCTTCAAACCATATTTTGGAGTATTCATCGTCATGACCCAGTAAAAGCAGCGGAGTGTGGCATCATTCCAGCACTGGTCAATACGCTCAGGTATGTGGTGTTATGCATGAATGTGTGTCCAGTCATCACAATTGGTAAATTTGACATGGTTGGATTGACATGACATGAATACAGGAGTGTCGATCAAGCAGTGATTGATCAAAGTATTGATACTATTCAGAGTTTATACGACCATGAAGATTGTGAAGTGATTTCAGCCGAGTTGATGAGGCTGGATTTGATTCAAACGTTGAACGACTTGTGTGTCAAACACAGCGACAACCCTGAACTAAAAACACGCATGATCAAGATAGCTGGAACAATTGCATCCAAAATGCGCGACTTTCCTGTATCGCTTGCACGATCGTTGGTTTTTGAGCAATTGACGATATCAATGTGTGATGTCGATATAGATGACTATTTGTAACTGTTTGATAATGTCAGCGACATGATTGAGAAATCTACAAACAAGGCCGAGATGATCAAGGCGTTTCAAGATTATGGAATTGTAAAGCAACTCAACACTATTATTTCACGTAGAAGTATAGATTTGTATGATTATGATAGTGGTGACACTAGTATTGTAAAACTATTCAAAGCATTTGCTGATTTTGCCGACAATCATCCCGACAGTTCAATACGTACCGAGTTGGATCAAGGCGGGATATTTGAAAATCTAACGGTTATTGTACAATCGGACACTGCTGAATACAGAGACAAAATGGTTGCTGGCCGGATCATTGAAACGTGTTTCCAGTATCTGGTTTACACTGCTAGATCGGATATTCAGCCATACAACGACAATGCCGAAATTGATATGAAATCTGGAATGGCTGGGTATACACATGGACAGGCACGCACACTTGTAGAAATGCGGTATATCCAGTATCTGCAATCTATACTTTGCAAACCCATGTGCTGGATCGATATCACAAACCAGCATATTGTGGAGCAATGGAGGGCTGACTCACTCGATCGGAATATATCACCATCAACATTTAATCTTGCATTGGAACAACTTGGGGTTTTTGTCAAGCAGCTTGTTTGTAGTGGCAGTGATGGATTGGGCACAATTGTACCAGGACCTGTTGAACTGACGTATATACTGGACAATGGCATACCTGACAATGTATACACGCGATTGATGACAAATGTATCGGATATTGAACATGGATCAAATCACAACACTGGTCAAATGGTGCACAATCTGATTGATGCATCAATGTACAGTGTTGTATATGGACAAACGATGATTGCACCACTGGATATACGACTCAAATACACCACAATGGTACCATGCGATATATTGTTATCGACTCGACTTGTTTCAAGTGTGCCCATCATTGACGGCGATTCCAAGTTTATATCATGCAGGTTCCGATGGCTTCCGAGTGAATTCCGTGTCGAACAGGATGACAGTGTGACCATCAACTCATACATCAACAATCTGAATCCGATATGGCATCGAGACATGTACAAATGCATTGCCAAAATATTCAAATGTTTTGTCCCAATGTTTGAAAGTCTGTTCAGAACGATGGATCCAATGTTCAAGTATATTGATATTTACAATGGCACAAAGGGATATAAACCATCAAGCCAGTCAGATCATGATGATATACGGCCAAACACTCAAGTCACTCGTCCCGTGTATGTACCAACACTTCCGGAACATTTTGAATCCAAATATGAATCAGCAAAGCCAGTGTCACTGCGTGGTCGTAATCTACAAGTCATTGTCAAACTCACCAACATTCAACTGACACCATCCAAACCTAAATACGACGAGGGAAACTGGCACATTGAATGTCCAATTAACGAATCGATTGTTGCGATTGGACTGTATTACTACGACGTGGAAAATATCACCACACCCAATCTCGATTACCGCGAGGCTGTTGATCGGTTTGATGAAAGAGCATCTGATATGTATTGGGAAGATGTGTATGACACTGATCGAGAATCACCACGCAATCAGTATATAGGATCGCTTGAATTACCAAATGGTCGATGTGTAGTTTATCCCAATCGATATCAACACAAAGAACAATCATTTGAACTTGCAGATCCAACTCAACCAGGACATTGCAAAATTCTGACATTTTTTGTAGTGAATCCGTCTCGTCGGATTGTTTCGACTGCGCATGTGGCTCCGCAACAACCACAATGGTACAACTCGAGTCTTGACAAGACACACATACCGCCTGAACTGTGGAATGATATCACGCAGTATATTCAAGGTGTTCAATCACCAACTAAAGCCAAACGCTATCAAGATGAATTGACAAGTGACCGAACTCAAATCACAGCAGCATACAACAAATACAGATATGAGCGGAAGTATAGTGATTGGTGATTGATTATGAGGTTGTGATTTTACAACAATGAGTTGTAATAGTTTGATATGAACATGATGACTCGGACTCTATTCAGTCGGATCAACTCGACTACAATTGGCCGTGTATATTATGATTGACACGATCAGTTGTAGTTGAACTCGAATACAGATTGACTGTTGAATCACAATGCGTGGTATCAGCAACATGATGTGCTATATAGTGGAATGTATACGCTAATCTGACATGTGTCATGTAGTGTGTATTCGATCAATATGGGTATTAGCAATCAACAAGTCATACGATGTTTGTGTTCGAGTGATGCAATGGAGTGGAGTGGAATGAGTGCATCAAACCAGAATACGAGTCAACCATGACATATGATCATGATGTGTGGTTGATACAACTATATAGTGACAATCGATATTGATATAGTAACACACAACATGCAATGCCAACACAACAGTTGCAAGTCAATGATCATCAATATGACATTGTGGTTGCAACATGAACTGCATTGGATTGATTCAGTTGATTGATTGAATTACTGGACAATATGTAGTGATGACTGATCGTGTCGAGTTGAATGGAAAACATCACCAAACCACATGTTTGAATCATGACAACCACAACACATATTGATGACCATCCAACAACTGAATATCAGCTCAGTTGCATATAATCTTGTTTGAGCATGCATTTGTTCATATTTCAGCTCACTGACCCTTTTTAGGGCGGATAAGGGTGTAGTACACAATAAGCTATACGATACTCGAATGTATAGTCAAGCAGCGGTCCAACCAATACTGCGGTTGTTATATAAATGGATATCCCTTCAAAGTTGGATATTAATGTCAAATCAACACCAACCCTGATAATAAAGCCAATCCCTAAAACGGTCATCCAATATGCTTTTAATATTATCCATCCAATAATGGATATAAATACAGTCCAGCCTTGCTTGTTGAATACCAATAATTACAACGTGTTTGATCAATACAATGAAACTCGCAGTCACAGTATTGGCATCAATCTTGTTTGCTTGCTCGGTCACTACAGCCAAACCAGTCAATCCCAGTGCAACTACAAGTGCAACTACAAGTGCTGAAGCTAGTACTTCGACCGTCATCCCAACTGCAACTGAAAGTGACGAATCTAAGCATCGTGTATTTTCTTATGAAGGATCTGAATTTTCAGTTGATCTTAGTAAACTCTCAAAGGATGATGTGAAGTTGATCCAAGAATATCTAGAAAAGGATCAAGAATATGAAGAGATAAAGAAAGCGTGTGACTCGGCCAAATCTGAAGAGCTCAATCAAGAAGAATTGTTAAAACGCCTAAGTGGAAAGAATTACAAACTGTCACTAAAATATTCGAACAGGAATGATCCAGTGTATCAAGAAAAGAAAAGAGAAATTAAACAGAAGCTTAATGAAGAGAACGAAAAATTATTCAGCCTTCAAGAAAAGCGTCTGAAACTCGATAAAAATCTTTATCACGCTGGCTTGTTGCTTCATATGGCCAGAAAAGAACTTGCAGATCTCCTGTTCCAAAATGGTCCAAGTACAGCATCACTTTATTCTCGAATCAAATTTCTGAAATCAAATCCCAGTTTTGTTGAAGATATTTACCAATCTCTTATTCTCCAACTAAACAAACAGTCGGGATCGGAGTAAGCCTCTACTAGTGGAACCCAGAACAAATCAAAACATCATAAAAGTCCATCATCATCAAGCAAAACGTCTACAGACCAACCCACTCAAACATCATCCAGTACACAAAAAGCTTCCAAATCTTCCAAATCCCATTCTTGATTTTCTCGTTTATGGAAAACTTCCAAATCCAAGAATGAGCGCAAATCATTTTCGAGTCCACCCAGTTCTGAAGATTCAGATGAATCACCCGTTTGATTTGATTGCTAATCTGAACTGGTTTTGACTGACTCGATTGTGTTTTTATTTGAATAAAATACGATACGATACAATATGATTACCATTTGATATTGTATGTACATGCATTATATCTGATTATTGTAAACAGTCTTGGTTGGCATGATATCATAGTGTACATTGACACTTGTATTTCCAACACAATACAATACAGTTGATCATATATTGCATAGTTGTATACATTGATGATGCTGACATGCATGTGTGTATTGTGTCGATATGATATTGCTTGTCAATATGACATGACATGCAATACCAACAATAGTCATGTGTACAGTATCAATATGTTGCACAACTGTAATCCAAACAGGTCAACACATGCCACATTGTAGCAATGCAATCAAATTGGTACAACACATGTCAACATACATGTACTGTAGTGTATTGTATTGTACACTAGTAGTGATGATTCGACCAACGACATGCGTGGTTGTAATATTATACATGAAACCACATGCTCATGTCCATGTTCATGATTATGGTGACATACAGTGTTACAATGATGGGTCGGCAACAATGTGATGGAACTGGATGTGCAATATCAAAATCATGCTCAGAATACGTCATATAACGACAACTTGCAGCCATATTGACATAAATGGATCACTAAATAACAGTGTCGTGGACTGATTGACAATACAGCGGTATTGTTGTTGGTGATTGACATGCAAACAACAGTTGCATTACTGACATGTACAACCATTGTTGTTGAACTAGATCGCGATCGTATTCGAGATTCAGAACACAACAAATGTACAGAGTTGTATTGACAACATCGATAGTCAAGCACAACATATCGATTGCAATACATGAATCTGAGTCCAAACTTGGTGATCGTACAATCTATGATTACTAAGAGTGCACAACGTGTAGATTCAACACTATAGTCTGATTGTGTGTCATGATGGTTGTTATAATCAAACACGCAATTGCAGTCAATGTGTAGTAACCATTGTATATTGCAATGCATAACACAGTCACTGCATGATGGATATCAAAATGATTCATTTTACACGAATACGGTTGTCAATACGACACATGCTGCATAAACACTACATATATTACATTGTAAACTGACATAAAACAACACTAATTGACCAATATCAAACCAGTTGATGTTGCAATCTACATCCGACTTTGAACAAGTGTATTGATACGTTTGTTGTACAATACACGACATGGTCAGTTGGTGATATCATGCAACTGACAAGTGATTGCAAGTCTGACTGATAGTTACAATCAACACTGGTTGTTATCAAGTCATTAATGTATATGTAATAAACCGTGTCAATGTATCAATCAACAATCCATTAACTGTCAATGTAATACTCAACACAATATACACAAACATGCAATACAAAATCAATATTATAATTTTTGGTTCATTTACAATACTCGCAAATATCAACAAAATAAAGTTTAAAATTATTCAAAATCTTCGAGTTTCAAAAGCGTCTTCAAAATCCGATTCCGCTCCTGATTCTGCTTTTCCATCAAATCTTTCAATCGTTGTCTTGCCTTTACTATTCTGTCATTTGGTGAAATACACTCTTCTCTCAATATATTTTGGATTTCTGGCTTATGCTTTGGTTCAGATATCTTTTCGCCTCTTGCCAACGCTGACTTTTGTTTTGATCCAATAGTTACATAATCATAATAGGCTTGGCATTTCTCTCGTATTTCTCTAGACGTCTCGATTTCTTTCAAGTCAAGTGCGTTCTGATCTTGGGTCGATAGAGTCTTTTGATTTAAGCCAGTAGTGTCAGACTTGGATTTATCAGTTGGTTGTTTTCGACTTTGTTTGAAAGTACTTGGACTAGGTTGATTTACTGGCTGTTGCTGACCTTTTTTGCAAGTGTCAGAATTGATTAGATCCATTATGTCTTGCCATTGCTCTTCGGAAGTGCCTGGATCAAGTTTATCAGTTGGACGTTTTTGACCCTGGCTGTAAGTGTTTGGACTAGGTTGACCTATTGACTGTTGCTGACCTTTTTTGGGAGTATCCGAGTCAGCTATATCAAACAGTTCTTTCCAGTCATTGAGGGTGTCTGAACCAACTTCATCTATTAGGTATTGCCAATATTTGTCGGAGATGCTTAGACCGGGTTGAATAACTATGTTTTGCCAGTTTTGGTCAGAAGTGTTTGGACTGGGTTCATTAGTTGGACCAGACACTTGACTGGAAGTGCCTGATGTTTGGGATGGACTATTGTTATCAGTCGGTATCAGTATTGCATTAGTGGTTGCTGTCGCACTCAGTACGAGTAAAATATCAACCAATTTCATCAGATTGATCAATGGGTTTAAACAATTGGTACAAAAGTAGTATTGAAACTGATGTTGATTATGAAACTCGAAGCAGTCGATTGTATGTGTTTTTGTATATCAAGCCAATCCTTTTAGGTTAACTCATGGCACAGAGTTATTTGGTTTTTGTGATGAGCCAATATCAAATCACAGTATAATGTTATTCATAATATTGATGATCATGTCAATCATATGATGCTTTTACGACCCTTTGATCAAGTATATTGAAAATCACCCTTCATGAGTGTTGTGTAATCGCAAACACTTTTACAATCGTATTCATGTAAAATGGTTCACTTTATTCATTTTGCTTGTATTCTGCATTGTAATATACAATGGTTACTGCACATTGACTGCATTGTGTGTTTGATTATAACAACCATCATATGACACAATCAGACTGTAATGTTGAATCTACACTTTGATCAAACATTTTGAAAAACACCCTTCAAAATATCCGATTAAAGGGTCATAAAAGCATAATCCAATCGACATGATCATCAAATTGATCAATATGATATTATGAATAGAAAGCAGCATACTGTCTAGTTTGAGTGGCTCACTACAAGCAATCAAGTAACCTTGTGTTGTTGGTTGGCCTAGAAAGGTTAGGGTTGGCTTGCTATACCAAAGGTATAAATACAGTATGTTTAGTTTCATAATCGACGCTAGCCTCAACATTCTGTTTTCCACTAATTGTTCAAACCCATTGACCAATCTGATGAAATTGGTTGATATTTTACTCGTACTGAGTGCGACAGCAACTGCCAATGCAATACTGATACCGACTGATAACAATAGTCCATCCCAAACATCAAGTACTTCCAGTCAAGTATCTGGTTCAACCAATAAACCCGATTCAGAAATTTCTGACAAATACCAGCAAGAGCCAATTGATATAAGCTTTTCCGGCCGAATTCGGCAACGGGTAGCGATTGTAACAGGTCTAAATATCCCCAGTTAAGATGAGTAGCAGCCAGTAAATCAACCTAGTCCAAGTATTTCCAAACAAAGTCGAAAACAACCAACTGATAAATCCAAGTCTGACACTACTGGCTTAAATCAAAAGACTCTATCGACCCAAGATCAGAACGCACTTGACTTGAAAGAAATCGAGACATCTAGAGAAATACGAGAGAAATGCCAAACCTATTATGATTATGTAACTATTGAATTGAAACAAAAGTCAGCGTTGGCAAGAGGCGAAAAGATATCTGAACCAAAGCATAAGCCGGAAATCCAAAATATATTGAGAGAAGAGTGTATTTCACCAAATGACAGAATAGTAAAGGCAAGACAACGATTGAAAGATTTGATGGAAAAGCAGAATCAGGAGCGGAATCGGATTTTGAAGACGCTTTTGAAACTCGAAGATTTTGAATAATTTTAAACTTTATTTTGTTGATATTTGCGAGTATTGTAAATGAACCAAAAATTATAATATTGATTTTGTATTGCATGTTTGTGTATATTGTGTTGAGTATTACATTGACAGTTAATGGATTGTTGATTGATACATTGACACGGTTTATTACATATACATTAATGACTTGATAACAACCAGTGTTGATTGTAACTATCAGTCAGACTTGCAATCACTTGTCAGTTGCATGATATCATCAACTGACCATGTTGTGTATTGTACAACAAACGTATCAATACACTTGTTCAAAGTCGGATGTAGATTGCAACATCAACTGGTTTGATATTGGTCAATTAGTGTTGTTTTATGTCAGTTTACAATGTAATATATGTAGTGTTTATGCAGCATGTGTCGTATTGACAACCGTATTCGTGTAAAATGAATCATTTTGATATCCATCATGCAGTGACTGTGTTATGCATTGCAATATACAATGGTTACTACACATTGACTGCAATTGCGTGTTTGATTATAACAACCATCATGACACACAATCAGACTATAGTGTTGAATCTACACGTTGTGCACTCTTAGTAATCATACATTATACGATCATCAAGTTTGGACTCAGATTCATGTATTGCAATCGATATGTTGTGCTTGACTATCGATGTTGTCAATACAACTCTGTACATTTGTTGTGTTCTGAATCTCGAATACGATCGCGATCTAGTTCAACAACAATGGTTGTACATGTCAGTAATGCAACTGTTGTTTGCATGTCAATCACCAACAACAATACCGCTGTATTGTCAATCAGTCCACGACACTGTTATTTAGTGATCCATTTATGTCAATATGGCTGCAAGTTGTCGTTATATGACGTATTCTGAGCATGATTTTGATATTGCACATCCAGTTCCATCACATTGTTGCCGACCCATCATTGTAACACTGTATGTCACCATAATCATGAACATGGACATGAGCATGTGGTTTCATGTATAATATTACAACCACGCATGTCGTTGGTCGAATCATCACTACTAGTGTACAATACAATACACTACAGTACATGTATGTTGACATGTGTTGTACCAATTTGATTGCATTGCTACAATGTGGCATGTGTTGACCTGTTTGGATTACAGTTGTGCAACATATTGATACTGTACACATGACTATTGTTGGTATTGCATGTCATGTCATATTGACAAGCAATATCATATCGACACAATACACACATGCATGTCAGCATCATCAATGTGTACAACTATGCAATATATGATCAACTGTATTGTATTGTGTTGGAAATACAAGTCTCAATGTACACTATGATATCATGCCAACCAAGACTGTTTACAATAATCAGATATAATGCATGTACATACAATATCAAATGGTAATCATATTGTATCGTATCGTATTTTATTCAAATAAAAACACAATCGAGTCAGTCGAAACCAGTTCAGATTAGCAATCAAATCAAACGGGTGATTCATCTGAATCTTCAGAACTGGGTGGACTCGAAAATGATTTGCGCTCATTCTTGGATTTGGAAGTTTTCCATAAACGAGAAAATCAAGAATGGGATTTGGAAGATTTGGAAGCTTTTTGTGTACTGGATGATGTTTGAGTGGGTTGGTCTGTAGACGTTTTGCTTGATGATGATGGACTTTTATGATGTTTTGATTTGTTCTGGGTTCCACTAGTAGAGGCTTACTCCGATCCCGACTGTTTGTTTAGTTGGAGAATAAGAGATTGGTAAATATCTTCAACAAAACTGGGATTTGATTTCAGAAATTTGATTCGAGAATAAAGTGATGCTGTACTTGGACCATTTTGGAACAGGAGATCTGCAAGTTCTTTTCTGGCCATATGAAGCAACAAGCCAGCGTGATAAAGATTTTTATCGAGTTTCAGACGCTTTTGTTGAAGGCTGAATAATTTTTCGTTCTCTTCATTAAGCTTCTGTTTAATTTCTCTTTTCTTTTCTTGATACACTGGATCATTCCTGTTCGAATATTTTAGTGACAGTTTGTAATTCTTTCCACTTAGGCGTTTTAACAATTCTTCTTGATTGAGCTCTTCAGATTTGGCCGAGTCGCACGCTTTCTTTGCCTTTTCACGTTTTTGATCCTTTTCTAGATATTCTTGGATCAACTTCACATCATCCTTTGAGAGTTTACTAAGATCAACTGAAAATTCAGATCCTTCATAAGAAAATACACGATGCTTAGATTCGTCACTTTCAGTTGCAGTTGGGATGACGGTCGAAGTACTAGCTTCAGCACTTGTAGTTGCACTTGTAGTTGCACTGGGATTGACTGGTTTGGCTGTAGTGACCGAGCAAGCAAACAAGATTGATGCCAATACTGTGACTGCGAGTTTCATTGTATTGATCAAACACGTTGTAATTATTGGTATTCAACAAGCAAGGCTGGACTGTATTTATATCCACTATTGGATGGATAATATTAAAAGCATATTGGATGACCGTTTTAGGGATTTGTGTTGCCAGGGTTGGTGTTGATTTGACATTAATATCCAACTTTGAAGGGATATCCATTTATATAACAACCGCAGTATTGGTTGGACCGCTGCTTGACTATACATTCGAGTATCGTATAGCTTATTGTGTACTACACCCTTATCCGCCCTAAAAAGGGTCAGTGAGCTGAAATATGAACAAATGCATGCTCAAACAAGGCTATATGCAACTGAGCTGATATTCAGTTGTTGGATGGTCATCAATATGTGTTGTGGTTGTCATGATTCAAACATGTGGTTTGGTGATGTTTTCCATTCAACTCGACACGATCAGTCATCACTACATATTGTCCAGTAATTCAATCAATCAACTGAATCAATCCAATGCAGTTCATGTTGCAACCACAATGTCATATTGATGATCATTGACTTGCAACTGTTGTGTTGGCATTGCATGTTGTGTGTTACTATATCAATATCGATTGTCACTATATAGTTGTATCAACCACACATCATGATCATATGTCATGGTTGACTCGTATTCTGGATTGATGCACTCATTTCATTTCATTCCATTGCATCACTCGAACACAAACATCGTATGACTTGTTGATTGCTAATACCCATATTGATCGAATATACACTACATGACACATGTCATATTAGCGTATACATTCCACTATATAGCACATCATGTTGCTGATACCACGCATTGTGATTCAACAGTCAATCTGTATTCGAGTTCAACTACAATTGATCGTGTCAATCATAATATACACGACCAATTGTAGTCGAGTTGATCCGACTGAATAGAGTCCGAGTCATCATGTTCATATCAAACCATCACAACTCATTGTTGTAAAATCACAACCTCACAATCAATTATCAATGATCAAGATTATACTTCCGCTCATATCTGTATTTGTTGTATGCTGCTGTGATTTGAGTTCGGTCACTTGTCAATTCATCTCGATAGTGTTTGGCTTCATCTGGTGATTGAACACCTTGAATATACTGCGTGATATCATTCCACAGTTCAGGTGGTATGGGTGTCTTGTCAAGACTCGAGTTGTACCATTGTGGTTGTTGCGGAGCCACATGCGCAGTCGAAACAATCCGACGAGATGGATTCACTACAAAAAATGTCAGAATCTTGCAATGTCCTGGTTGAGTTGGATCTGCAAGTTCAAATGATTGTTCCTTGTGTTGATATCGATTGGGATAAACTACACACATCGACCATTTGGTAACTCAAGCGATCCTATATACTGACTGCGTGGTGATTCTCGATCAATAATGTCATACACATCTTTCCAATACATACCAGATGCTACTTGATCAAACCGATCAACAGCCACGCGGTAATCGAGTTTGGGTGTGGTGATATTTTCCACGTCGTAATAATACAGTCCAGTTGCAACAATCGATTCGTTAATTGGACCTTCATTGTGCCAGTTTCCCTCGTCGTATTTAGGTTTGGATGGTGTCAATTGAATGTTGGTGAGTTTGACAATGACTTGTAGATTACGACCATGCAGTGACACTGGCTTTGCTGATTCATATTTGGATTGGAAATGTTCCGGAAGTGTTGGTACATACACGGGACGAATGACTTGAGTATCCGGTTCCATACCACCACGATCTGATTGGCTTGGTGGCTCATATCCCTTTGTGCCATTGCGAATATCAATATACTTGAACATTGGATCCATCGTTCTGAACAGACTTTCAAACATTGGGACAAAACATTTGAATATTTTGGCAATGCATTTGTACATGTCTCGATGCCATATCGGATTCAGATTGTTGATGTATGAGTTGATGGTCACACTGCCATCCTGTTCGACACGGAATTCACTCGGAAGACATTGGAACCTGCATGATATAAACTCGGGATTGCCTTCAATCATAGACACATCTGAAACAAGTCGAGTCGATAACAATATATCGCATGGTACCATTGTGGTGTATTTGAGTCGTATACTCAGTGGTGCAATCATCGTTTGTCCATATACAACACTGTACATTGATGCATCAATCAGATTGTGCACCATTTGACCAGTGTTGTGATTTGATCCATGTTCAATATCCGATACATTTGTCATCAATCGCGTGTATACATTGTCAGGTATGCCATTGTCCAGTATATACGTCAGTTCAACAGGTCCTGGTACAATTGTGCCCAATCCATCACTGCCACTACAAACAAGCTGCTTGACAAAAACCCCAAGTTGTTCCAATGCAAGATTAAATGTTGATGGTGATATATTCTGATCGAGTGAGTCAGCCCTCCATTGCTCCACAATATGCTGGTTTGTGATATCGATCCAGCACATGGGTTTGCAAAGTATAGATTGCAGATACTGGATATACCGCATTTCTACAAGTGTGCGTGCCTGTCCATGTGTATACCCAGCCATTCCAGATTTCATATCAATTTCGGCATTGTCGTTGTATGGCTGAATATCCGATCTAGCAGTGTAAACCAGATACTGGAAACACGTTTCAATGATCCGGCCAGCAACCATTTTGTCTCTGTATTCAGCAGTGTCCGATTGTACAATAACCGTTAGATTTTCAAATATCCCGCCTTGATCCAACTCGGTACGTATTGAACTGTCGGGATGATTGTCGGCAAAATCAACAAGTGTCCTGATTAGTTTTACAATACCATTATAATCACACAAATCCATATCTCTGCGTGAAATAATAGTGTTGAGTTGCTTTACAATTCCATAATCTTGAAACACCTTGATCACCTCGGCCTTGTTTGTAGATTTCTCAATCATGTCGCTGACATTATCAAACATATGTACAAAAAGTCATCTATATCGACATCACACATTGATATCGTCAATTGCTCAAAAACCAACGATCGTACAAGTGATACAGGAAAGTCGCGCATTTTGGATGCAATTGTTCCAGCTATCTTGATCATGCGTGTTTTTAGTTCAAAGTTGTCGCTGTGTTTGATACACAAGTCGTTCAGTGTTTGAATCAAATCCAGCCTCATCAACTCGGCTGAAATCACTTCACAATCTTCATGGTCGTATAAACTCTGAATAGTATCAATACTTTGACTAATCACTTCTTGATCGGCACTCCTGTATTCATGTCATGTCAATCCAACCATGTCAAATTTACCAATCGTGATGACTGGACACACATTCATGCATAACATCACATACCTGAGCGTATTGACCAGTGCTGGAATGATGCCACACTCCGCTGCTTTTACTGGGTCATGACGATGAATCTTCCAATACATGGTTTGAAGATTTTCGATAAAACCAACAGCAACTGAACCACTGGATGACTCCAGTCGTGAAACGAGTCTTGACAACACGATGCCAAACTAATGATATTGTTCAATGTCAAATATACAATCAGATCAACATGACAAGACACTGTACAAACTGATCCAATATTATATCATTGTAAACATACATTTCCATCGTCAATATCATGACAAATGGTCGAGAACAGGTCAATTGCCAATCTGAGCACTTGTTGATCAGACTCGTGAACAATAATCTCAACCATTGGCTTGATGTCAAATTTACACTCTTCACTCCAGTATCTATACTTGTACAACTCTGCACATATGTTTATCGCCTATATGCATATTGACACTAGATGAGTTGGATTTCAATCATTTGATCAATATCAATCATGACTTGCCATCATTTTGACTTGACGGCTTGGTGATTGCATGCATTGTGAGAGTTGGTTGCTTAGTCGATGTGATACTTTGAACCGATCATCACTGTATACCATATTCGCAAATACTGTAGTAAACTCCATTACTTTGATCTACACAACACATGTTGATTAGTTTAGTCATGAACAATCCATTATTGTTACAATATATGAATACCTGTAAACTGGGTCGATTATACTCCAAATACTTGGTTATGATATCTTGCAGTTCAATACTCTGTAAACAATGCACTAGATCTGTAGACTCTGCCATTTCAAACCAACACAAAGTCAACAACAGTTTGAATTCATCAATAATACAATGGCTATTAAACTTACTGTAATTCTGTTTGTCCAACTCCAGTAGCAATACAAGCAGTCTGTCCCATATTTCATCAGCCTTGTATAGTTGAGCATCCGTTGTTAATAGTTTTAAATCTTCCAGGTGTTGAATCAACTCTTTCATGTTATCATCCAACTTCATGTTTGATAAAATTAGTAAAGTTGAATTTTGATGACAATTTCATTCATGCGAATGTTCAACAATTGCCAACAATTGTTCATGTTTGAATTGTTGTAAAACACACAAACGAGTTGTTCCATTTTAGTATTGTTTTGATCAGTTTTTTGTAACAAAATTGGATTGTTATCAAACATGCATTTAGAAATACTGTAAATTAATATTCTGAATGTGATCGTTGTAGATTTGGTTCAATAAACAAACTAGTTTACTACAACACATGGTAATGGATTACTAAACATCATCATAAATCAGATGGAATGAAATGGAATGAGATGAGATCAATGACAATCGCATTACAAACAGTGTGTTGTGATTAAACCATCGAATATTTCCAAATACAAACTTGAATGAAAAGTCTTGCCACAATACTGATCAACTGTATTACTGTTTACACTGTGGTATTATTGATATATTGGAGTATTTGGTGTTCAGATACACCATGATAATGGTAGTACAAATCATGGCAGTTGTACAAACCAAATGTGACTAAAGCCAATAATAATGTCAGACAAGATTGGATAATGAATTAGCGTGTAAATTTCAGATACAATCGTGATCTAGTTCAACAACAATCATGACATCAGTAATGCAACTGCTGTTTGCATGTCAATCACTCAATGTTTGCTTGTAACATTTGGTTGATAATCGACAGTTACAGACTAAACATGCCCAAAATATGTCCGACTACTGGAACTGTGATGCAATGTGGCCATTCGTTCAGTTTTATACACAAATCAACACAATGCAGAAATACCAGTCGATTGTGTCAGTGACTCAGTCAACGGTTCAATTGACACAATGCCGTCCATTAAATTGGGTACAAACTGTCATCAATCATGTCATGACAATAACGGTTTATTATACACGGTCAACTTGTTAACGTTCTGTTTACATGATCAGACTGTAAACCTGTCGTATTTGTTTTTGTAGATTTACTCGAGATCGTTAGTAATTGGATTTTAACATTCAATTCGTGCTGTTTTTGTATATTTTTGTATATTGCTGGACATTCAAATCAACATCTTGTTCCAAAATAGACATGTGTTTGATGTCAGGTTTGTATAATCGAAACAGGCATCCAGTTTGCCAAGTAAACGTTGCGAGACTCTTGATTGCAGTCATGTCAGTATATACGTCAGTGCACACATCTGGACATTATCAGATTCCTATAGTTGTGATCACAAACTGGATATACGTATACATCATACAAACATCAAATACATATTGCTATATGGTGCATGGTGCAGATGTTGATGTTGGTAATCGACAGATACCATACAAGACATCTGGAATGGCTATACCAAGTATTGGGTTGAGCAGACATCTGCTAGCTGAAAACTCCAAACTTGTTCAGATACTGACATATTGTGTAGTATACAGACTACCATCACAAACATACCACTGCACTCATACACATTTGACACCACAACCACAATCGATTGTCGAGTTTTTGACAATCAGTCGTGTACAGTATCGAGTCGGATGTTGACACTATTGATGCCACATGAAATGCAGTGACCGAGTTACAAACACTTGATTGCGATTGAACTCACCGCTTAATCCAGCAATGTTTTGCAAATCAACATCCATAAACAAACCAACTGTCATACATATCGATGTCATGATAACTGACAATGCAGCAGAATTCCATCAAAGTGTTGTTGATTGATAGTTTTGTTGGGTTTACCAATCGAGTATTGATCGTAGCCTGACAATCAAATACCGACACTACTGACATGACCATTGAGTCTGTATTGCATTGAGCAGGATTGTAGCACAATGCCATATCACTGGATCAAGTGTGTCAAAGCAGAGCCGTTTGAAGGATTTTACCACTAATATTTGGCCAGCTGTTGTGTGGATAAACCGTTACCTTATATTGACCGTAACCTGAAACTAACTGATCATGTCAATCGATCTTGGCATATTTTTTAGTAAATGGATCAGGGCTACCGGCCCTTGATTACGAATCCCGTTTTATTCAATGGTTGAAGGGTTATATAAAAAACTTGCACATGAATAGTGTGTTATATGTATTTGAACAGCGGCCAAGTTGTCCCTGCATAAGCTCATATAACCCTTATGTCTTGATCATGTATTTAGCCACCATAAAAGTATTTAAATAAAAATATGTTGCATAGTCCATATTCACAACCGACCCGCTCATTACCAAGAATTGTCCTATTAATCAACAAGCTTTATCACATTCATTCTCGTCAACAAGATGAAATTTATATCGATTATTGTGCTGTCGCTATTGTCGATAACAGTCAGTGCGGTAGTTATTGATCGTCCGTCTTCCAGCGAATTAACTGCTGTGATCAGAGAAAAAATGGTAGCAGATTGCCTAGCTCGAGCACAGAAGCGTAGATCTAGATATGCTGGTGATTACTCTTCAACGGGAACAGGACAGCAACCTACTGAAACCAACCATGTCATAACTCAATCGACTGCAAATTCTGATAATTTGGACAACTCTGTCAAACAGTCCAATGGGAAAATGGTAGAAGAATCTCTAGCTCGAATAAAGCAGCGTAAATGTAAATACACTGGCGATTGTTCTTCAACCGGAACAGGACAACAGTCTACTGAAACCAGCCATGATGTAGCTCAATCAACCGTAGATCCTAATGATTTGGACAACTCTGTCAAACAGTCCAAACAGTCTGATGAATCGCCGTCATCCTCTCAGTCCAAACAGTCTGATGATATATTTGATATCACAACATGTAGTGATCCCTATCCTCTTCCCGAAAGCTATGTTTCAAAGAACGAACAGTTTATTCTCACACCTCGGCAAAAACTGGATAGGATCGAAAGAATGATGAAAAAGATAGGTATGGATATTCCAAGTGGAGCTGAAAATACATATCCATACAAGGTGAATGCCGAGGCAAAACAGAGAATACAAGAAGCTATACAAACGGGACGTAGAATGACTCCATTTGATAGAAGGAATCTAATGAGACTGAAACTAGCAAAAGCATGGGTGTGTTACAATTTGGAACTCGAGTCGTTCAAGGAAATGTCGATAAACGCTGTATCTGAGCCAAATCCAAAACCAAAACCAAAACCATCCGAATCTACTTCTAAATCTCATGGTTCAAAACAGAGTTATTTTAAAATCCATCAGTCAAAATCAAATCGTCAAGAAAATCAATCCACTTTATCAGCTTGGAAACTTAAACTCAAAATTAAGAAACCTAAACTACCAAAACTGACAGTGTATAGTAAATCAATGTTTGGAAACTAGACTGTTCAGTAGTTTTGGCGTCATCATCATGGCCGCCATTCAGGAGTTGGTTAGCAAACTTGTAGCACTGCCAGCCTATATCCATGTGGGTGCAGGTTGCTCACATAGAATCATTTCGTATCATCATTCGAGTTTATTTTAAATAAATGCATTTAAAAAACTGTCTGATAATTCAATTTCATTGTATAACTGGGATCACGCTATCAATAAGCTTGTTTAGAATATGCTGTAGTGCAGTGTGTACTGTATAATAATTTATACTTGATTTGCATTTGGTTTGCAAGTATTCAATCTCATTTGTCCAATAAACACCTTGCATTGTCATTGTCATTATCGATTCAATAGTATGCTCGAATTGATCATATTACACCAATCGGCTACTGTGCACTGAATGTATCAGATGGTGTCATGAAGTATTGGACAATATTCATAATTAAAGTATCAGCAGTCAGTGATTGCATAATCAATTGGATGATACGATCGAATACCGCTGATCACTTTGTTGGTGTTGGTGGCCAATATCACATGTGTACAGTATCAATATGTTGCACAACTGTAATCCAAACAGGTCAACACATGCCACATTGTAGCAATGCAACCAACTTGGTGCACCACATGCCAACATACATGTACTGTAGTGTATTGTAGTATACACTAGTAGTGATGATTTGACCAACGACATGCGTGGTTGTAATATTATACGTGAAACCACATGCTCATGTCCATGTTCATGATTATGATTATAGTGACATACAGTGTTACAATGATGGGTCAGCAACAATGTGATGGAACTGGATGTGCAATATCAAAACCATGCTCAGAATACGTCATATAACGACAACTTGCAGTCGTATTGACATAAATGGACCACTAAATAACAGTGTCGTGGACTGATTGACAATACAGCGGTATTGTTGTTGGTGATTGACATGCAAACAGCAGTTGCATTACTGACATGTACAACCATTGTTGTTGAACTAGATTGCGATCGTATTCGAGATTCAGAACACAACAAATGTACAGAGTTGTATTGACAACATCGATAGTCAAACACAACATATCGATTGCAATGCATGAATCCGAGTCCAAATTTGATGATCGTGCAATGTATGATTACTAAGAGTGCACAACGTGTAGATTCAACATTATAGTCTGATGGTGTGTCATGATGGTTGTTATAATCAAACACGCAATTGCAGTCAATGTGTAGTAACCATTGTATATTGCAATGCATAACACAGTCACTGCATGATGGATATCAAAATGATTCATTTGACACAAATACGGTTATATGTAGATATTCAAACACCAAATAGTTTATACGAAAGTAGTTGTAGTTTATTTTAATCAAATGAAACAGAGATATATGGACTGTAAATCAACAGAGCTTTCTAATATAAAAATATAGGTTTAGCAGTTGATTCCAATAAAGAGACAGCAGATGTTGTTGGGATCGCATTGTCCGGGTTCGGGCCTTCCAGGTCTTGGTCTATTGGTTCTTTTGGGCTTGCGAGTTCTTTTGGGCTTTGGTCTGCCAGTTCGTTTAGGCTTTGGTCTGCCGGTTCTTTTGGGCTTTGGTCTGCCAGTTCGTTTAGGCTTTGGCCTGCCGGTCCTTTTGGGTCCTGGGTTGGTAGTCTTTCTAGGATTGGGATTGGCGGTGGTCTTTGAAGGGATGGGTGCGGGAGCAGGTACAGGTGCAGGAGAAGAAGGAACAGCACCATCCTTGCATTCAGCAGGAACGGAAAAGTCATTTTGATGGTTTCTTGCATTGGGTCCCATACCACGTTTGGAGAATCCTCTCCAGATCTCACATTTGTTGGCTCCGTTGTAGCGAGCAGCATCTGATGCAATGATGGCATCACGAGCATCGAGGAAAGTGGGATTGCATGGCTGGATCATCATGCCTCCAATCACGTTCTGCAGAGCAATAATGTTACCAGCCGCATTCTTGGCATCGTGGAGATTAGCAGAGAATCCGCTCTTGGTGACCAAGTTCCAGTAGACTTCCCAAAGAGCAGTAGCCCACACTTCACCAATATCGTGGACTTCATCGCGTGTTTGGAGATCGGCATAGGTCAAGGGATTGACATTTGTGTCGGTAGAGTAAGGATGCGAGCGAATACCTTCGGGTCTATTGGTGACATAGTCGCCCAAGACAATAGGAGTAGTAGGTGTGTTGGCCTGTTTGGCAGTTACAATCATAGCAACTATGTCGGACCAGCCTTCACCCATACCACCCGATTCAAGAGTTCGCAAGCACTGGGACGTGGCAGATCCACCCGTCAAACGACTTGAAAGACCGTGTCCGTACTCGTGCAAAGGAATAGTGTTGTCGAGACCACCATCGCGGCGTGGATTGGTTTTTGTAAAGATGAACATGTTCATCTCACCATTCTGACCGTCAGAAGGAGTAAAGAAGTTGGCATTGTTGAATTTTTCTTGACTTTGCACAGTAAGAATGACAGCATCACCGTCTCTACCGCCTTTACCAAAGTTGTCATTTTGGAAGTTTCCAGCAGCTTCAGTGAAACCGTATTGGTAAGTAATGTCATGCATCAAATTGCCAATGTAAAAAAGATTAACCGCAGATGCTTGGACATTTTCTGCATCAGTAGGATCAGCATTGGCATTAAAATTGGAATCAAATACGCCATTGTTGCCAGTGCCAGCAGCACGACCAGAAATGAATGAAACAGCATTGATGTTGTTGCCGCTGGTGGAAGTTCCATCTGACCATCCGTTGGGTGAAGATGCCTTGAATTCAGGATTTTTGACAAGCGAGAATCCATCATCAGCATTAATTTTGGGAACTGGAATCACCTTGTATGAGGCCTTGGAACCAAAGTCGACAACTTGAACGACTTTGCCTGTATGATGGAATATTGAATAATAGGTCAGATTCATGGCATTAGTTTGGGGATAGAACACATACACAATAGACGTGTTGAATGGTGATTGTCAATTTTAATCCTTACCTGTAGCAGCATCTGACCACACTTGCAGCCATTGAGTCAGTGGGTTATCACGCAGCTGGAACTTGAAAGCATAGACAACTTTTCCATCGGACAGTTCAACGTACTCGAAAGTACTGGCGAATTTTTTATAGACAGGGATACCGTATTGAGCGGCAGCCGTAGCAGATGCCTGTTCAAAAGACACCTGTGTTTTTGGAGCGGCAATTGAAAGCTTTTCTTTGGCGAAATGACTGCTAGTACCAAACGAAGCAGAGTAAGATGTAACTTGACCTTTATAAACGTGAACAGCAGCTTGATGATTGGCGATACGGGCGCCTTTGATGACATGTGCACCATACACGTGAGTGATGCCTGCATGGTCTGTAAAGTTGTTGTAGATTTTAAAGCTGTCGCTGGACAAATTCAGTTTAGTCATCAGATACTTGAGACCGATCTTGGTAGACTCTTCGGACGTGAAAGATCTAAGGCTGTTGCTTTCGGCATTGAATGGAAGATGTTCGCCCATAGATTTGGGAAAGTGAAAGGGCAATGCAGGAGCCTTGTTCTTGTCAGCGGTAGCAGGAGCAGCGATTGCAACGGACGACACAAGTGTCAACACCAGTGCAGTGACAATCTGACTAAACATTTTCTTGATACAACTTGAACTGTATGGTGTTGTGTTTTAAACTACACGAAGTAGTCTAGATATTTTATAGTAAGTTTTGGGCGTTTTTGATTACTAGCAAGTTGAACGGGTAATTTATAATTGGGCACTTTAACACACGCGGAAACCAAGTCCGGGATCTTGACAATTTGTTGATTAAATCAATATTTTATCCAGTCGATATCACTTTGATTCATCTTGTGCACTAATATAGCACGAGTTGAATTGGACGATTACCTCATACCTACAATGGCTTTGAGGCGTACTAAGTTTGATTGTATTCTAACGGGTAGTTATAAGTTGGCATTTTAGCACGTGGAGGTAAAGCAAGGGTCGAGCAGTCTGTTTTGACTAAACTCGATGCTTTATTGAATTGACATCATTCTAGTAGAATGTATACAAACGACCCGCAACTTCAGACAATTGACAGTCTCAAACAGCTTGCATTTCAACTGAATCTCAACCATCGTTTTGAATTATGCGGCAAACGAGATTTCATGTTGACCGATTGCATAAATTTGTAGTTCAATGTTAACAACGCCATGAATTAAAAGGTTTAAACTATTGTTTGCTATTATTGGACCCTACTCGAGTCATTTCATAGCCATGCATGACTAGCATATTTTTAATCGGAATAGTTCATATTAGCATTGAGATTAAGTTGATAGTAGTGATTATTGTTTGAGTTGTTGTATTGGTTTGAGTTGTTGCATGAATGCAGGTGTTGTATAAAATGTTGACTAGTGTTGGACAGTGATGATCAGCAACACCTCAATGCTTGGTTAGAAAGCTTGACAGTGAAAGGACTGCAGTTTGTTTCCCTTCAAGTTTCAACATGGTTATGCGTTTATCTGGAATGCTTGCTGCCAGTGCAGTGGTTGGTGCTGGAATATCGTATTGGTTAGTTAGAAGATCCGACACCACTACAGGTGCATCTGGTCATTCCACTGTAGATGTTGCATCTAAAAAGAATGCTACGTTCAAACCATCGTATGGTGTAAAGGAGAATATAAATACTATAATGGACAGATATGGACATCCAGGTATGTCATCAAGAGGTTTTTGAACCTGATAAACTATTGTGGATTATCAAGGATGACCACTTATTTTTATATATTACTGGATTATTCCTATAGGACCTTCTGCAGACTATTTTGCTCGAGATGTGTATGGTAATAACACACTTGGTTTATTGAGTCAAGCTTCAATACCATCTAACCCTGGCTTATGACATCAGCCTTGTCGTATAACAGAGCAACTCGGAATGCTCATTGGGTTTCCGAGTATCTGACAAGGGATACTTTTATAGATTCTTCAAATGATGAAAATAAGGAATCTGATGGTCCTGATCGTAACAAATCTAAATTCAAAGAGGAAAAGGCAGTTCCTGAGCAGTTTCGTTCCAAGCTCAGCGACTATGCTGGATCTGGATTTGATAGGTATAATGTATAGTCTGTATACATGGATGAGAACATTAATACTAAGTTGAATTTTAGAGGACATTTGGCACCTGCAGCAGATGTCAAGGAATCTCAAAATGCGATTGATGAAACATTTATATGTGAGTCTACTCGATCTGATTTAAATAATGTATTTATCTTGTACATCTAAAGCATTTCTTTTATCAACTGAATTCTAGTGTCTAATATTTCACCTCAAGTAGCCAAAGGATTTAATCGAGGATATTGGGCACAAGTTGAACGATTTGTGAGATCGTTAACCAAGACATTTGATCAAGTGGTTGTTACTACAGGACCATTATTCTTGCCTACTCAAGATGAGGATGGAAAATATTGGGTCAAGTATCAATTATTAGGCGATCCAGGAAACACTGCAGTGCCTACACACTTTTTCAAAGGCAAGTAATATATAAAATCATGAATTTGTACAACTGAATGCTGACTTGAAATAAATAGTTATTGTAGCAACAGTCAAGAATCAGACATTTGCACAAGCATTTGTGCTTCCCAATCAAGTTATTCAAGATTCTCCTCCACTTACAGATTATATTGTTCCAGTTGAATACATTGAAAGAATGTCAGGATTGCTGTTATATCCAAACTTACAAATCAAGACACTTCCTCCATTGTGTGAGCGAGTCACTTGCGTTGTCAAGGCATTTAAAGAAGTCTTGAAAAATAAGAAATAAATTGTTGAATTCAAAGTCGTGATTTGAGCTTCGCGTGAGTTTCCTTCGCTGTCATCAACTTCAGTTTCTATTATCATGGATTTTTTAATGTCTGGATATTCTGCTCTAAAAGGTCAAAAGGGTCAACCTCAATCACCACAGGAAACTATCGATAAATTATGTGATAGAGTCATGAACTCTACTTTACTCGAAGATCGACGAGCTGCTGTTCAGGTTTTAAGAGGTCTTGCTAGGGACTGGCAGCTGGTGAGTGGTTTCATCAAACTGTCTTGAACTCTGGCCAGGATTTTCATAAGAAATAAGAACTTATTTTAGTACTGGAACCTCATACAGACTTTTCATGTGCAGTTTATACATGAACAGATTAGTCAATCTAACTCATTACTTGATATTACATTCACTTTATCTGGATTCTATTGTGAATCTGTCTAGGATGTTGGTACCAAAGCCATGAGTGCTTTAATCAATGTACTCAAGTCGGATCGTATGGATGTTGAGATCATCAAATCCACTCTCGAAACCCTCAATATTCTGTGTGCTCAGGAAGTAAGACCAGTTGGATTGTATCGTCTTTTTCAATACTGTGTTGACTTTTTGTAATGGCGACCATTGTGCTGTAATTCAGGCAACCACTCCAAAAACTACAGATCCAGCAAATAATGATGGTCATGATGTTGGCACTATGTTTACCGAAATATACACAAAGGTAATGGGTTTCACTTGATTCATGAACAATGAATGCTTGCCAATATTTAATACTGGTTGGCTTAGGATGCTGCAAATGTCACTCTGTTGTTGGATATTTTGGCCGAGCTCGACTTTTATGTTCGATTGGACACTGTTCAGTTTTTGACTACTTTGCTCCACAATGCTGGCCCACATTTGCAAGACTGTGTTTTGACAAGTCCCATGGGAATTTCAAGGTAAATATCCCAGATCTATGCTTGATTATCACTCTCAACTCCATTGATATTGACTCGATATTCTACTGCTACGTTTGTATACTTTAGACTGATTGATCTTCTCGATGATCGTCGTGAAATTATTCGAAATGGTAAATCAACTATACAGATTCTTATAACTTCACAAACTCTAATCTTTGTACAAATCATAATTTAGAGGGTTTATTGCTTTTGATTTCTCTCACACAGTCCAATGCCGATATCCAAAAAATTATTGCGTTTGAAAACGCATTTGAACGACTCTTGTCTATTATTTTGGATGAGGGTGCAACAGATGGTGGAATTATTGTACAAGACTGTCTACAATTGATGCAGAATTTATTGAGACACAATGTATCCAACCAGGTAAATCATTTATTTTGACAACTTTTTATACAGTTTGGATCTTGATTTAAACTGATTTTTTTAAATTCTAGAATCTATTTAGAGAAACAAGCTGCATCAAACAGCTTGGCAAGCTTTTAGTTTCAAAAGTGCTTTCGCATGATCATAACAATGCTACTGATCTCCCATTGACACATGAGCGGACTGAATGGACTGATCAAAAAATGGCCAATGTCAACTCTGTTTTAGAACTAGTTTGTATTCTTGTGGCGGAAAAAAATCCCAATACATCCATGAATCAGGTATTGGTACTCGATCTGTCTTGGAATTGAAGATGCGTTCAACTTAATTTTATTTTGGGTGCTTTTTACAGACTGCATTGGGACATGCCAATGTTATTGTTCCACTTTTTCAACTTGGTATGGCACTCCATGTGCCCACTCGTGTTCGTGCACAGGCTCTTTTCACTGTTGCTGATGCCATTCGTGGAAACTTGGTCAATCAAGAAACCTTTGGAAAATCAGTCATTACTGTTGTTACTCGACCTGAACATGTCGGCGTTTCCAACCAAAAACAGTCTCCAGGTGCACCAAGACCAAGTATAATCAGTATTATTTTGGTTGCTATGGGTCGTGATCATATTTCCATTCGTGCTGCTGCTACTTATATTTTCCAGGCATGCTATACATGCATTGATTGTTTTTAGTATTATGCAGTTTTAATATTGATGCATGTTTGTTTCTAGGCATATGTATACAAGAATCCTGATAGCCAACTTGCATTGGTTTCAACTTTTGTTCCACCTCCAGCGGACAATCCCAACAGTAACGCATTGGGTATGTGATGTTTGAACTGGCTGTATACGGATTGAGTTTCTGACAGACGGTTCATTTCAAATGCAATATATACGAGTTAGATTTACCCGTGTCGCCAGGATCTCTGCTTATTTCATCGATTCTTGATTTGGACGAGTCACGAAAAGATTCGTTTATATCTTGGTTTGCTACTTCGATATTCCAGCACCTCATCCGAGATAACCGACAATCCAAACAAACTGCAGCACTGATCAAATTTGAAGAAGGGGAGGAGCATATTTCATTGCTTCACAAGTGCATGTATACACTTCTTTGTGCTAGTCGTAATGGTGTGCATTTACGTGTTCAAATTGGGCTATGGACTTTGCTTGCCCAATGGCTTTATGATTGTCCAAGAGCAGTCAAGGAATTTTTGACTGAAGGAAGCAACATGCAGTTTTTGGTTGAGCAAGTGAATCAATCTTCTGGTGTCAATGCTGTTGTACAAGGACTGGCTGCCTTTATCATTGGTCTGTGTTATGAGTTTAATGACGACAGTGAGCCTGTGTTTTCAAGGTACTTTACACCATATCAACATCTATCCATGGGTTTGTCATGTAATGAGATTTTGAACCATTCTACAATAATCCAATAGGGCCAATATTCAAGGATTAGTCATGAGTCGTATTGGATCTGATGTTTTTCAAAGTCGTTTGGAACGACTTCGCGAATCTAAACAATTCAACAGTTCATTTCTGCATATTCTCAAGGTAAATGTGACATGTAGTGAAACCATTTGAAAACGTATGTATACACTCAAACCTTTTGTCTATTTTATAGAAGAACGAGATTGTGGATCCAAAGAATGGACCAGAAATTTACTTTGATCACTCTTTTGTTGAATTCTTTAAATCTCATTATGGTATGTAATAGCCTAGATTTGTATTTTTAAAATGTGTGCTAATATAAAGCATGTTTGCCATTTGGTGATGTACAGATTTAATGATTCGATCCGTGACGACTGTTTTACCCAAAGACGCACCCCCTGGTCATCGTCATGGCGTTGATGAATCGAGTACCCATACCAATCATTTACGTGATAACTCGACTTCGCCAATGCATAATGGGTTCAATGAAGCAGCAGCAAATGAGATTGCTCAACACAAGGCAGCATTGGAAGCATTGGAAAAAACAGTAGCGTCCCAGCAAGAACACATAAAAAAGCTTGAATCCACGCTTGCACAATTCAATCAGCCAGAATCCAATAACTCCACACAAGTGAATCAACTCACCACCACGATAACCGAATTACAGCTTAGTCTAGATCAGGAGCGTGCCAAACGGCTAGAGATTGAGCAAGAGCAAGAAGATTTACTCGTTTGTTTTGCTGAACAGGACATGGAGAATTCTGAATTGAAGAATCGATTAAAAACCTATGGCGAGGTGTTTGAAGAGAATGACGAATGAATTGAATATAAAGTGATGTTGAAAGTCTTGTAACAGGATTACATTGTAATTGTATTTTATATGAATACAAAAAAAACTGGTGATTGTAGAGTGTATGACAAGATGTAATATCTTGACTTGAAACTAATATGTTTCAAGGAAACGGAAATACCGATTTAATTCCATTCTGGTATAACTAGGCGAGTATTTATAATCGTGTTTACAATGGAAATTAACGTGAACACGACTGTAAATTTCGTAATCAGATAGCGAACAGACTCTAAATAAACACAGAACATCGTGACCACACAAGCAGCTTGAATACTGACAAGAACAGAGATTTGGGGACACAACGTCACGATTGGCAACTTCCCCAAATTCTTAACTTCTAACCCCTAAATTCTAGCCCAACCACTAAAACAAACAGTATGACTACTGCAACCAATGGAACTGCTCACGGCACTGTGTGCCAGGCCGCAACCAAGACTATTGCTGTTTTGGGAGAAGCTTCTCGTACCACGAATTCTCCTGAAAAGGGAAAGTCTTCAGAGGAGATCATTGCATTAGAGTATCAATATGGTGCTCACAACTATCACCCCTTGCCTGTAGTGTTTTCCTCTGCTCACGGCATTTATGTGACCGATCCAGAAGGTCGCACTTATATGGACTTCCTGTCTGCTTATTCTGCTACAAACCAAGGTGATTTGATTTTTATTGCTCTTGCTGACTAGTGACAACTGTTGTCAACTATCAATATCTGATCATGTGACGTATTATGGTCAATCAACAATTTGGCCGGTTTGATCGGTTGCTTTGAAATCATCAGGGATTCATTTCTTTTAAAAACAAATCCTTAATGACTCGATTTGATCCGTGCTTATTCCTGTGCATGTTGTTCATCTAATCTCGTAAATTCGCCGTTGATTTTACATTTGATTTCCAAGCATCCAATGCAGAATACAAACCAAGTTTCAAATCAACTGAAATGATTAACACGTATGAATGGTTTAATTAGGTCATTCGCATCCAAAGATTCTCAAGGCTTTGTCTGATCAAGCTGCCAAACTCGCCTTGTGCTCTCGCGCTTTTTACTCGGATACGTTTGGAAACTATGCCAAATATATTACCGAGGTGGGTATCCTGTTCATCACTGATACCATCATACTTTGAGTCTAAATCATGTACATGTGTCTAGTATTTTGGATTTGATATGGTGCTGCCCATGAATACAGGAGCAGAAGCTGTTGAAACTGCTTTCAAACTTTCTCGCAAGTGGGGATATCTCAAGAAAAACATTCCAGCCAATGAGGCTATTATTATTGCATGTGGAAACAACTTTCACGGAAGAACCATTTCTATTATTTCCATGTCCAACGATCCAGATGCAACCAATGATTTTGGTCCATTTGTTCCAAACATTACTAGCATCTGTCCTGCAACGGGAAAACGCATCAACTACAATGATGCTGATGCACTCGAAGTTGCATTCAAATCCCATGGTGACAAGATCTGCGCATTCCTTGTAGAACCCATCCAAGGCGAGGCAGGAATTTTCGTTCCTGATGAGGGTTATCTTACCCGCTGCTACAATCTTTGCAAACAGTACAACATTCTTTTTATTGCTGATGAGATTCAGACTGGTTTGGCACGTACTGGTAAGCTGTTGGCTATTGATCATGAAGGAATCAAGCCAGATATTTTGATCTTGGGCAAGGCTTTGTCGGGAGGTTTGTATCCTGTTTCTGCCGTTCTTGCCAACAAGGATATCATGCTTTGTCTGAAACCAGGCGAACACGGAAGCACGTATGGTGGTAACCCACTTGGATGTGCTGTTGCTATGGCTGCTCTCGAAGTCATCAAGGAAGAAAAGTTGGCTGAGCGTGCTGAATTCATGGGCCAAAGGTTCCGAGCTGGACTTGAATCTCTTCACTCCCCTTTGATCTCGATTGTTCGTGGCAGAGGACTTCTCAATGCCATTGTTATTGATGAAACCAAAAGTGACAAAACGGCTTGGCATATCTGTCTTTTACTAAAGCACTATGGTCTGCTGGCTAAACCCACACACCAAAACATCATCCGTCTTGCTCCACCACTCTGCATCACTGAAGAACAAGTCGACCAAGGAGTAAAGATCATCGGCAAGGTGTTGACGGAGATTGTCGCTATGAAAATCAAGGACATTCCTGGGCTTGAAAGCGATCATTGATTCCAGCCAAGAATTGCCTAGTTATGGTCACTCAACTTATTATTTTATGCATATCCATTTCATTTGCGTTGCTCAACCCTATCCAAAGCATAATTTATTAAAGTTGATTTTTGTTGATGTTGTCGAGTGTGTCCATTCTAAAAGGATTGGTTTATCGTTGATGGTTGAAATTGTACACTATTATTTTATACTCGGTCCATGTCGCGATATTGTCGTTGAAACCAACACTCTAGTAGTCATGATTCCAAGAAACCAACACTTTGAAGAGTCTATTTTACATGATCATTCAAGTATTTAAATTTGATACACAAAATACATTTTCAATTTGATCAACTTTCATTATTCCATTGATCAACACGTTCGCAGTTGGGTAGCCGCATTCCTTGAGCTCGTTTTAGCATTTTTTTGTCTACTCCGAATAATCCGTACGATTGTTGGATTTGGAATCTTTTATTTTCCAGTTCGCTTCGACATCCTCGTTCCAAGGCTTGGAGATAAGCTTTTTCCACAGAACCCTCCAACACTTTTGTTTTGGATTCACTTGAAGCCCAGTTGGATTTAAAGTGTTCAGAGTTGACATAGTATGGAACTTTGTGGATTGAAGTGGTGTGTTGTTCAGGATAATCTCTAGATTTGGTGAATGAAAAGGCATCCGGTTGGGTTGAAGAAAGCAACGAAGCTAGAGTAAATAGTCCTAAAAAGATGACAGGAAGCATTTGGATGATTTGAAGAAGAGAACTGGAGTTGACTTGAGTTCCTTGACGTGCTTGTGCCTGACGGAACCGAGCTCTTGGCTGTGAGTTGGAGGAAAATGTATGAAACCCAGCTCCACCTATACGTCAAGAATGTACAAACGTGTCAGTATTCCAAATCAATGAGTAAATGGGATTGAAGCCAACTCACCAAATCCAGGGAAATCATCACCACCCATAAACATTCTGAATAGATCTTCAGGACTAATATCTCCTTCAAAGCGTTGACCATTGAAGCCACGGAATCCAGCACCACCACGAGATGCAGCAGCAGCACCAGCTCTAGTATCTGGATCTATGCCGTATCGATCATAGTGTTCTTTTTTGTCAGAATCGCCTAAAACAGTGAATGCGTGACTGATTGCCTTGAATGCTTCATCAGTTCCAGGAGCACCACATTTATCAGGATGAAATTGCAATGCAAGCTAAATACACCAGTCAATAAAGAGTCGAATATCCACACAAGTCATACAAGCAACACACCTTGCGATATGCCTTTTTGATATCTGATTCGCTGCAGTCTTTTTCTAAACCCAAGATACCATACAAATCACCTTTGGTTTTAAAAGCACGAATTTTCTTGATTCCCTTGACTTGAAGATCTGTGAATGGTCTCGATGATTCATCTTCTTGTGCAGCCGTAGGTTTAGATGACGATGAGGAATGAGTTTCAGAAGTAGATGAATGTCTTTGACGAAGATTTGGACCTGTGGAAGTAGATGAAGGTTTTGTATCGGCAGTAGATGATTGATTATTTAAAAACTCGAGCTAAAGCACAGATTGCAGAATGAAATGAAATCCAGAACAACAAGAATGAGATATAGAATTAGTAAAAGAATTCAACGAGTGCATGACCAACAAAAGGGGCGTTATAGCCAGACACTCATACAGGGAGGTTTTCAACAACATTTTAGAATAGAATTCTAGTTCAAGACATTCACTAGTGATGTTGAAACAGAAACTTGACTAGAATGAACTTGATAAACAGTAATGATGACCAACAAAGCACTTTTTTCTAACTAGTGCATCAACACTCATAGCAACACACCCATGTTTGAGTTTCTGTAGAAACATCCAATGCAATAGCCTTGTTGGCAAACTTTAATGCAGCAACTGTTTCACCAGCTGCAAACTTCTTTTTGGATATTTCCAAACATCGCAAAGACTCGTCTCGATTCATGAGTATGTACAAGTAAGTCTTGCAGTAACAATGTCAAGATGAATTCAACACTCGATTTTCTTGATCAAATATCTGGTAAAGTGTTGTATAAAACGTTGAATTCAAGTTTTATTCAGTTTACAAAAGATAAAATTCCACAAGTGCTTATCCAAACCACACACAGCATAAATCCTCTTAGAATGAATCCGGATGAATACATGATTGAACTATTGGATTGTTGCGAAGGTGTCGCTTTGTTAACATGTGTTGTATTCGATCCTGTTATACTCATTCCATTTCCTAACATGCCTGCATTGGGTCCACTAAGAATCTTTCCATCCAAATCAGTCGTGCCTTCTTCCAACAGATTAGCATGAACTGCAATAGATATACTCATGGCTGGATTGAGTGTTACTCCAGTAACTTGATTGGAGAGTTTAGCAAATGAAATGGCATATTGGTCAAAGAAAGCCTTTTGATCCGCAGCATATCTATCATACAGTATACGAATATTTAATTAAACTGTATGTTAAACCATTCAAGACTTTTATCATGAATCAAGTATACCTTTGAACAATAGGACGCAACTCTGGATCATTGGCAATATCACAATCTACAGGAACAGGACAATGACCAGCCAACACTCGAATAAACACATCATTATCAAATACACCTGGAGTTGTATCAAACGGAATATACGACTTGTTTGTAAGTTGAGGAGAGTTGGCTGCATGAATTCCACTATTCAATCAAGTTAGATTCAGTTAAGCTTTCTTATAAGACGTGACTTGACTTACCCCATAGTATGACTTCCAGTTACCAAGACAACAATGTCTTCGTTTGTCCATCCCATGCGTTGTAGTTTGGGTTTGACAGTAAGATATCGTTCGTTTGCTTCAGGGATCCTCCCTATGGGAGTTTGGGGAGTGGTGGTGTCAATTCTTCCAGGGGAGTAAGGAATATGTGGACCACCACAATGAGTTACTGATGTCAATCCAGCAAGAGCAATTGTGTCAGCAGCCGACATATTGACAGCAGTATTCTGCTGAAACCTTGGAGCAAGCGATGCAAACAGTCCTGCATTCTCGCTCACATTAGCAAACGACCTAATTCCTGCATTGGCTCCGCCATAAAGTGCTGGAGCAACAGCATTGGGATCCCATGTTCCTGCATCATGAAATACAGCTCTAATCCACAACGCAGCGAGGTTTTTGGAAGGAGCATCTATTGGCAAGTCGGTATGAGAAATAAGACAGTTTCCTGGTGCTTGTAGAAAGAATTGGAATTGTTCTACACCTGCTTGAGCTGCTTGTGGAGATCCTGCAATACCAATTCCTTGAGCTGATACAGTTATAGTATTTAAAAACAGTGTTGTTAAAAAGAACTTTATCAATGACATGTCAAACAATTCGTATTGAATAGTGAATGGATTATAACAAGACAAAAAGGAATAAGAACGCATAAAATCATTTCAAATCCATTTTGATGTTTGAAACTGCGCCAAACTATTTTGTTACATTCTAAAAGCACAGTTTACAATACAAACTTTTTATGAATAAAATGTTCAAGTTTACAATAAAATAAAATGCAAGACACGATCAATGTTCTTGTCATTCAAGTTTGATATTTAAAAAAACTATTTCTCATGAAAATCTCTCTTGTTGTTTCTCTTGTTTCTATTCTTATTTCTGTCCTTCATTCTTGTTGTAATTCATCAATTTTAATCAATTTATTTTGGGTTAAAATCTAAATTTGACATTCAATATTTTTCTTGTTTCTTGTTTATAATCCAACAATGGATCAAGAACATACTTCGTCTTGGCCTTTTCAACCCCCTCATGGACTTGAAAAGATTCCTTACACTTCTTCATCACTTCCTGTATCCAATCCTCTCACATTCTCTGCTTCTAAATCAGATTCATCATCTAATGAAACTGAACTATGGCTGTTTCGAGTCCCAATGCATGTAAGTTCTTTTATGTACTCTTTCAAACTAATGAAACAAGAGTCTTATTCGATTCATTCAGTTTAAAATAGATGATTTGGAATCAGTCAATATTTCTGAAACAATCACTACAGAACCTATTCAATCCAAGTCCTCAAAAGATCATTCCACCTACAATATGATTCAACTCTTACCCAACACAAACCCAGAAACACACATGAAATTGGTAGATGTAGGTGAAATGGCAACCATGTCAATTCTACATCCTTCAGATGTGCATCAAGGTATGCGTGTGGGAAAAAGAGCATTTGATCGGATTGTGCAGATTGTACCAAGTCATCGAGTTGATCCAGTATTGCAAGAAGATACATTGATCAATCAAGGTCTCAAGGCTTTGGATGTACCTTATACTCCACGAACTCCAAAAACCGGACTCGAATTGCAATCATTGCCATTTGGGTTTCATTCTGGTAAGATGAATGCTCAACATTGAGTGGATGATGTATATATTAAATTGTTTTTGTTATAGGTGAACGGCTGGTCAAGATTTCCAAAAAAAGATCTGCACATTCATCATCATCAGTATCTGAAACAGCCACTTTACCTATAAAAATCAAATCTAAAGGTGTAACCCCTTCCAAGAGCAACCCCAAAGTTAAAAAGTCCAAAAAAACTGAATAAATATCGAGTGAATGGTTGATTGCAACCCAATCCAAAAATAATAGAATTGAAGTGATGAAACAAAAAGTGTAATAATCAATTGTCATGTATTTAAAAAGTAACAATCCAATCACAAAGATGGTGTTGAATCAAGTAATGCGACTCGACACAAATCTAGTACTTTTTTTAAAGTTCAAGAGTCTGCACGTTTGCGTTGCCATCTTTATTGATGATCAGATCTTGATTGGTTTATAATTGCCAACAGATAAATATTTATTTACATTTCAGGTCAATTTCATCATGATTTGAAACCAGACTGCTGTTGTAGCATTTCAAACGGAGTTTTTTTGTAAAACTTTACAATTGGTTTAGTTGGTGTACAGATATACAAGAGACTGTTGAAACCCATCAATACAAAATCAAGGATTGTCTTGTATCGAGTCGAGAGAATCAATGGATCGTGTCAACAAGTCAGATTGTTATCGTGACACACACAATAGACGATCTTGTCATTCAAATCAACAATTGTGTTGATATTCTGAAATCAATATCAAGAATAACAGTTTCTTATTCCTATTGTTGCAGCCATAACGTGATTTCCTGAGGGTTTGAATTAATAACTAATTTGAGTCTAGAGAGTCCGACTTTATCCATGAGTTCTCAAGACCCAAAAGAGGCAAGGTTTAAAGTGTAGCGCATTACCTCGTATTTATCAGACCATTATGGGTGCTGACACAACAATACACTCTTATTTAGATTGTGCTTGAGCCGTATCAATACCTCATTCAGCATCCTGGCCAGGAAATACGAAACTTGCTTATTGAAGGGTTTCAAAAATGGTTCCAGGTGCCCACTGAAAAACTTGCCATTATCAAGCAAGTGGTTGCTATGCTGCATACTGCGAGTTTATTGTAAGTGATTTGCATCATTTAAATAGTGGCTTGTACTAAATCATACTTGATGAATAGGGTCGATGATGTAGAAGACGGATCTGATTTACGACGTGGAGTGCCAGGTAAACAGATCTGTTTAAACTCAATCCTATTGTTGTATAACATCTTGTGAATTCTTTTTAATCATACAATGTTTAGTCACGCACAAGATTTTTGGAGTTGCAAGTACAATCAATGCTGCTAATTACGCGTAGGTTGGCAACTGGTTTGAATGGATGCATTGACATGGATTGACATGTTTTTTTGTTTTAGATACTTTATTGCTTTGGAAAACGTGCTGATGTTGAAGGATGTGAGAATTGTTCAAGCATTTACCGAAGAGTTGCAATTGCTGCACTTGGGACAGGGGATGGAGATTCATTGGAGGGACACAGTTGTTTGTCCAAGTGAATCTGATTATTTGAAAATGGTAGAAAACAGTAAGTTTTAGTTTGAGATACTGGGTATGGATTTAAATGTACTGAGTAAATGTTTAGAGACAGGAGGTCTTCTTCGATTGGGAGTTCGAATGATGCAGCTGTGTGCAAACTCGTCATTGTAAGTTGTGTTTTAGTATACCCGGTAGTAGAATGATATGGATTGGTAACCATAGAATTTGATATACAAGTGACATTGAGTCACCGGCAGCGCTAGAATACATCAAACTAGTGAATCTGATTGGTGTATTTTATCAAGTGCGTGACGATTATTTGAATCTAAAATCAGCCAAAGTAAGCCTACTGTTTCAAAACACTTTTATTTCAAGATGATAACAGTTTTAAAAGTATCATGATCGCAAAGGGTATGCAGAGGATTTAACAGAGGGTAAATTCTCATACCCGATTGTTCGATGTATCCATAAAGACAGCAGCAAGTCATCGCAACTATGCAGTTGAGTAGTGTATTAAAAAACATGACACAGTTTGAAGCATGCTAATGACCATTCCATCACACAGGTATACTAAGACAGCGAACACGAGATATGGATATTAAAAAGTATGCGATTGAGATATTAGAGAATGCGGGAGTGTTTGCAGACACAGCAAAGGAATTGAAGAGTATGGAGAGAAAGGCAAGAGAGATGGTAGTCAAGCATGGTGGTAACCAGGTTTTAGAGCAGATTTTAGATGGATTATCTCATGGTTATCAAGAATGAATAAATCAAAGTGAAGATCAAAGCACGAATGAAAATCTTGACTATCGAAGCATCAACTGGTTATTATTGAACTAGTATTATTATTGATGGACTTTGACTTGACAGAGTTGTTTGTTTCCAACGATGATGCAGCCTCACAACCGCCTGCATTGGCCTTGTCTGAGTCGCAAGCACCAGCAGCAGGTTATCTGACTGTTCAAGAGTTGTTTGGAACAACAGGAACAACAGGACTTGCAGGACTTTCAGGACTTTCAGGAACAACAGGAACAACCAACACTCTCCGTGTATGCACATTGAGTAACAACACTAGTTGTGGGTTGAGTTCGACTTTATCTGAAACTAGTGCTGAATGCAATGCATTGAATGCAACCGACACTTCTCGTTGGAATCATTGCTCTCTTGTCGATCATTCCGACTCTTCCATTGAAACTACTGTTGCTGCTTCTACTACATCAATGCCTGACTTGATTCAGTTTGGTGATTTCACTCCGTTGATTCCAAGTGTCCATGACTCGACCATGACTGGAATCCACGATGACTATAACTCTTTAATGAATAATAAAATGCCTTCTCAGTCGGATTTTGGTCTGTTCCAACACCCGAGGCGGAACTCAACCTTGGCTTCCATTCCCTCCATCAGCATCGCACAACCCACTTCAACTGCTATCCATTCCAATCTCAGGTCGGATCGTCCTTCTACTATTGTGATTTCTACCACTCCTGTCACTAAAACTATCCCTGAATCGGGTGCATTGATGTCTGCTTGGATTTCTCCGTCCGCTGGTCTGTCCAATTGCTCTTTCAATTCATTTGCTGTTCCTCATCCGCTTTCGGATTCTCGTTCCACTCTTCATCAACATTTACTTCGTCAGCAATCCATGACCCCTCAGAATGATCTTTATTCCAACTCGTCATTGTCTGCATCTCATTTAAAACATAATTCTCAACAATTACTGATGATGCATCCTCAACAATCGTTTCAATTTCAACCACTGTTTGGCTTATCCAGTGGCTCTACTTGTGTGTCCTCTCCTATCGTGTCCTCAAGCTCTACTCTTACTGGCACTCCATTATCTGTATCCGATTTGGCTGTATCGCCCATTGGTTCTGTATCGCCACGTATAGTCGAACCTCATGCTTTAATGCACGCTCCTACTCATACTACACTGGCTTCTGTCAGTGCTCCTGTATCCACTACTGTATCTCCTAGTACTATGATGATGGATTCTAAATATCCTTTACTAGGTGCTGAAAGTGACTATTCAGAGGAAGATCACACGAGTGATGTGTTTCGTCAGAGAAGATTAGGTTCCGATCTTTTCATTGGCCATTCAGATGTGCCAACTACTTTTACTGCCTTGCAATCTCATTCCAATCATGATGTCAGTACAACTGTTTCTATTCCTGTCAGTGCACAATATAGGCGTCATTCATCTGCTAGTCTAACTGTCATGCCTATTGCTACTGTAAAAATCAATCCAATTGATAACGAGGTACAGTCTACTGCCGTGATCTCTACCATGACCTCTACAACCGACGCTACAACTACCGATGTGGACAGCGACTCTGAAAGCGATCTTGAACAGGTTTCTGATCCATTGCATGACGCTTTAATCACTGCAAAAACTGAAGATTCAAAACACGACCATCATGATCCATATCATTCAACATATACATTGAATGCATCCATGGATAATGCATCTACTCTAACTAAATCTACTAATAAAATGGCTCCACGATTTGCTTCTGGTGGAGGTAGAGGTCGAAGAAATAAACGTGCATCAGTCGCATCAAGCACACCGTTGGCACTTTTGACTCCTTTACGTAACGGACTCAAACCCAGTTCAGGAAGACGGCGATCTACTGGAGCAGCTACTGCTTTTATGGCTGCTGTCACCTCTGAACTCTTGGATGAAGATCCAAACTCTCATCCCGCTTGGGATCAATTATCAAAAGAAGATTTGAAGCTTTTTATAGATCCTTCATTGTCTATGCAAGACCGTAAACTGATTCGACAAAGTATTACGATTAGGAATCGAAGACGTAATTCCATTGCTGCTTTGGATTCACATGATCGTATGTTACCATTACTACCGGAAATCAATCCTAAAAGTACAAATGGGTTTTCTCCATTGTCGACTGCGTTGACTTGTGACAATGGATCATCTTTTGATGTTGATTCCTTGAACAGTAATGGAACTGGCGTGTCAAGACGTAGAGCGTCTGTATCGACGCTTCCACTATCCAATTCTAAACCGTTTGCAACCCATACAACGACCACTTACTCTCCCAAATCACCTGCCTTTTTGCATACTCCATCCACGCCATCTGGAACTCCAGCCTATATTGGATCAACACTTGATGAATTCACCACTCTCTCTGGCTCTTCATCACCGAAATCTACCACTGCTTTAAACACACAACCACGTCGAGTGAGCTTTAGAGAAAATGTTCGACAAAGACGAGAATCACTTCAAGCACTGCTTCGACATATCTCTACTCAAGAGGGTATCACATACACTGTTGGCACTCCATTTCCCCTTCGATCGCTTCGGTCTGCCACAACAACCCTACCCATGACTAAAGTCGAGGGTAACATAGAGTCTAAAGGCACTGGTGACAATCTCGACAATATGGATGTGAGTGTGGATGAGTCAGTGCAGGATTCCACTATACTGTCTAGCTCCGACCCGATGGACATGTGCATGAATGAAACAGACATTTACTCACATCAAAAGCAAACAGGATCACCTTCGCATGATATCTCGCATCCACCCACAATTGTCAATACTGTAGCTGCTGTTGAAAGTATACCGGATGATCTGTCAAGATTAGTTGGCACTGCGTTTATATTAAAAGTTCATTCTGTGGACACGCCTTTACTCCATCATCACCAACCTAGTCTTGCTGGCTCAAAGCCTGCGTTGTGTGATGAACATCCCAATTCATGCAGGATATTCACACCTTTTGATCAGTATCCATCACAGGGAATTATGTTTGAAGATGGCAATGTAACCAATGCAATTCATCATCATGCCAAGAATGCACAACGGCTGTATTTGCAAGCCATAGGACGCTTTTCTGCCATGGATGATTGCATTCCGCCTGTCTGTTCTGTTACTACAGAAGAACAAATCATGGCCCGAGATTTGTTGCAGGTGATGCTGAATCTATAACTCATTGACTTGATATCTACACGTTTTTTGGTTATTCAATACCAATCTAGATCTGCATTTGCTTCTCCTTATTGTTCACATACATTATTTTCGGTGCGAGTTTTTTTCATCTCATTTATATCTGCCACTATTTTACAATGTTCATCTCTGTCTTTTATCTCATGAACCCTATTATTATTGCTCTATTGCCGTTTTCTTGGGTTGAATTATATAAATATTGGTTCTTGAAGTTTTTATTTTGTCACTGCTATAATATCAACAGACTGGTTTGAGTGAGCAGTATATTTGAATCATTAATGTTACTGGCATGTATGAATACACACTACAATGTGAATCTGTTTTGTACCATTGAGATGAATCATATTTGAGCTAGTTTCAGAGTTGTCGAATGATACTACAAATCCATCTTTTAACTAATGGTATCTACAATGGTAAAAATGGTTACTACCCCAATAGCTGATATATTCAAATTTTAATGCAACCACGTGTGATGTATTATGCTTGTTGGCAGGTATTCAATCAACCTAAGCATTAATGCCTCGACCACTTGCATCGGCACACACCGGTATGAATTGCGCAGGTGTTTGTTATTAGGCGTTTTACGGGTTGAACTCATGCTGAGCTGAAACGCCAAATTGAAATAATTAATCTATATAAAACCCTATATTTCCAACACTCTAGCTTGGACTATACTTGTATTCATTGTCTTGCAACCTATATACACTAGATAATGTTTGGATCGTCTGTTGCCTTTGTTTTTGCTATTGCTACTTCGGTAGTTTTTGCTGCTCCGTTTTCCCAGCCTGTAGAGTCGGTTTCCAATCTGCCTTTTTATTTCCCAAAATCTGTGTCAACGCACTTTCCTCTGAACCATGCCTCAAATTTTAAAGCACCTTCTAATGAGGATTCGGTCAAAATCGGTACTGCCTACATTTGTGATCGACTCGGTCTTTCCAACAAGGAATTTAAAGCGTACAACACATTTACTGATGCTGCAGGGATTACTCATATATATGGTGCACACGTTGTTAATGGTATTCGTATTGCCAATCATCAAGCTGCAGTTCATATCAAAGCTGGCCAAATTATTTCCTTTTCGTCATCGTTTGGTACAAAAAGTCATTTTGCTAAAAGTGACTTGTCGACTATTGCCTCGGAACCTAAACTGTCTTTTAAGCAAGTGTCTGACCAGGTTACTCAGACTTATCATCTCCCCATGTATACAAAGTTTGCTTATATGATCGAGTATGTTGCTCAAGCCGATGGATCGATGGCTCAGACTTATAAATTCCAACTTCGTGATAATCCATTGACCCAGTGGGTTCAAGTTTGGGCTCATACTGATACTGGCAAAGTTATTCACGCTGTTGATTTCAAGAGTAAAGCTTCGTACAAGGTCATTCCCATTCCAAAAGTTGACGTGAATGACGGATTTGAAATGGTTAAAAATCCCGAGTTTAATGCTTCTTCTCCTCAAGGTTGGACAGATGGTCAAGAAACTACTGGAAACAATGTTCTAGCTGCAGATCAAACCAGCGGTACTCCTAGCAGTGGTGTTAATGGTGTTTTTGATTCCAGTTTTAACCCGCAAGAAGATCCAAGAACTGCTGCCAATGTCAAGGCTAGCGCCATCAATTTGTTCTACAGTAAGCATTTTTGTTGAAGTATTTTTACATCCTATTTATCTAGACTGTGTATTCATGTATGTGTAAACGCATAGTTGGCAATATTGTTCACGATATCTCGTATCAGTATGGGTTTACCGAGGCTGCTGGTAATTTCCAAAAGGACAATTTTGGTAAAGGCGGTGAGGGTAACGATGTTGTTGTCATCAATGTTCAAAGCACTGCTGGTACTGATGATGCCAAGTTTTATGCTCCTGCTGATGGTCAACCTGGTGAAATGGACATGTTCCGTTTCACTACCACTACGCCCAACCGCGACGGTGGTCTTGACAACGTCATTCCTATCCACGAGTATGTGCATGGTATTTCCAATCGGTTGACGGGTGGAGCTGCCACGACCCAATGCTTGGAAGCTCTTGAATCGGGTGGTATGGGTGAAGGCTGGTCCGACACAATTGCCATGTATCTTACTTCAAAAAAAACGGATGTTGCCACAACCCCTATTGTCATGGGCGCTTATGCCACTGGAGATGCTTCTGGTATTCGTTCCCATCCTTACACTACGGATATCAAGGTCAATCCCTTGACCTATGCCGATCTCCAAACACGCGATGAAGTCCACGATATTGGTGAAGTGTGGGCAGTCATGCTTTGGGAAGTCTACTGGAACTTGGTTGCCAAGAATGGATTCTCTACCGATCTTTACAATGCCAAAGGCAAGGCTGGTAACATTATTGCTCTGCAGAACGTGATTGGAGGCATGATGATCCAGCCATGCAATCCCACTTTCCTCGATGCTCGTGATGCCATCATTGCATCAGATGCTGCTCGCTACAACGGAGCCAACAAATGTGAGATCTGGAGAGGATTCTCCAAACGTGGTATGGGACCCAATGCAAGAAACCATCAAAATGACTTTTCCGTTCCTGCTGAATGCAAGGATGGTACTGGAAGTGTTGGATCGACTTCTAGTCTTTCTACTGCAACTAAAACAAGTGCTTCATCTACTGAAACTGCTACCTCGTCTATTGGAAAAAGTATTTCAGCTACAGAAACTGCTACTTTATCTATTGGAAAAAGTGCTTCAGCTACAGAAACTGCTACCTCGGCTACAGAAACTACTCTAGTAGCTACTGGAAAAAGTACTTCAACTACTGCCGTAGCAACCTCGAGTCCTGTTGCAACACAATCTAGCCCTGATCCCAAACCGCGCACAACAACGCATGATAAACCGCATCACACCCATAGTACCAAACTATCAAGTACTCGTCAACCCAGTGTGCCTACTCCTCACCCTAAATGCCACGCATAAAACATTTGCAGGTTTTTATACTTTGACCAAGATTTACAGTCGTATTCACGTAAAATGGATCACTCTATCCTGCAGTAATCATCTCTTTGAAATAAACAATAATTGGATATTCATTGTACCTCGTTTTACTACACATTGGTTACCTTTTTAATAAACAACGTTTATCATGATATACAAACTAGTTCTGAATTGTGCACATTTGACCAGCATGCACTGTACAATCACTAGATTCATGTATTGTAATCCAAATATGGGTTGGACTGTCAAGTCTATACACACTCGATTTTGCTGTATTCAAAATCATACATGCTTGCAATCTAATTCAAGAAAACAATTTCAGGAATGCAATTGTTGTCATGCCAATCACCACCAACAATACCAATCAACTAAAGATGACAAGAGATGATACTCGTGCGGATACACAATTTTGAAAACAAGTGCAACATGAGTTCATTTGATATTTAGAACAGGAGAACAAGTGGGATGGCAATAGCCATTGGACCTATCACACTCAAAGCGGTTTTCTTGGCACTGTTGGCAGCTTTAGCAGCATTCGTGCCAGCGGGAGCAGCAGCACTAGTAGAAGCAGACGATCCACCATTTGTTGCAGCTAGAGTAATGTCCGCACATTGGTATAGCATACCATCAGTGCCTTGTAAAATCACTTGGATGGTACCGATTTGACCCATTTGTAATATCCCACTCGCATTTGCAGAGGTCATGTCGATGGGAATGGTGTAGTTTCCTACTGCAGTGTAGTTGCGACTGCCAAGAGTATAAGGGAAAGTGGTTGGGTTCTCACCAGGACCAAACTTGACAGTAATGACAGCATTGGCATCTGCAATCTCAAGAACAAGATTCGACTCTAATGTAATGTCAGTGCATACAAATACGTTCAGATTGTACACAATACATTAACAAGCATGAATGAATGCATAATGCTCACTCAAAGCAGCATTCGTTCGAGATGCAACAGTATTGTATCCACCACAGGGTGCAGTAGATTCCTTGAGCTCATCAAATCCTCTCGTCGCAGGACTGGTAAGAATAAAATGAGCAGAGGCTGACGAAGCAAGAGCAGCAATAAAAGCAGTAACGAGTTGCATGATATATCTCAGTAATGCAAAATTAAAGACTCGACCAAGAATGTTGAGGGATATTTGCAGATTTATAGTTCGGCTTGATGCTTTTATTGTCGAATGGTAAAATCCATGAGCGAGTTTTGATTATTATTGGACCCGTGTGGCAAATAAAATACTTTAAACCTCATCCATGTGGCGACTATTACATGAAAACTTGCTGAAATGCGGTACTATTGCTTGTCTAGTAGCATAAATGGCGTAAATGATGTGTGTATGGTATTGGATTGGTGTAATATGATTAGCCATTATAGTCGAATATACTATATTTTTACTTGGTAGTAAAAAGTGTTGTTGAATAAACAAGTCGCAGTGTTTGCAAGACATATCAAGTGTGAACCATCATGCCATTCGTTGCAGTATTATCACAGTTTACTCTTGGTATCACACTTTCAGTTTCAACATTATGCATACTGGATGGGTGATGGATAGATGTCAGCGTAGCTGATGACAGTCATGTTTTGTGAATGAGTGAACGAATGACTGAGTGACTGATGGCATTTATTGTCATTCGTCCAGATCAAAAACTATTGATACTATGTCGTGCTTAAAAGTGGAACAAATGACAGATATTGGTAATACATGGTATGGATTGGATACACATGATCCAAGTGTATCGATCATGGTATGTATTGTTTGAATCTATCACTGTATATCTGAATGATCATGTCGATACTGGATGCGCAATATCAACAGTGCAATATGGTATACTGCTACAAGTATATGATTATCCACACTGCGTTAGTAGTTGATCATATTGCACCAATCGACCAGTATACGATCACTGCATACATCAACATGTGCATAATGACCATATTGTTGGATGGTATTCGACATGTGATATTTGACAAACTTGAAACCAATGCGATCCATGTCAAATGTGAATATCAGCTGTACAATATATCAAGTATATTCAGTTTAGTTTTGGTATGCACGAATATGCACAAATATGCAATATATAATGTATTGAAACATACAAGTGTCGGTATACAATATGATCAGATACAATGCCAAATATCAAATATCAAGTGGTAATTGTATTGTATTGTACTGTATTGTATTTATTACAAACAAAAATACAACACATTTGGTCAAAACCAGTCCAGATTAGCATTCAAATCAATCATCCGAATCAGATGAATCATCATCGTTTTTGAATTGACTCCAGCGTGATCCAAGACTACTTTTCATTTTGGAATAAGCTTTCCGTGTACTAGAACGAACTTTGAAAGTTCCCTTTGTATTGGATGAGATTTGAGTGGGTTGGTCTGTAGGCGTTTTGCTTGATAAACTTTTATAATTCCGTGGTAAACTCTGGGTTCCACTAGTGGAGGCTTGCTCAGATTCTGACTGTTGGTCTAGTTGGAAATTGAGGAATTTAAGTATGTTTTCAACAAAACCAATATTTGATCTCATAAAACCCACGTGAGAGTAAAATAGTGGCGAATTCAGATCGTCTCCAAACAGGCGCTTTGCGAGCTCTTTTTCGACAAAATCTAATTTAAGGCCCAAATCAATATCTTTGGGATTGATTTTATAATACTCCTTTTCAAGCTTGATACGTTTTATCTCTTCTTTTCTATACTTTTCTCTGGCTTCGTTGAGCTTCTTTCCGTACTTTGGACCTTTTCCTTTTCCAAATTCACGGAAAAGCCACCAAGATTCTTGATCTAGCTGTTTTACTAGTTTCTCTTGTTTAGGAATTTCTTGTTTTAGCAAGTTCCGCATTTCTTTTGCTTTTTCACGTTCTTGGGTTAGTTTTAGGTATTGTTTGATCAACTCTGCATCGGCCTTTGTAAATTGACTAACATCAACCCAATTTGCAATTTCTTCATTAGAAGCTGTCCAAAGCCCAGATTTGTTACTTTCAGTTGCAGTGGGTTGAGTTGTTGAAGTGCTAGCATCGGTACTTGTAGTTGCACTTGGATTGACTGGGTTGGCTGTAGTGACCGAACAAGCCAACAGGATTGATGACAATACTGTGACTGCGAGTTTCATTGTATTGGTTTGTATTGGTCAAACACGTTGTATATGGCTGATTGACAGGTTGGTTTGGATTGTATTTATGCCATTGAATGGATAGATTAAAAACATGTCGAGTGCCCGTTCTAAGGGATTTGTGTTGTCAGGGTTAATGGTGATTTGACATCAATGTTCAACTTTGAAGGGATATCCATTTATATAATAGCCGCAATTCTTGGTTGAACTGCAGCTTGACTATGCATTCGAGTATCATATGGTTGATTGTGTAGCTTTACACCCTTATTCACCCTAAAAAGGGTCAATATGCTGAAATATGAACAAATGCATGCTCAAACAAGACTATATGCAACTGAATGTCACTCAGTTGTTGGATGGTCATCAATATGTGTTGTAGTTGACATGATTCAAACATGTGGTTTAGTAATGCTCTGCATTCAACTCGACACGGTCAGTCATGATCGATATTGACCGAGTCGATACAATGCAGTTCATGTTGCAATCACAATGTCACGTTGATGATCAGTGACTTGCAACCGTTGTGTTGGCATTGTATACTGTAGATATATCAATGTCGATTGTCACTATATAGTTGTATCAACCACACATCATGATCATATGTCGTGATTGACTCGTATTCTGGATTGGTGCACTCATTCCATTCCATTGCATTGTATTACATTCCATTACATCACTCGAGTTGATCAGCATGTGTCAACTGGCCAATATCGTCAACCTGGTTATACACGCATTTGACATGTGCATTTGGACAGTAATCATTGTACAATCCAGACTATTGTAAAAAACGGTTAAACTTGTAACTACTGGTTTTCAATTGGTGTCTTGTCAAAACCATGTTACATTGTAGTGATCTGTTGTAAAAGCATAACCCAATTCAACTATTATAAAATCATCAGCGTTGTATTCTATTAATGGATACCCATTCATACCTGGTTATACCTGGTTATACCCATCTACTGCTCACTTTCTATAGTTTGTATCGTCCTTGCTATTTTTACTGATTTCCTATATTGAATACTTTTACATTTCAACATATCTCGTATCTTGTATCTGAATAGTGCACAATTATATCGGGTTGCTTGTTTCCAACTCGACATGCTCATGTTTGCGTTATTTTATTGCAACCCATCAATGATCGTACAAGATCGGCTGTTTATTGTTATAATGGCGGCCATACATTTGAAACTGTCAAGCATTGCAGCACAATATCGCATAATGTTCAATCCGTCTGATACCAATAAAACTGATGCTCTGTTGATTGGGTAATATGTCAATCACCAAATGAACAAAAATACGGAATGGTTGATATGTAATCAATATAGCGTCGATTAAATGAGGTTGTTTGATATGACTGGCTGACCACAAAGTACTGATATTTAGTCCAACAATAGTTTGATTAATAAAGTCAAAATATTGAAAGCTAAACGAAAAGCCCATTCCTGAATGTTGATCGCCCTAGCAATCCTTATATTTCCACTTGTACGGCTTAGCATTCATGTGTTGATTACTAGTTTATCACGTTTTAGGACGCCATTCCTTAAACAGCCCTGACCATTCGACCAATAGCTTGATGGAAAGCAATATGCTTTGTGCTTTCCATCAAAGCTTGAGCATTTACTACATGATGAAAAGTACAAAGATAACAAGCAGAGACTACAAAGGTGAGGAACGGCTGAATGGAAAAATATGCTTACTCGATAATATAAACTTGCGTCTACAATAGGGAGTAAGGGCGAACAATAACGCAAAGTTTCATTTTTTTGGTATTACACTACCAACCTCGATGTCCTATCGACTATAAAACCCCGCATACTTTCCCAGCAGTTATACTCATAACTGGCTCCGCATACTTGATCAAATGAGGTATCTCAACTTTTCTATTCTTGCTACGTTTTTTGCCTTGTCCAGTAGTGTCTATGCCGCTCCACCTGTTCCAGATATAACGGTTAGCATTCCCGAGGATGAAAACACCCACAATAGACAAGCGTTTATCAATGGATTGATGAATCTGGCAGATTCAGAAATGAAACATATGGGCAAGCTTATGATTGATGACACAAAATACGACCCCAATCTTATACAACAATACTATATTACTGATGGTGGTCATACTTATGACAAAAGCGACTATTGGGGACGGGATGCGCTTGTTCATGTGTTGCTCGAATATATGCCTGATTCACCAAACCTGGATGAGCAGTCTGGAACTCCTGGTACTTCCACTCAACCTGGACTGATTGGCGGACTTTGGTCAATGATATGGCCTAAAGCAACGACATCAGATGCTTCAAGATCTCTGGAACAAAAAATTGATGATTATCATGCACTGGCCAAGTTGCTTTCTAGCAAATATCTTTTGTGGATTAAACAAGTAGCGCTGCATTTCGATCAGTTGGATGTTCGATCCACTAGCGCTCCAACATTAAAACTGATCAAAGATTTCAAACTGTCTGCTCAAAACCTTGTTAGTGTTTTTGAGAGTGAAGAGGACAATATACAGCATGCTGCCAGAGTACTCAAAAATGGTTCAAAGCTCGGATCGCTCAAATTGATCAAAAATATAATGGGCAATCATCAAAAATTCGTTAAAAGTATACTGGATGACATTACAAAACTGATACATGTGTATCTGGCCACCGACCACTATCATTTGATTAAACTCAAGCCTATACTTGTTGACTGGTTCAAACTTCACAATACAATGGGTACCAAAGCGGATGCCTTGATTCAAGAGATGGAGTCGACAAGCCGCTAATAGATTAAATACATGCAGTCATTAAACTACAATTGATTGAAAAAACTGTTGAAAATCACTTGCTAAACAGTGCATGTTTAATAAATCATTCATTCTTACAATTTGTATTAGTAGATGTGAATGTGGATTTGGTACTGGTAATTACTGCACGACTAGAATCAGCATATTCAACACCAACATGCCATATTAGGGTCATATTGATGGTTTTTATTCGGTTGTTGTAAATGTATCAATCATCAAACCTGGTAAAATGGTATGTATGGTATTGGATTGGTGTAATATGATTAGCCATTATAGTCGAATATACTATACTTTTACTTGGTAGTAAAGAATGTTGTTGAATAAACAAGTCGCAGTGTTTGCAAGACATATCAAGTGTGAACCATCATGCCATTCGTTGCAGTATTATCACAGTTTACTCTTGGTATCACACTTTCAGTTTCAACATTATGCATACTGGATGGGTGATGGATAGATGTCAGCGTAGCTGATGACAAAGTCATGTTTTGTCAATGAGTGAACGAATGACTGAGTGACTGATGGCATTTATTGTCATTCGTCCAGATCAAAAACTATTGATACTATGTCGTGCTTAAAAGTGGAACAAATGACAGATATTGGTAATACATGGTATGGATTGGATACACATGTTTCAAGTGTATCAATCATGGTATGTATTGTTTGAATCCATCACTGTATATCTGAATGATCATGTCGATACTGGATGCGCAATATCAACAGTGCAATATGGTATACTGCTACAAGTATATGATGATCCACACTGCGTTAGTAGTTGATCATATTGCACCAATCGACCAGTATACGATCACTGCATACATCAACATGTGCATAATGACCATATTGTTGGATGGTATTCGACATGTGATATTTGACAAACTTGAAACCAATGCGATCCATGTCAAATGTGAATATCAGCTGTACAATATATCAAGTATATTCAGTTTAGTTTTGGTATGCACGAGTATGCACAAATATGCAATATATAATGTGCTGTGCTGTATTGAAACATACAAGTGTCGGTGTACAATATGATCAGATACAATGCCAAATATCAAATATCAATTTCATTTATTACAAGCAAAAATACAATAGACACGGTCAAAACCAATTCAGATCAGCACTCGAATCAATCGGATGAATCAGGTGGATTTTTTAGATCTGGATCGACCCAGGAATGACCCAAATCTATTCCCAAAACTGGAAGATTCTGCCTGTGAACTGGATAAAGTTTTGGAAGTTGATCGAGTGAGACGTAGTGTAGGTATTTCATCTAATGGTGGGTATTGAGTGTCAGGATCTTCCACGAACTCGCTACATGAAGGGATATTCTTATAGCCTTGTCGAGCCATTTTACACTTTCTAGGTCTTCTCATTACGCGGCTACACGATACCATGGGCGATTCTTTCAGCATTTCATTTTGTAATTTACTGATGTAAGCTGCAATTTCAGGATTTGATTCAAGGAGTCTTATGCGAGTAGCAACTGTTGGAATATTTGGAGTTTCCTTGAAAAAGGTATGTACAATTGCTGATTGAACGTTCCACAACTTGGAAAACAACTTATCACACAATGCACTGTGCTTCAGATGTTTGTCTTTAAGCTTGTCAAGTTTGTGAGATTGCTTTTCAAGTTCAAGTTGAAACTTTTCGAGTGAGTCTTTATATCCTAAATTGCCATTGCCTTGCTTAGATTTCTGTATCAACTTGTGATATCTTTCATTTAGCATAGCTACTCGTTTCTCTTGAACTTCAGTCTCCTTTTTTAGCAAGTCGTATACTCTTCTTGCTCTCTCATGAGTTTCCTTCTTTTGCAAGTATTTTTTGATCAGACATTTGTTTCCAACTGAGAATATACTTTTGTAAAAAAAGTATCCATCACCTAGACTGGAAACTGTTGAAGTGCTAGCATCGGTACTTGTAGTTGCACTAGGATTGACTGGGTTGGCTGTAGTGACCGAACAAGCCAACAGGATTGATGACAATACTGTGACTGCGAGTTTCATTGTATTGGTTTGTATTGGTCAAACACGTTGTATATGGCTGATTGACAGGTCGGTTTGGATTGTATTTATGCCATTGAATGGATAGATTAAAAGCATGCCGGATGACCGTTTTAGGGATTTGTGTTGTCAGGGTTAATGGTGATTTGTCACCAATCTCAAACTTTAAAGGGTTACTCCTTTATATAATAGCCGCAATTCTTGGTTGAACCGCTTCTTGACTGTACATTCAAGTATCATATGGTTGATTGTGCAGCTTTACACTCTCATCCACCCTAAAAAGGGTTAGTATGCCACAATATGAACAGGTATGTACATGCTCAAACAAGACTATATGCAACTGAATGTCACTCAGTTGTTGGATGGTCATCAATATGTGTTGTGGTTGACATGATTCAAACATGTGGTTTGGTGATGCTTTGCATTCAACTCGACACGGTCAGTCATGATCAGTATTGACCGAGTCGATATAATGCAGTTCATGTTGCAACCACAATGTCACATTGATGATCAATGACTTGCAACTGTTGTGTTGGCATTGCATGTTGTAGATATATCAATATCGATTGTCACTATATAGCTGTATCAACCACACATTATGATCATATGTCATGATTGACTCGTATTCTGGATTGGTGCACTCATTCCATTACATTGCATTACATCACTCGACAACTACAACAATCGATATCAACCATATTGAGTGAGTTGATATATTGCATCAACACCAGATATACGATATCAACAGTGCAGTATGGTATATTGCTACAAGTATATAATGGTCCACACTGTGTTAGTGGTTAATCATATTGCACTGATCGACCAGTATACGATCACTGGATACACCACACGTTGGTGTTTACCACTGTATATGTGATGTATATTGGTTATAGTGCATGATATCAACGAGTTTATGCATACTGCTTACACCACACACACCACACACATCAAACCGACTCAGTGATATGCAAGTGTTGTGGCTTGACCAAATCACAATCACCCATATTGTCGACTGTCTAACTCGTTGATATTCAAACCGTGCCATCACTGGTCACAATATAATGGTTGACTGGTTCGTTTGATTGACCTGACATTGACACTTTTTAAACCTCGACTTGATTCATCAACTTGGATATTCATATAATATTGGGTTTGTATCATCACGTTGGACTCGTTATCAAACACCTTGATGTGTCCATGCAACACAAACTCGATATACACACATTGGTTACTGTTTGACATGACTGGGCGATCATCAATACCAGACAATGCAGCTGTATTAGTTGCATGATACAATCAATCATGGTTGGCTCATCACCATCAAATATTAAATGTTGATCACGTATACATTGATTTGTAATTGCATGGTTCGTTGGCAATACACACTATGATATGATTGACAACCGTAGTCTCCAACAGTGTTCAATATCAGTATAACTGTTTGCTGGACAAGTTGTTGATTTGCAGTAATCAGATGTGTATCACCTGTAAAATTTGATGTAATTGACGGGTTGTAGCCGCTAGCCAACAAGCATCGAAATACTGAATTTTGCTCTTTACGTGAATACGGCTACAATTAGACGCCATCATTGATTCGTAGACCAATACAACCAACGCTTATTTTGATTTATCGCAGCTACTTTTTATATCCAGAATAAACTAATAATCGACTATATGCTGATGGGTAACTCTGCCACCGCCTGGTTTGGGTCATCCATTACTACCGCCTATATATTCACTGTGCTCGTTTGTGATTTACTGGGTAGTGGTTTTATGCATGTAGAAGCCAAACCTTTACATGCTGGTAAGTCTATAGTATACTGTCATGTTGCATCCAATACCACTAGGTTTAGAGTGCAATGACTAGCCATTCGTTGGATTAGTGATCGACTCCACTTGTAAATATCCACGCGACTGTAATTGCCAGAAATCAGCCTCGCTGATGGACAGGCATTTATCAATATGTGCTAGACTCGAGCATGGTATATACCCATTGCATATATCAGTTACTGATGCATTTGCTTGTAATTAGTGAATCAATTCGATCTCAACGGCAATGTCTGTCCATTGCCACTTAGATACTCGCAGTTGTGTCCTGTACTCTGTGTCAAGGATATTGCTCTATGTCCAGCCTTGGTGCAGCCTGCAGCATGTCCTTCTGGCCAATTCTATTGTCAAGACGGCCAATGCCATGCTGGCAATTCACTTTCTGCTGCCTGTCCTGCATCTATGGCGTCAGTCTGTAGTTGCGGCAGCGATGCATTTGCATCAGTCATCTCTCCTGTGCAATCCTCTGGCAGCACTTTGTTTCCATGCTCTCCGACCCAGCCCAGAGTCAATGTCAAGGTCTGGTCAAACTCTTCTGCTACAATGGATGAAAACCCCGCTGGGGACACTGACCTTGCATTGGCCTGTGCGACTGCTCTTGGCTTGGACACTGGAAGTATTCCTGCCAACATCACAACCCCATTCTTCAAGCAGTGTCTGCTCACTGCAAAGGTTTTGGCCATGAACGAACCCGAGTTTGTTATTTTCTTTGGCTTTATTGTTGTTCAGTCGATCATATTGGTCTTGTTTCAGATTTATCGTAGCGTTCGTTCGACTGTAAGCAAATACACGTTTTGGATCGACTATTTGGCTAATGTCCAATATTAACTTGAACTGCTATTTATACTCAATAGTCGTCACATATATCTACATCTGGTAGCAGCAAGCAAACTACAGTGTTTGAAAGCGGTTTGGAAATGGAGAGCGTAATTCCCTCTTTCAAGTCAACTGCTAAACTCGCTCCTAACAATATCAAGTTTTCTGGCTACCGACACGATCCGCTAGGCACTTTGGTTTTGGCTACTGTGGTCATCTCAAGCTTTGTATGGCTAGGAATAATGTCAATCATCATTGGAGACTATTACCAAGTATTTTCTGGGTACAGTTATCGCGGCACTCAAATGATTTTTGGAGACCACGATAATCTGTCTCGTATTTTTATCGTATTATGGCATATCATGACCATTTGGTATGTTACCCTTCAAATCAACTCTGCATGGCTTCAGACTTACTTCAAGACTCGTGCACCACTTACTCGTGCTACCCATGTGCTGGTAGAAAAGGAAATTCCTTGTGCTGTTCAGTTTAGTGACGCTGGAAAATGGGTACTTCTTATGCAACGATTTGAAAAAACCCTTCAGAGAATGACAAAAACCGATCGGGCCATCAAACTCACTCGTGTCAAATACACTACCAATGGTCGTAAATACATCGAGTTTGAATGTGTTCGATATGTCATGGATTCAGCTACTGGATCATTTGAGCCATATTCATTTAATATCGGACCAAAGTGTTCTGACTTGGTGTTTGGAAAAGAACAAGCAAATGGATTGCCATCTACAGAGGCAGAGCGTCGAGTGGAGCTTTGTGGACCCAACGAAATTGTGTTTAAAATCGACACATTTGCTCGTGGTCTCATCAAGGAGTTTACTGGCATTTTCTACATTTACCAGCTGATGATGCTTCTTATTTGGTATTACTATGCCTACTATTACATGGGCATTGTTCTTACCATTGTTATTATTGCATCTGGTATTGTCAAGATTATTGTATCCACAAAGTCACAACAACGAGTTCTTGAAATGGCCACTTTTCATGGCCGTGCAAAAGTCTTCCGCGACGGCATATGGACTCGGGTAGATTGCTCAAACTTGGTTCCTGGTGATGTGATTGAAATTGAAGCGTCCCATAACGAATTATCAGTCGATTGTGTACTTGTCAAGGGACAAGTTGTTGCTGACGAGTCTTCTTTGACTGGCGAGGCTCTTCCTGTTGCCAAGTTTCCCATCAAAAACATAGATCGAGTCTATAATCGCGAAGAGTCTGAAAAAACCAACACATTGATTGCTGGCTGCCATATTCTAGAGGCTCGTCCAGATGTCGAAGGCGAATCGGTCATGGCAATTATTCTTGCTACTGGTGCCTCCACCTCCAAAGGCAGTCTTGTCAAGGACATTCTTTATCCTATGCCCATTTCGTTTATTTTTCTAGAGCACCTAAAGATTGTTATCCCCATGCTTGCTATTTGGGGTGTGGTGATGCTTTTCTTGTCCATGGCAATGCTAGGTTCAGCCACTGCCGATGCCTGGTTTTATGGAATGATTACAATTTCTCAAATTCTATCTCCATTGCTACCTGCTGTTCTTGTTATTGGTCAAAGCATTGCAGCGGATCGTCTACGTGCCCAAGGCATCATGTGTGTTGATCTTGCTCGCATTACGCTTGCTGGAAAAGTCAAGGTGTTTTGTTTTGACAAGACTGGCACGCTCACCAAAGAAGGTTTGGATTTCCTTGGCACTCATGCAATTGACAAAGACAAGGCCGAGTTTAAAGTAGTCAAAACCGAGTTTGAGTCATTTGACGATGAGATGAAACAAGCCATGCTCTGCTGTCATTCCCTATCAATGGTTGGATCTCAGCACGTTGGAAATTTTGTTGATATTGAAATGTTCAAGGCTACTGCAGCTGTGTTGGATACACGATCTGGTAGTACAACTATGATTATTCCCAATAGAATTTCCGACAACATCAACACCATGCATATTCTTAAACGGTTTGAATTTGTTCACTCGCACGCCTACATGTCTGTTGTTGCAATGAATACCGTTACCAACAGAATCACAGTGTATATCAAGGGATCGTTTGAAAAGGTGCAGGAATTGGTCAACCCATTTACACTTCCTGCCAACTTTGAAGCGGTTTCCAAGAGTCACTCGAGTACAGGATGCTATGTTCTTGCAATTGCTAGACGTGAATTACCAGAAGGAACACTTGCTGCAGACTTGCATACGTGGACTCGTGAGCAGTTTGAGTATGGTGCAGATATGGTTGGACTTTTGCTGTTTCGTAACCAACTTAAACCAGATACTGTCACTGCCTTGGAAGAACTGCGTGGAGGTGGCTGTCGTGTTGTTATGATTACAGGTGATCATGTCAATACTGGCATTCATATTGCTCAAACTAGTGGCATGATTTGTCAAGATTGGCAAGGAGTAGACCCTATTGTTGCTCTTGGTGATGTTGACAAGAGTCAGGACACTGTTCACTGGACACTGGTAGGCAGTGACAAGCGTATTAGTAGGTCTGAGCTTGAAAACATGCTTGGTCAGTCCAGATCTGGTCTTCAGCCCGTTGAACTTGCTGTCACGGGCAAAGCATTCAATATGCTTGTCCGCGATGGATTCATGAACGAGTACCTCTTTGAAACGCGTGTTTTTGCTCGTATGAGCCCTGAAGATAAAGTTCAATGTGTTCGTCTGCATATGACCCATTGCATTACAGCCATGTGTGGTGACGGAGGTAACGATGCAGGTGCACTCAAGGCTTCTCATGCTGGTGTTTCACTTTCCGAAGCAAAATCATCAGTTGTCTCCCATTTCTCATCTCGTAACCGCTCAATTCATTCGTGTGTCAATCTCCTCAAAGAAGCTCGTTGTTCACTGGATGTTTCTTTTGCCTCGTACAAGTACTTGATCATGTATGGTGAAATTTTGGCATTTGTTGGGTTGATTCAGTATTACTTTGTAGTCAATATGAGTCAAGCCATGTGGATCTTGATTGATGGTATCACCATTCCCATCAGTTGGGCACTCACCATGTCCAAACCCTCTCGTCGATTGGTAAACTCTCGCCCAACAGCACGTCTACTTGGATTTGAAACCATTGCATCAATTGTTGGTCAAATTTTCATCAACATTATCATTTTGGTGATTGCAACTGCTTTACTTTTCAAACAATCGTTTTTAAAATGTAGCGAGTTTGACGGAAACAAGGCCGATATGCGTAGATGGTGGGAGCTTGCAGACAATTTTGAGGGCGAAGTAACTGGTCTTATCACAGCATTTCAAATCATTCATGCATCAGCAGCGTTTAATCTTGGATCTAAATATCGAAATGGATTCATGATGAATCGTCCATTTTTCATGGTCTACGGTCTGGTGTTTGGCGTGATATCTTACATTACCTTGGCAAATCCCAACTGGCTTGGATGTGTGTTTCACATCAACTGTGGAACCAAGGATGCGATTGCAGAAATTGGATACACTGTTAATTTCCAGCTTCCCGAACAGTATTTTGCCCTCGCAGGACACAATGTCATGCCCTTTAGTTTTAGAATGGTTGTATGGGGATTGGCGGTCATTAATCTGGTGTTATTGATGTGCTGGGAGGGTATTGTCATACTTGGCCCAGTGAGAAGATATTTTATGAGAAGATTTCCTCAAAAACGCACTGTCCAACTTAGAGTTTAAGCTTTTTACAGTCGTATTCACGTAAAATGAAGCACCTTTCTATATTTATCTTGGGATATATAATGGTTGAATACTTGTATTTTACTACTGGAAATTGATTGTTTTTTATCAAGTTCTGTTGTATTCTAAAAACTCGCAAATGCGTTTCAATTCAAGAAAATATTTCAGGAATGCAACTGTTTTATGCAATCACCCAATGTTTGAAGGTTGAAAAGATGTCAAATATGTGGAATGTGTTGGAACAGAAATGTAAACATTCGCTCTGTATTTCTGTACAAGAATGAGCACAACAATTAGTGAATTAAAGTTTATAAAACAATATTGTCCAGTAAAATTGGCACCAATCAAACATGACTTGCTTATCATGTATTTTGATATTTTATTTTACGTGAATACGGTTGTAAATAATTACGAATCTAAGCTTTTCTGAATGAGCTGTACTTTTAAAATCAATTCAAATGATAATACCGTATTTATTCAAAAATAGACTGACAGTGATAAGTGATATGTCTAGCTTGTATTACTGGTGCATTACATGCATGAAATTGATTATCCGAAATCAGCAATTTAAACTAAGCTCAATCACTGGGTATACATTGAAGTATGGTGTTTGATAATATGCTATGATTGATTCTGCTGTATATCGTATTGAGAACATGATCGTGTATAATTAATGTTATTAGAAATATTTGTAATTATTGAATCATATTAAATATGTTTAGATACTGATACTGGATGCGCAATATCAACAGTGCAATATGGTATACTGCTACAAGTATATGACGATCCACACTGCGTTAGTGGTTGATCATATTGCACCAATCGACCAGTATACGATCACTGCATACATCAACATGTGCATAATGACCATATTGTTGGATGGTATTCGACATGTGATATTTGACAAACTTGAAACCAATGCGATCCATGTCAAATGTGAATATCAGCTGTACAATATATCAAGTATATTCAGTTTAGTTTTGGTATGCACAAATATGCACGAATATGCACAAATATGCACAAATATGCAATATATAATGTATTGAAACATACAAGTGTCGGTATACATATGATCAGATACAATGCCAAATATCAAATATCAAGTGGTAATTGTATTGTATTGTACTGTATTGTATTTATTACAAACAAAAATACAACACATTTGGTCAAAACCAGTCCAGATTAGCATTCAAATCAATCATCCGAATCAGATGAATCATCATCGTTTTTGAATTGACTCCAGCGTGATCCAAGACTACTTTTCATTTTGGAATAAGCTTTCCGTGTACTAGAACGAACTTTGAAAGTTCCCTTTGTATTGGATGAGATTTGAGTGGGTTGGTCTGTAGGCGTTTTGCTTGATAAACTTTTATAATTCCGTGGTAAACTCTGGGTTCCACTAGTGGAGGCTTGCTCGGATTCTGACTGTTGGTCTAGTTGGAGATTGAGGAATTTAAGTATGTTTTCAACAAAACCAATATTTGATGCCATAAAATGCATGTGAGAGTAAAATAGTGGTGAATCCAGATTGTCTCCAAACAGGAGTTTTGTGAGCTCTTTTTCGACAAAATCTAATTTAAGGCCCAAATCAATATTTTCGAGATCGGCTTTATGATACTCCTTTTCAAGCTTGATACGTTTTATCTCTTCTTTTCTATACTTTTCTCTGGCTTCGTTGAGCTTCTTTCCGTACTTTGGACCTTTTCCTTTTCCAAATTGACGGAGGAACCACCAAGATTCTTGATCTAGCTGTTTTACTAGTTTCTCTTGAACACCAGTCTCCTTTTTTAGCAAGTCCTGTTTTTCTTTTGCTTTTTCATATTTTTGGGTTAGTTTTAGGTATTGTTTGATCAACTCTGCATCGGCCTTTGTAAATTGACTAACATCAACCCAAGTTGCAATTTCTTCATTAGAAGCTGTCCAAAGCCCAGATTTGTTACTTTCAGTTGCAGTGGGTTGAGTTGTTGAAGTGCTAGCATCGGTACTTGTAGTTGCACTAGGATTGACTGGGTTGGCTGTAGTGACCGAACAAGCAAACAGGATTGATGACAATACTGTGACTGCGAGTTTCATTGTATTGGTTTGTATTGGTCAAACACGTTGTATATGGCTGATTGACAGGTCGGTTTGGATTGTATTTATGCCATTGAATGGATAGATTAAAAGCATGTCGAGTGCCCGTTCTAAGGGATTTGTGTTGTCAGGGTTAATGGTGATTTGACATCAATGTTCAACTTTGAAGGGATATCCATTTATATAATAGCCGCAATTCTTGATTGAACTGCAGCTTGACTATGCATTCGAGTATCATATGGTTGATTGTGCAGCTTTACACCCTTATTCACCCTAAAAAGGGTCAATATGCTGAAATATGAACAAATGCATGCTCAAACAAGACTATATGCAACTGAATGTCACTCAGTTGTTGGATGGTCATCAATATGTGTTGTAGTTGACATGATTCAAACATGTGGTTTAGTAATGCTCTGCATTCAACTCGACACGATCAGTCATGATCGATATTGACCGAGTCGATACAATGCAGTTCATGTTGCAACCACAATGTCACGTTGATGATCAGTGACTTGCAACCGTTGTGTTGGCATTGCATACTGTAGATATATCAATGTCGATTGTCACTGTATAGTTGTATCAACCACGCATCATGATCATATGTCGTGATTGACTCGTATTCTGGATTGGTGCACTCATTCCATTCCATTGCATTGCATCACTCGAACACAAACATCGTATGACTTGTTGATTGCTAATACCCATATTGATCGAATACACACTACATGACACATGTCAGGTTAGCGTATACATTCCACTATATAGCACATCATGTTGCTGATACCACGCATTGTGATTCAACAGTCAATCTGTATTCGAGTTCAACTACAATTGTTCGTGTCAATCATAATATACACGACCAATTGTAGTCGAGTTGATCCGACTGAATAGAGTCCGAGTCATCATGTTCATATCAAACTATTACAAACCATTGCAATTGTATTGCACAACTCCACTCGTGTTGATTACAACATGCTATTCAAAAATGTATCATATTGTCCTGTAATGACTGTACATGATTGTACATGGTTGTACATGGTTGTTTGGAACCAGTAGCTCCGTCGATTGATATCCACAATATGATACAGTAGTCGTCCAGATTGTGTGTTGTATTTGGTGTGTTGGGTGATGATATCAACCTGTAGTCAAGGTTTGACTATCTGGACATGTCGGTGACTTTTTACCAACTGTGTGCAACTCGATGTCCAATATCGAGTCATGTCATTGGTCAATTGATTGGTTCAATTCATCAGTGGGTTTGCTGGATCCATGTGGTGTGCAGCACTTTCAAGAGTATGTTGAATCTGTTGCAGTATTGGAACTTTGTAAACGGATCAACATACTAACCTGATCATTTCTGTGGTGGTTATTGCAGTCGAGTCGTAAAGCTTATTCTGGCAATCATTGATGGTTTCAACAATCGTTTGAATAATCGTTTGGATGTCAGGTTATGGTATTCTGATTGACAACTCGACTCGGATACAACTTGTTTGGACAATTACTGATCAATGGATTGGACAATGGACTAGGAATCAATCAACACATTGACAGATTTGTCATAACAAATGGAAACAACGACAATCCAGTTGTAATCCATATTGAGCCTTGAATTCAAACAGTCGTGAATCAAATCATTAATAAACTACAAAAACAGTCCAATATGCCAACTCGCATTTATCCACAACTCGATATGTGATGTTCAAATGTCTAATATTCAGACTGTGCTGATTGCAATTGTGGTTGTAATTGTGGTTGTGTGTAAATATCAATCCAATACTCGATTCAATACTTGATTCAACTTGAGCATGTACAGTTTTGTAGTAATCCATTTGATCACATTGACAGAATCAAGCAATGATCTGATTCAACAACACCGAATGATGCATCCATATCACTTGTATCAATCAATTGTACACAATCAGTCAATATAATCAACAATCACTGTCATGATTGGCATGATTCATTCAATTGATTCAATTGCACGAATATGGTCATGGTGTTTCGACTCGTTTGACAGGTGGATCTTTGGCGCCTTTGTGCATGTCGGGCCATGAAATTAGAGGTATGAGCAAAGGTTGGTCCGACATATTTGCCATGATTGTGACTGCCAAAGAATCCGACAAAGCCGACACGCCAGTTATCCTTGGAGCGTATGTTATTAATAAACTCAAAGGTATTCGCTCGCATCCTTACACTACGGACATGAAAATCAACCCTTTGACATATGGCGACCTTAAAACCCGCACAGAGCTGCACGAGGCTGGCAAAGTGTGGGCAACCATGCTTTGGGAAGTTTACTGGAACTTGGTCACCAAGAGTGGATTTTCTACCAATCTCTACGATGCCAAGGGCAAGGCTGGCAACATTGTTGCTATGCAGAATGTGATGGGTGGATTGATGCATCAGCCATGCAGTCCTAGCTGTCAGAGTATTTGGAGCTTCGTTGATTTGTTTTGTATGTAGAATAGTATAATGTAAAAAAAGTAGAATATAATCTGTAACTGTTAGTAGTTATCAGAAGAGAACAAATCAGAAGTTCAAGAGGAAGTTGCACTTGAAATCAAAATCAACAGACTTAGTCTTTTCAACCGTAGTGAAAAGGGTTTGATAAGGTAGTTAGACAGATGAAATAGTTTGAAGAGTTATTTATTGATAAGAGTAAGCATTCTAGCTTTTATAGTAGTTGATTGTTTGTGTCTTGTGATACGAACAATTAACACGTTTGATGATGAGAGGTTGTAAACGAGAGTTACAACCAATAGTGTTGATTTCTGGAGTTAGTAAATTTAATAATGGCATTGTCTACCCGTTTATAGAGAGCTCGAGTCCTAGAAATGAGTGTAATGGAGTTACTGTGCACATGGATTTTTGGTGATGAAAGGATTTAACTTGTGTTTAAGTTTGGCGCTTTTTAGAACTAGCTTTGCCACAGGTTACCGCTTAAGAGTATCCGTCTGGATATTCCAACACTAGCTTGGTCAATGCTCGTGATGCCATTATTGCGTCCGATGCAGCCTATTATAATGGGGCCAACAAGTGCGAGATTTGGAAGGGATTCGCCAAACGTGGTCTGGGAGTAAATGCAGCAGATTACACAAACGATTTCTCTGTTCCAGCGGAATGTGGTAGCGGTTCACCTCCACCTTTGACCACTACTCGTGGTCCTAAACCTACTTCTGGATGCACTCGCATGGACATTTGCTGCATCTATGTTGGAAAAAGCTGTGACCAAGACTAAATGCTCAAGTTTGGTAATGGCTTTTACAATTTATTAAATGAAAGTATATTGTAAAAATGTAAACAGTTTGTATTGGTATTGGTAATGATTATTTGGTTAGTGTCAATAGACTAATAGTATACTGTCATCTGGCAGTCAGTCTACACTTGCAGGCACGACACTATCATTCGTGTAGTGCAAGTTGGTTTACAGTTTATTAAAAACAAGCTGATTTTTACAAATGATCGAGATTGATTCATGGCAGTTAAACATCACTATTCAAACACAGATACAACACTCTTGTTCGAATCTAACATTGTATTATTTATTGAGATTGAAATTAATGTAGTTATTTGGGCTTGGAATCTCTTGGTTACTTTATCTCCCTTTCATTTGTGCAATAGCTTCCGCAAGCTGCGCTTTCTTTTGTGCTATGAGCTCATCTATGGCAGCTTTTTTTTGTGCCATGAGCTCAGCTTTCCTTTGTGCCTTGCGTTCAGCTTTGGCAGCTTTCTTTTCACTTTTTGTCATATTCGGTACGGATTGTTTTGAAGATCTTTTTCTTTTGAATACTTTTGCAGCACCTTTCTTTATACGACTCCATAATCCCTTTTTCTTGGGTACTTGGTCCGAACCACCTAGTTGTTGTTTTGAACCACCTTTTCTTTTGAATGCTTTTGCAGCACCTTTCCTTATACGACTCCATAGTCCCTTTTTCTTGGGTACTTGATCTGAACCACTTGGTTGACGCTCAAAACTGCTTGGTTGTTGACTCGAACCACTTGGTTGTTGACTTGAATCACTTGGTTGTTGACTCGAACTGCCTGTACGCTGCTTTGGCTTGGAATCCCTTTGATTAGCCCTGTCCAAGGCATCTCTTAACTTATCCTTTGGTTGTTGACTCGAACCACTTGGTTGTTGACTCGAACTGCCTGTACGCTGCTTTGGCTTGAGTGCCTTTTGAATGGCCTTGTTTACCATTTCTTCTACTTGATTTTTGTCCTTTTCCCATATTTCAACATTTGCTCTTAACTCTGAATCCAGATTTGGAAACTCCACACTGCCTGGCGGGTGTCTTAAACGAACTCCCAATTTCTCAGATTCGTCTATGAATTGTCTTAGTTCCTTCCCATTCTGTTCCAGTTGTTCTACATCTGCTTGTTGCTTTGGAGTCAAAAGCGGTTGACTTGAACCGCCCATCTGGAGCATCTTTTGTTCGGCCTCGACTATGGATTGTTTTGCTTTTTTTCCCGCATTTACCAGACTGTCTAATCGTGCTTTTAGTTTTGGACCCAAAACTGATTGACTCGAACCACTTGGTTGTTGACTTGAATCACTTGGTTGTTGACTCGAACTGCCTGTACGCTGCTTTGGCTTGGAATCCCTTTGATTAGCCCTGTCCAAGGCATCTCTTAACTTATCCTTTGGTTGTTGACTCGAACCACTTGGTTGTTGACTCGAACTGCCTGTACGCTGCTTTGGCTTGAGTGCCTTTTGAATGGCCTTGTTTACCATTTCTTCTACTTGATTTTTTTCTTTTTCCCATCCTTCTACATCTGCTTTTGACTCTGAATCCAGATTTGGAAACTCCACACTGCCTGGCGGGTGTCTTAAACGAACTCCCAATTTCTCAGATTCGTCTATGAATTGTCTTAGTTTCTTCCCATTCTGTTCCATTTCTTCTACATCTGCTTGTTGCTTCGGAGTCAAAAGCGGTTGACTTGAACCGCCCATCTGGAGCATCTTTTGTTCGGCCTCGACTATGGATTGTTTTGCTTTTTTTCCCGCATTTACCAGACTGTCTAATCGTGCTTTTAGTTTTGGACCCAAAACTGATTGACTCGAACCACTTGGTTGTTGACTTGAACTGCCTGTACGCTGCTTTGGCTTGAGTGCCTTTTGAATGGCCTTGTTTACCATTTCTTCTACTTGATTTTTGTCCTTTTCACCTATTTCAACATTTGCTCTTAACTCCGAATTCAGATCTGGAAACTCCACACTGCCTGGCGGGAGTCCTAAACGGACTCCCAATTTCTCAGATTCGTCTATGAATTGTCTTAGTCCATTCCCATTCTGTTCCAGTTGTTCTACATCTGCTTGTTGCTTTGGAGTCAAAAGCGGTTGACTTGAACCGCCCATCTGGAGCATCTTTTGTTCGGCCTCGACTATGGATTGTTTTGCTTTTTTTCCCGCATTTACCAGACTGTCTAATCGTGCTTTTAGTTTTGGACCCAAAACTGATTGACTCGAACCACTTGGTTGTTGTGCTGTTGGGGTTACTGGTGGTATAGGCGAGCGAGCAAACATGTGCACATCTTGTTCTGATGATTCTAATGCACGACGCTGCAAGCTGGATTTATCATCTGAACTATCGGGAGAAACGGCTGCAAGAGCCATGCTAGAAGCACCGAGAATAATACTCCATTGAGCAAGTTTCATTATGCTGTATTGTTTGGAATGTGTTGGTTAGCACCAATGTATCGATCTCAATGCCTGTATAGTTTTCAAAATGGGATTGTTGCGTGTTTTTATACTCGACAAGGAGAACAGTGAAGTTTGTTGTCAAAGCACTATCTGTATGAATAGGCTACTTTGGTCGTTACACGAAAGTTTTGTGGGTCACAAACTATATGAAAGGTTACAATGAATCTCGCGATTGAATCGGACTTTATCGCCCTATTTGGTTTTATCTCGAGTCTAACAAGTCTACACAGATTTGCATCTGCCTAAAGGGCGGCTACCATCTACTGAGCTCTGTACAATAACGGGCGACCCGCCCGGATACTTGACTAGTATGTTATTATCAGTCAACATATGCTTTTTGTGCCTCGAAACATTGGGGCCCTTGATAGCCAGAGCATCTGGGATAAACTGATTGATTTTGGTGTGATGTTGTCAAGGGATTTTCCTCCCTAAACTCAAGATTGGCTGCTTGCTACTAAACCACATCAGATCACAGGGATTGCTGAAATAACATGGTCAGGATTAGGGTTGAATGAGTATGTCCTGATGTGATCCTATTGGTCATATAGGACATCACTCGAGCTTCGACAAGTAAAGTTGCATCAGATTGAATTGCATATTCGCCATGCATGATTTTATAGCTATACAAAGTCATTGTCTTGCCAATCAGTTTTCTTTGCATGTGCCAAACTTGGTGTGGTAGATATGCTACTATATAGTACTAGTATCAAAATCAATTGATAAGCATAATGGAGCAGGTTGGTTCAGGAAACAGTGTCTGATGGCTGTAGACTGGCAATGCTATCCAGAATCCATTTTCAACAGACTCCAAAACAATGTTTCGACTTTACAGCATCAATGAAACAATGGAATGCCAAATGGAGTATCAAATCAAATATCAAATGGAGACCAAAATAGATGAACTAGCCCAACAATCGGAATGAGATATGATGTAATACATGCAATAAATATACACATGGCTTGTAGCACAGGATCAGTGACTGATATACCGATCATTGCATTCATTTCACATGTATTGAGCAAGTGGGGTAAAACAGATATGAATGGAGTGTATGAATCGCTCAAAACACATTTGGTTTATAAGTGCACCCGCAATTGTAATCGCAATCGCAATCAAGCACTTGGAGTCAAAAGTATCCAAAACAATGTGCTAGATGCTGCAGTTCAATTACCAGCAGTATCCACTTTACAAATCCAACTCTGTAATATATCATCAGACAACAGCCAGTAATATTTGCTACGTCATCAACTCGATACATGTTGAGTATCCTGATTTAAGCTTACTGCAGATTTAAACTATTTGGCTGATCAACCGACTCGAATGTTGATGGATTACTATGCCAATCGACTGGTTTGACCCGATATCACCACACTTGACATGCCAACACATGCGACATATGATGAATGTTGGAATATCCAGACAGATACTTCTAACCAGCAACCTGTGGCAAAGCTAGTTCTAATAACACCCACTTTAAATCTTCAAATTAAACCCTTCATCACTAATCCATATGCTCCAAACTCCATTATCCCCATTTTTGGGATTCGAGTCCCCAGTAACGAGTAAATGGTGTTATTATTAAATTGGCGAATTACAGGAATCGATACTATTGGCTAGTTACTACTGTCTACAACCACTAATTATCAAACATGCTACTTGTTTGTATCACAAGACACAAACAATTGACTACTATAGAAGCCAAGATATTTCTTATCAATAAACAACTCTTCAAACTATTTCAACTATTTCAACTTTCTAATTACTTTATTACACCTTTTGACTATTCCTGAAAAGACCAAATCTGTTTATTTTGGATTACTGTGCAACTTCCTCTTGAACTTCTGATTTGTTCTTTTTTGATAATTATTAACAGTTACAGATTATATTCTACTTTAGACTTTACTACAAATCATGAAACTCCTAAAATTCTGGCATGTTGGTGTTGAATATACTGATTCTAGTCGTGCAGTAATTACCAGTACCAAATCCACATTCACATCTACTAATACAAATTGTAAGAATGAATGATTTATTAAACATGCACTGTTTAGCAAGTGATTTTCAACAGTTTTTTCAATCAATTGTAGTTTAATGACTGCATGTATTTAATCTATTAGCGGCTTGTCGACTCCATCTCTTGAATCAAGGCATCCGCTTTGGTACCCATTGTATTGTGAAGTTTGAACCAGTCAACAAGTATAGGCTTGAGTTTAATCAAATGATAGTGGTCGGTGGCCAGATACACATGTATCAGTTTTGTAATGTCATCCAGTATACTTTTAACGAATTTTTGATGATTGCCCATTATATTTTTGATCAATTTGAGCGATCCGAGCTTTGAACCATTTTTGAGTACTCTGGCAGCATGCTGTATATTGTCCTCTTCACTCTCAAAAACACTAACAAGGTTTTGAGCAGACAGTTTGAAATCCTTGATCAGTTTTAATGTTGGAGCGCTAGTGGATCGAACATCCAACTGATCGAAATGCAGCGCTACTTGTTTAATCCACAAAAGATATTTGCTAGAAAGCAACTTGGCCAGTGCATGATAATCATCAATTTTTTGTTCCAGAGATCTTGAAGCATCTGATGTCGTTGCTTTAGGCCATATCATTGACCAAAGTCCGCCAATCAGTCCAGGTTGAGTGGAAGTACCAGGAGTTCCAGACTGCTCATCCAGGTTTGGTGAATCAGGCATATATTCGAGCAACACATGAACAAGCGCATCCCGTCCCCAATAGTCGCTTTTGTCATAAGTATGACCACCATCAGTAATATAGTATTGTTGTATAAGATTGGGGTCGTATTTTGTGTCATCAATCATAAGCTTGCCCATATGTTTCATTTCTGAATCTGCCAGATTCATCAATCCATTGATAAACGCTTGTCTATTGTGGGTGTTTTCATCTTCGGGAATGCTAACCGTTATATCTGGACCAGGTGGAGCGGCATAGACACTGCTGGACAAGGCAAAAAACGTAGCAAGAATAGAAAAGTTGAGATACCTCATTTGATCAAGTATGCGGAGCCAGTTATGAGTATAACTGTTGGGAAAGTATGCGGGGTTTTATAGTCGATAGGACATCGAGGTTGGTAGTGTAATACCAAAAAAAGAGCTTTGTGCAAGTTGTACCATACTGTGGAATCATGTGTTGGACACTAATAGTGTATGTCCTTGTATGGGACTTAGTGCCGGGATGTGCAATTTGTTGACTTGCACTGTGTATGTGGGCCTGTGCGTGTGACGCGTGTGTTTGGGCTGTGATCACCAATTGTGATATCACTCGCCTCGGGTGGAAGATTTATGGTAATCAGAGACTCACAGAAATGATACCCAGGCAAAAACATGCATACTTTAATCTCTGTTCTTCCACTTTTCTCTCTCACCTTATAAATAAATATCTTTCCATTTCTCCAATAAATAACGCGATTACTTTATTACTATCAGTTGATTAGTTAATTGATTCATTCCATCACATCTTCAATCAACTGCAACACACTTGCCAATAATGACAACCATCAATATGCCATCATATGTTCACAATCCTCAAATTCAAAAGTCAATTTGAAACCCCATTTTTAAGCATCTACAAGTCTGCAATATCAGATTTGTGGTTGGTACATAATAGGCTGCCAATAAAAGTCGACAAATTGAGCAACTGCAATGTGCCTTGCTGTATGATAGTAACACATCAGAAATTATCAATGCTTTCAAAATCAAAAGTCGGCAAATGATGTCACTGCTGGCTTGTAGCCTCTGTTTACAAACCTACAATCAACATATTCACTGGATTCGTATAATGGTAAATGATGAACCACAAACCGCTGATGATATTATTATGGACAATGCTCATATTATTGGAAATCAAACGATTGGTGCAGTTTCAGATGCTGTTTCATCACACAGAAAGTCTTGCTACAGAGTCTGAATCCAATAGCAGTGAATCTGCAGTTTGACCAACACAGTCAATAATTATCGTTTGAAACTCGAATCAAGTGATGATGTTGCTGTTTCAGATACACTCAATGTCATCAATGCAGTAACATTGTAACCAATTCAAATCATTGATCATGAACCAATTTACCGTGTCTTGATAAAAACACTGATAAACCATCATTCATACATGAGTTTGTCAAAAGTATGAACTGATTGCTGAACAGATGTTTAAAGTGGAGCTCAAAACAGTGCAACTCAATGTGCAGCTTTCCCACAACTTTCCCGCTACAAAAAATACAGCCTTGGAACTCAAAGTGTACATCAACAATACTTGTGTGTATTGACCATCAATGATGTTGTTGGTGTAGCATACACAATGTGCATTGCATAAACGCTTGTTTGTTTGCTGGAGCTATTTCAAGCAAGCAAAAATACTAAAAGGTTCAGTTTGATGAATTTCTGGTGTATATTTACAATGAATTCAAACTCGAGAGATTGTCGTACTTTGCATACAAGACATACTACAATCTATTACAACAATATCATGTATTTCAATATGCACCCATTCGATTTACAACAGTGGCATAAACATCATCACATTTGAACAATGGTTCAGTCGTACAAAGTCCAATAACAGCCATGAATTGTATCAGACATGAACATACTGGTGCAAAATTCACATCAAATAACACACCGCAACAAACATGTTTCTGGTAGATGGTGGAATTGATGTCATTGATTTTCAAGTACACGATATTGGTGTTGAATGATTCAATAAACTATACTCGTCGACTTTGTGTACTTTTTTTCAGTTGCATCGTTTCTGATTCCGAGTTTGAAGCATAATAGTTGCGACAGCGCTGTTGTCCAATTTGCTTGTTTTGTGAATAGTAATCATGATACCACTTGTTTGACGCTTCTTGTTGTTGAACTGGATATGTATGTCAAATTTGGATGCCAAATTTTGATGCATTGCAAGTAATTGTTGTAGTTTTTGATCGAGTCAATGAATGGCATTTATAGTTGCTCTAGAAAACAAGTTGTTTGAAATGTCCTGTCATATGTCATATGTTTTGTTGTTTTCAGGTTCACTAATTGTTGATAATGCATGCAATTGATTTCTGTTTTGACACTGCTTATTTGTCATTGTTGGATATGGGTTTCTAGATTCAGTAACAAACGTTTCAGCAATTTGGATGTGTTCAAATTCATAATACTTGCAAGTCTGAATTATTTGATCATCATCTGAAATTGGATACGAGTAATCATTTCCACTAACCACAGTATACATAGTATACACAGCATTACTGTATATTGACTTGTATTTTACTCAAAGGTTTGTCCATTCAGTATTCCAACACAATTCCCAACATTGATTGAATGGTTTGCAGTGTTTGTTTTAATTGAACCACTTGATGGATCACTTTCATATCTTGATTCAGCAATATCACCAACTGCACAATGATGGATGTGATTGTAGTCAAACACAATATCTTGCAAGACATTAACGTATTGGTTAGTTTTAGTATATTCTTGATAAAAGGCAATGATGTTTTGTAATGGGGTGTTGAATCCTTCAATCAAACATTGTCTGTTGTGATTTCCAACATTGACAGTGACATGACAAACACATTTTGCTTGTGACAGACTTTGAACAAGTGTATTGCTCCGTTTGTTGTACAATGCACGACATGATCAGTTGGTGGTATCATGCAATCATGCAACTGACAAGTGATTGCAAGTATGACTGATAGTTACAATCAACACTGGTTGTTATCATGTCATTGATGTATATGTAACAAGCCGTGTCAATGTATCAATCAACAATCCAGTAATTGTTGATGTAATACTCAACACAATACACAATCAATGATATGGTTGTTGACCATTCACGATACTCGACAAATACCAACACATCAGAAAGTTTAAATTTATTCGAAATCAAATTGATCGACACATCATCAATCTGGATCTGATTCTGGTTCTTCAAATTTCAAACCATATTTTTTCATAAAAAACTTCAATTTTTGTCTTAAATTGTATACTTTCACGCCTGCTTTTTTATACTCTTGTTTCAATTGGGTTTCAACTTTTAAGCTGTGCATTGATTCATAAATCACTTTTCCCCCTTTTAACGCTGAATGTTGTTCCAATCTAACGGCTTTATATTTATAATAGGCTTGGCGTTTTTCTTTTGCTATTTTTCTGAATATTTTAACCCTTTGTTTTATACCATCAAATGTTTTCTGATCCTGTTTGCTTAATACAGTCACTTGATCTGTAACAGTATTTCCTGACCCGTCTTTTTCGATTGGTTGTTTCTGACCTTGTTTGAGAGCATTTGGGCCGGCTCGATTAATTGGCCGTTTCCGACTTCGTTTGGGAGTACTTGGACCGACTCGACTGATTGGGTATTTAATGGGAATATTTGGATTAATTACAACAAATAATAGTTTCCAATATTTTCCGGAAGTGTTTGAACTGTGTTCATTAGTTGAGCCAGGCGCTTGACTGGAAGTGCTTTGACTGGTTTTAACGATTGGCCGTTTCCGACCTCGTTTGAAAGTGCTTGGACCATTTACATCTATTGGGTGTTGCTGGGTTTGGTCTGAAATATCTAAACTAAGCTCATTAACTGGTTGTTGCTGGGTTTGATTGGAAATATCTGGGTTAGGCTCATTAGTTGGGCCAGAAACTTGGCTGGAAGTGCTTGAATCAGCTATATCAAATAGGTCTTGCCAGTATTCGTTGATAATGCTTGAATCAATTGTATCCATTGAATGCTGTTGGTCTTGACTGGAAGTACTTGGATCAGCTATATCAAACAGTTCTTGCCAGTTTTCAAAAGTGTCTAAATCAACTTCATCTATTAAACGTTGCCAGTATTTGTCGGGAATTCCTGGATCGGGTTCATCAGTTGGTTGTTGCCAGTATTCTTTAGAGTTTTTTGAATTGATTGCATCAATCAAGCCTTTCCAGTCTTTCGGAATGCCTGGATCGGGCTTATCGATTATATCTTGCCAATCTTGTTCGGAAATGCTTGGTCCCAGTTCATCAATTGGTTGTTTTTGAGCTCGTTTAGGAGTGTTCGGATCAACTAAATCAATTGATTGTTGCCAGCCTTTGAGAATATTTGAATTGGGTTCATCAATTGGGTCAAGTTCTTGGTTGAAAGTGCTTGGACTGGGTTGATCTACTATACTTTGCCAGTCTTGGTCTGAATCAGTCGAATCAAATAGGTATTTCCAGTTTTCATCGAGAATGTCTGAATTAATTGCATCCACTATACTTTGCCAGTCGTCGGAAGTTCCTGTATTAGGTTCATCAGTTGGGCCAGACACTTGACTGGAAGTGACTGATGCTTTGGGTGAGCCATTGTTACCAGTCGGGATTAGTATTGCATTGGCAGTTGCTGCCGCAGTCAGCACGAATAGAATATCAACCAATTTCATCAGATTAGTCAATGGGTTCAAACGACTAGTACAAAAACAAAATATTGAGGCTGATATTGATTATAGGACTGAACATACTCGATTGTATTTGTATTTTTGTATAGCAAACCAACCCTAACCCTTTTAGATTAACCAACATCACAGGGTTACTTGATTGCTTGTAGTGTGCTACTCTCTAATCATAATATCATATTGATCAATTTGATGATCGTGTCGATTGAATTATGCCTTTACGACCCTTTGATCAGGTATATTGAAAAGCACACCCTTCATGAGTGTTGTGCAGCCACAAACGCTTTGTTTTACAACTATATTCATTGTGCAATGATTGTGTTCTGCATTGCAACATACAATGGTTACTATACATTGACTGCATTGCGTGTTCGATATACAACAACCATCATATGGCACACAATCAGACTATAGTGTTGAATCTACACTTTGTGCACTTTTAGTAATCATACATTGTACGATTACCAAGTTTGAATCCATATTCATGTATTGTGTTTGACTGTCAATGTTGTCAATACAACTCTGTACACACATTTATTGTGTTTATCACCATCCAACCCAATCTCACCATTTCAATCAATCTTGGTCAATGTTGATGATTTACACGCTAATTCATTATCCAATCTTGTCTGACATTATTATTGGCTTTAATCACATTTGGTTTGTACAACTGCCATGAGTTGTACTACCATTATCATTGTGTATCTGAACACCAAATATTCCAATACATCAATAGTACCACAGTGTAAACAGTAATACAGTTGATCAGTCTTGTGGCAAGACTTTTCATTCAAGTTTGTATTTGGAAATACTCAATACTGAGCAAATGATCGATTATGTTGTACAAACGGGTTCATTAGCAGTGAATGAGTAATCAACCAGACTGTTTACAATGAAATCAGACTAAATACATACAATACTACCAATCTATGCAACAAACATGTATCAACCAAAATAACAGACGTTTCTAAAACCAACCCGTGATAAAGGACGAGTTGGGCTGTCATATATATGGTTGCATATCTACCAAACAGATCCAGACCGTACCATTATGCATGATATTATCCTGTTGTGGCTCAGTTATATCCGCAACATTGTGTCTAGTACACATCCAACCCTCAACGCGCCAGAATAAAATTGAAACCACTTGCCAGTAGATTCATGGCGCTGTACTAGCGTATACGCTTGGTCTGATGGTGACTAGTTGTATGCCAAACATGAGAGCATCTGGAAGTCAGCCCTAGATGTTGTGCACATTTGGTGAATACAAGTACAGTTGGATATCACGGATAGCAACAATCGACATGACAGTGGACACTATTGGACATGTACACTGCAATGTGACTGTCAGCAACCATCACCATCAGTGTGTATCATGTGTTTAAAAGTACTCGCATGCATTGGATTCAACACCACGTTTGTGATTGGGTTTGATTTGGATTGTATTGGTGGTGTTGTTTTGCATATATCAGTAGATTGTGTGTTGATTTGAATGGCATGATCATCCATTATGGTTCATGTATCACGATGACAATCTGACCTGTTGACACGGCCAGTTTGTTGAACGACCTGCCAATCTCCAATTCAATTATAGTACAACGTCACTCATTCGGTGTAGCGGCGACAGATTGCCGAGTCTGATGTTGATCATGTTGTGACACAATCAGCAGTGTTTGATGTATACAGTCTACACTAACCTAAAATGACTGTGCAGTCATACCAATGGAAAAGTCATAGTTTGAAATACTGAAACAACAGGTTGTTTGATGCTGTTGTGTTCTAGTGATCCAAAACATGACCAATTGAACAATCAATCAAATATTTGGTATACAGTGACAGTATGTGATGACAACTATCCATAATCAGAGTAATGGTCTGACACTACCTGATTACTGAATACATGACCGCAATTGAGAATATCGACGCAGTATACTACTGAAATTGATTATACACTATCAACAATGCTTGTATATTAATCCACCCTACAGGGTGTTTCTGGGTTTTCTCACCCTGCATGGTGTTTCTGGGTTTTCTCACCCTGCATGGTGCTTTGGCGTTTTATAAATACCCATTTGGAGATTGCTGATTGTCACCCTCGGAGCTGCCGTTGTTATAAAACGGCAGTCATGTACCAGATTCAAAACACTTTCATCACACTACTCGATACAATGTTGATTACTCTAGAATGCGTTCTACTTGCGTTACAAGCGGTTGCTGCAGTTCGACTTGCATTACACTCACCTTCTGGGATTGACAGTCAATCAAGCAATAGGCTGTCAAAACGATCACCCGTTGAATTGGATGGTGATATCACAAAATGCTACACAATTAAATTTAATGTCGATGGAGTCAATGTATGTATCATGTCATGCATTGTAGTTTGATATCAATTTGCACCACGTTTAATCAATCTCACACTTGTTTAAAATAGTTGAATTTACGAGTCGATTCAGATGCCTCCAATATAATCGTACCACTTCCTAGTTCAAGCAACGATGTAGGTTTGGCTATACAAAGTACTCCAAGTGGGGAACCCGTTACTATAAAGTACAGAGGCAAAGAGTATAATGGAGTTACATCTACAGCCGCTGTGACGATTCCGGGTACTAGTATAACTGACATCAATTTACCAATACTAGCAGTTGAAAAACTATCACCATATCTAGTTGGTATTGGTGGAACACTCAAGCAAGGAGTATTTGGGTTTGGTCATTCCTTGTTGTCAGATCGTCATTCACAAACCACTGCAATGGATGCTTTGTACACCAATGATGTCATTCCCAATAACGAGGTTGGCATTCAACTATGTCCGTATGACATGTTGCAGGAAAGTTTCATCAATATAGGAAACACAGACATAACTGCAAAATGCGGAACAGATGGAAACAGTGTTGCATGGGTACAATCACCATCGAACGATCAATTTAGTGTCAACATCAAGAGTATGCTAGTTAATGGCAAAAAAGTGGATCTTCCCGAGGAATTTCAACAAGTTGTGGAAAATGGACGTGCTTTGTATTCATATCTACGTACATGTTCTACGTATATGTATCTTCCTAAAGTAGTTGTAAAAGCGTTGATTGATGCTATTCTTGATAGCAATGCGATTACTTTTAAAAGTATATTATTTAAAAACAAACTCGGCAAAAAAATAATTAAAAGGATACTACAAAGAAACTCTCCAATACCCAAATTCGATTTTAATATCGATTGGGGCAAGCTGCCGACAATTACAATTGTAATGTTTTCTCAAAACCCAGTAACTGATGCCAATTGCAATTCCGTTGTAACAATCAAGTTGGGTCCCAAAGACTATATACAGAGAGTTGATTCTAAAAATTGTAAATAATTGACAATTGTATGCAATATGTGTTGTTTGATTAACCTGACTAATATACATGTTGAATTGTAGACCTGTTTACTGTAGCAGCTGGTCCAAATGACAATGTAGTTCTTGGTACATCATTTATGACCCGACTTATATTGACATTTGATCGAGTACATAAACGCATTGGGTTTGGTCCTGGATGTGGATGTGAAGTCATGGCCGATGGATATCCTACTATTTCGGACCATTATCGAGTGCTTTGGCCATTAACACAGTAAGTTGTTTGATATTGATGTGTGGATGTGTTGATTGATATACTGATACTGATCATGAATTTGATGCATACTGTTAGATTGCCTGAACAACCAAGTACTTCAAGTTCAGATGTCACATCTACTCTTAGGAGATCATTGTCGCGATTTGGTAGTACTCTCCGTGATAGTATTCGTCGTGGTACCAAGCGGCTAAAGTTTGGTTACAAGAAAATTTGAAAACTAAACAGATATATCAATAAAATCGGTTATATGTTGCATGAATGATTATCCTGATTATTTATAGTTGATATGATGTACATCGGGACTCTTGGTGTTAATCATCAACAACTACAACTGATCAAGCAGTTGTACCTGAAAACACCCACGACACTGTCAAGAGTCACACAATGACTCTCAATAAACTCGACTGGATACAATTCATTAGTGACAAACTGATATTATATGTACTTTTAATGTCGTGTGTCCATGTTTGATTGTGTGATATGTTCAAGCCATGCATGTGTTGGATCAGTCCAGTGGGTATCATAGTTGTTTGATACACGATGCTCACGCATACTATTGTATTGGTAATACATGGTATTGATTGAATACACATTATCCAAGTGTATCAATCATGGTATGCATTGTTGGAACCCATCACTGTATATCTGGATGATCATGTCGATATTGGATGTGCGATATCAACTGTTTGATTACGGTATACTGCTGCAAATATCATGATTATCACAATACATACATGCATGTCAGTATCATATCTGTCAGAATACATACATGCATGTCAACCAAAACTGGAATGATCAGATACAATGTCAAGTGATAACTGTATTTTATTCAAACAAAAATACAATTGAATCAGTTGGAATGAGTTCAAATCTATCAAATCAATTGAATCAATCCGAATCTTCAGAGTCGGACGGATTTGAAAGTAATTGAAATCCACCCTTACGTTTAGGACTTCCTTTTGGATAGGATGATTTGGGGGTTTTCTGCTCACGAGAGTATTTGCGAGATTTTTGTCCACCAGAAGGATGTTTGGAAGCCTTACGTTTACCGGAGGATGCTTTAGTAGATTGAACTGTAGGTGTTTGACTCGATGATGAGAGCGAACTTTCATGATGTTGTGGACTCTGGATTCCACTAGTAGAGGGTTGCTCGGGTTCTAGTTGTCGGTCTAATACGAGAGCTTCAAATTCTTTGACGAGTTTCATAAACATGAAATCCGATTCCAGAAGTTGCATGTAATCCTCGACTAATTCTGCACTAGTATGTTCCCCGAACAGGAACTTCACGAGCTCATTTTTGATTTTAGTGAGCTGCGAGCGAATTCCAGAATTGTCCCAGTAGGAATCCATACACTTTTTTTCAAACTGGAGAAGAAGGTAATGTTGTTCTGCAAATCGAGCATTGGCTTTTTTGACTTCTTCCTTGTACTTTGAACCATCTTTTCTTTTATGGGTTTTATCCATCAAATCTCCAAGCTCACCAGCTAGGCCTTTTACCAATTTTTCTTGAGAAACTATTATGGATTCTGTCGAGTCGCACATTGCCTTTGCCTCATTATGCTGTTTATTCACTCGTGCGTATTCTTTGATCAAATTCATGCCCTCTTCTGAAAGTTGATCAAAATTAATCCAGCCTGTAGTTTGTGCACTGGGAACAGCTGTTGAAGTGCTAGATTCAACACTTGTAGTCGCGCTGGGATTAACTGGTTTGGCGACAGTAACTGAGCAGATGGCCAGAATTGATGATAAGACGGTGATTGCGAGTTTCATTGTATTGATTTGATCAAGTTGTGGATGATTGTTATCTGACAAGTCGGGTTTATATCGTATTTATATTCGTTGTTCAGGGAATAGTGTTAAAAGCATGTTCCCTGGATGATCGTCCTAAGGAACTAGTGTTGCTGTCAGGGTTGGTGTTGACTTGCTATCGACGTCAAAGTTTAAGGGACATCCCTTTATATGATCACCCATAATCTTGATTGAGCCGCTGTTCGGCTATGCATTTGAACACCATACGATTGATCGATTGTATAATTATCCACCATAAAAGGGTTAGTGTGCCACAATATAGTCAAGTGTAGGTCAAGTAGGGCTACATGCAACTGAGCTGATATTTAGTTGTTGGATGATTATCAATATGTGTTGTGGTTGACATGATTCAACATGTGGTTTAATGATGCTTTCCATTCAACTCGACACGATCAATCACTACACATTGTCCAGTAATTCAATCAATCAACTGAATCAATACAATGCAATTCATGTTGCAACCACAATGTCACATTGATGATCAATGACTTGCAACTGTTGTGTTGGCATTGCATGTTGTGTGTTACTATATCAATATCGATTGTCACTATATAGTTGTATCAACCACACATTATGATCATATGTCATGGTTGATTCGTATTCTGGATTGATGCACACATTGTATTGTATTGCATCACTCGAACACAAACATCGTATGACTTGTTGATTGCTAATACTCATATTGATCAAATACACACTACATGACACATGTCAGGTTAGCGTATACATTCCACTATATAGCACATCATGTTGCTGATACCACGCATTGTGATTCAACAGTCAATCTGTATTCGAGTTCAACTACAATTGATTGTGTCAATCATAATATACACGACCAATTGTAGTCGAGTTGATCCGACTGAATAGAGTCCGAGTCATCATGTTCATATCAAACCATTGCAAACCATTACAAGTCTATTACACAATTCCACTCGTGTTGATTACAACATGCTATTCAGAAATGTATCATATTGTCCTGTAATGACTGTACATGGTTGTACATGATTGTTTGAAACCAGTAACTCCGTCGATTGATATCCACAATATGATCCAGTAGTCGTCCAGATTATGTGTTGTATTTGGTGTGTTGGGTGATGATATCAACCTGTAGTCAAGGTTTGACTATCTGGACATGTCGGTGACTTTTTACCAACTGTGTGCAACTCGATGTCCAATATCGAGTCATGTCATTGGTCAATTGATTGGTTCAATTCATCAGTGGGTTTGCTGGATCCATGTGGTGTGCAGCACTTTCAAGAGTATGTTGAATCTGTTGCAGTATTGGAACTTTGTAAACGGATCAACATACTAACCTGATCATGATTGTGGTGGTTATTGCAGTCGAGTCGTAAAGCTTATTCTGGCAATCATTGATGGTTTGGACAATCGTTTGAATAATCGTTTGGATGTCAGGTTACGGTATCCTGATTGACAACTCGACTCGGATACAACTTATTTGGACAATTACTGATCGATGGATTGGACAATGAACTAGGAATCAATCAACACATTGACAGATTTGTCATTCCAAATGGAAACAACGACAATCCAGTTGTAATCCATATTGAGCCTTGAATTCAAACAGTCGTGAATCAAATCATTAATAAACTACAAAAACAGTCCAATATACCAACTCGCATTTATCCACAACTCGATATGTGATGTTCAAATGTCTAATATTCAGACTGTGCTGATTGCAATTGTTGTTGTAATTGTGGTTGTGTGTAAATATCAATCCAATACTCGATTCAATACTTGATTCAACTTGAGCATGTACAGTTTTGTAGTAATCCATTTGATCACATTGACAGAATCAAGCAATGATCTGATTCAACAACACCGAATGATGCATCCATATCACTTGTATCAATCAATTGTACACAATCAGTCAATATAATCAACAATCACTGTCATGATTGACATGATTGATTCAATTCATTCAATTTATTCGATCCATTTAATTGCATAGATCCAACTGGCATTGCAACTCATTATTGTATAAATCACAACCTCATAATTCACCACAAACGATCAAGATTATACTTCTGTTCATATATGTATTTGTTGTATGCTCTTGTGATTTGAGTTCGGTCGCTTGCCAATTCATCTCGATAGCGTTTGGCTTTAGCTGGTGATTGAACACCTTGAATATACTGCGTGATATCATTCCACAGTTCAGGCGGTATGTGTGCCTTGTCAAGACTCGAGTTGTACCATTGTGGTTGTTGCGGAGCCACATGCGCAGTCGAAACAATCCGACGAGACGGATTCACTACAAAAAATGTCAGAATCTTGCAGTGTCCTGGTTGAGTTGGATCTGCAAGTTCAAATGATTGTTCTTTGTGTTGGTATCGATTGGGATAAACTACACATCGACCATTTGGTAATTCAAGCGATCCTATATACTGATTGCGTGGCGATTCTTGATCAATGCCGTACACATCTCTCCAATACATATCAGATGCTACTTGATAAAAACGATCAACAGCCACGCGGAAATCGAGTTTGGATGTGGTGATATTTTCCACGTCGTAGTAATACAGTCCAGTTGCAACAATCGATTCGTTAATTGGACCTTCATTGTGCCAGTTTCCCTCGTCGTATTTAGGTTTGGATGGTGTCAGTTGAATGTTGGTGAGTTTGACAATGACTTGTAGATTACGACCACGCAGTGATACTGGCTTTGCTGATTCATAATTGGATTCAAAATGTTCCAGAAGTGTTGGTACATACACGGGACGAATGACTCGAGTGTCTGGTTCCATACCACCATAGTCTGACTGGTTTGGTGGTTTATATCGATTTGTGTCATTGTGAATATCAATATACCTGAACATTGGATCCATCGTTCTGAACAGACTTTCAAACATTGGGACAAAACATTTAAATATTTTGGCAATGCATTTGTACATGTCTCGATGCCATATCGGATTCAGATTGTTGATGTATGAGTTGATGGTCACACTGCCATCCTGTTCGACACGGAATTCACTCGGAAGACATTGGAACTTGCGTGATATAAACTCGGAATCACCTTCAATGATGGGCGTATCTGAAACAAGTCGAGTCGATAACAATATATCGCATGGTACCATTGTGGTGTATTTGAGTCGTATCCTCAGTGGTGCAATCATCGTTTGTCCATATACAACACTGTACATTGATGCATCAATCAGATTGTGCACCATTTGACCAGTGTTGTGATTTGATCCATGTTCAAGATCCGATACATTTGTCATCAATCGCGTGTATACATTGTCAGGTATGCCATTGTCCAGTATATACGTCAGTTCAACAGGTCCTGGTACAATTGTGCCCAATCCATCACTGCCACTACAAACAAGCTGTTTGACAAAAACCCCAAGTTGTTCCAATGCAAGATTAAATGTTGATGGTGATATATTCTGATCGAGTGAGTCGGCCCTCCATTGCTCCACAATATGCTGGTTTGTGATATCGATCCACCACATGGGTTTGCAGAGTATACATTGCAGATACTGGATATACTGCATCTCGACAAGTGTGCGCACCTCTCCATGTGTATATCCGGCCATTCCAGATTTCATATCAATTTCGGCATTGTCCTTGTATGGCTGAATGCTCGAACTAGCAACATGAACCCGATACTGGAAACACGTTTCAATGATCTGGCCAGCAACCCTTTTGTTCATGTAGTCGGTATCATCCGATTTTACAATAGCCGTTAGATTTTCAAACATCCCGCCTTGATCCAACTCGGTACGTATTGAACTGTCTGGATGATTGTCGGCAAAATCAACAAGTGTTTTGATTAGTTTTACAATACCATTATAATCACACAAATCCATATCTCTGCGTGAAATAATAGTGTTGAGTTGCTGCATAATTCCATAATCTTGAAACACCTTGATCATCTCGGCCTTGTTTGTAGATTTCTCAATCATGTCGCTGACATTATCAAACAGACGCAAAGAGTCACACATACGAAGATTGCACATCGATATCGTCAATTGCTCAAAAACCAACGATCGTACAAGCGATACAGGAAAGTCGCGCATTTGGGATGCAGCTGTTCCAGCTACTTCGATCATGCGTGCTCTTAGTTCAGAGTCGTTGCTGTATTTGACACACAAGTCGTTCAGTGCTTGAATCAATCACGATCTTATCAACTCGGCTGAAATCACTTCACAATTTCTAATATCGCATAAACTCTGAATAGCATCAATACTTTGATCAATTACTGCTTGATCGACACTCCTGTATTCATGTCATGTCAAATTTACCAATTGTGATGACTGGACACACATTCATGCATAACACCACATACCTGAGCGTATTGACCAGTGCTGGAATGATGCCACATTTCACTGCTTTTACTGGGTCATGACGATAAATATTCCAATGCATGGTTTGAAAGTTTTCGATAAACCCAACAGCAACTGAACCACTGGATGATTCCAGTCGTGAAACAAGTCTTGATACCACAATGCCAAACTAATGATATTGTTCAATGTCAAATATACAATCAGATCAACATGACAAGACACTGTACAAACTGATCCAATATTGTATCATTGTAAACATACATTTTCATCGTCAATATCATGACAAACTTCCGAAAACAGGTCAATTGCCAATCTGAGCACTTCTTGATCAGACTCGTGAACAATAATCTCAACCATTGGCTTGATGTCAAATTTACACTCCTCACTCCAGTATCTATACTTGTAAAACTCTGTATATGTGTTTATCGCCTATATGCATATTGACACTGGGTGAGTTGAATGACAATCATTTGATCAATATCAATCATGACTTGCCGCTATTTTGACTTGACGGTTTGGTGATTGCATGCATTGTGAGAGTTGGTTGCTTAGTCGATGTGATACTTTGAACCGATCATCACTGTATACCATATTCGCAAATACTGTAGTAAACTCCATTACTTTGATCTACACAACACATGTTGATTAGTTTAGTCATGAACAATCCATTATTGTTACAATATATGAATACCTGTAAACTGGGTCGATTATACTCCAAATATTTGGCTGTGATATCTTGCAGTCCAATATTCTGTAAGCGAGGCACTACATCCATATAGTCTGTCATTTCAAACCAACACAAAGTCAGCAATGGTTTGAATTCATCAATAATACAATTGCTATTAAACTTACTGTAATTCTGTTTGTCCAACTCCAGTAGCAAGTCAAGCAGTCTGTCCCATATTTCATCAGCCTTGTATAGTTGAGCATCCGTTGTTAACAGTTTCAGATCTTCCATGTGTTGGATCAACTCTTTCATAACATCATCCAACTTCATGTTTGATAAAATTAGTAAAGTTGAATTTTGATTTGACAATTTCATTCATGCGAATGTTCAACAATTGCCAAGAATTGTTTATGTTTGGATTGTTGTAAAACACACAAACGAGTTGTTCCATTTTAGTATTGTTTTGATCAGTTTTTTGTAACAAAATTGGATTGTTATCAAACATGCATTTAGAAATACTGTAAATTAATATTCTGAATGTGATCGTTGTAGATTTGGTTTAATAAACAAGTTAGTTTACTACAACACATGGTAATGGATTACTAAACATCATCATAAATCAGATGGACTGGAGTGGAATGAAATGATATCAATGACAATTGCATTACAGTGTGTTGTGATTAAACCATCGAGTATTTCCAAATACAAACTTGAATGAAAAGTCTTGCCACAAGACTGATCAACTGTATTACTGTTTACACTGTGGTATTATTGATGTATTGGAATATTTGGTGTTCAGATACACGATGATAATGGTAGTACAAATCATGGCAGTTGTACAAACTAAATGTGATTAAAGCCAATAATAATGTCAGACAAGATTGGATAATGAATTAGCGTGTAAATCATCAACATTGACCAAGATTGATTGAAATGGTGAGATTGGGTTGGATGGTGATGAACACAACAAATGTGTGTGCAGAGTTGTATTGACAACATTGACAGTCAAACACAATACATGAATATGGATTCAAACTTGGTGATCGTACAATGTATGATTACTAAAAGTGTACAAAGTGTAGATTCAACACTATAGTCTGATTGTGTGTTATATGATGGTTGTTGTATATCAAACACGCAATACAGTCAATGTGTAGTAACCATTGTATATTGCAATGCAGAACACAGTCACTGCATAATGAATACCGAAGGAATCCATTTGACATGAATACAGTTGTAAATCAAAGCGTTTGCGGTTAAACAACACTCATGAAGGGTGCTTTTCAAAATATCTGATCAAAGGGTCGTAAAAGCATCATCCAATCGACATGATCATCAAATTGATCAATATGATATTATGGCTAGGGAGCAGCATACTGTCTAGTTCGATAGTTGCTCATTACAAGCAATCAAGTAGCCCTGTGTTGTTGGTTAATCTAAAAGGGTTAGGGTTGGTTTGCTATACAAAACATACAAATACAATCGAGTATGTTCAGTCTTATAATCAACATCAGTTTCAACACTCTGTTTTTGTATTAATAGTTTAAACTCACTGACCAGTCTGATGAAATTGGTTGATATTTTATTTGTACTGAGCGCGGCAGCAACCGTTAATGCAATACTTCCTCCAGCTGATAAATATGGTTCACCCCAAGCATCAGGCACTTTCAGTCAAGTGTCTGATCCAACCAATGAACCTAATCCAGGCACTTCCGACGACTGGCAAGAAGTAATGGATGCAATTAATTCAAGCATTTTCGACGAAGACTGGCGAAACATATTAGATCCGATTGATCCAAACACATCCGACCAAGACTGGCAACAACCGATTGATCAACCCAGTTCAAGCACTTCCAGTCAAGTATCTGGCCCGAATAATGAGCTTATTCTAGAGATTCCCGACCAAGACTGGCAAGACATAATGGATGAACTTGATTCAAGCATTTTTGACGAAGACTGGCGAAACATATTAGATCCGATTGATCCAAGCACTTCCAATGAAGACTGGAAACAACCAATTGATCAACCCAGTTCGAGCACTTCCAGTCAAGTTCCTGACCCAATTGATCAAGTCGGTACAAACACTTTTGACAAAGACCAACAACAACCAGCTGATCAACCCAGTTCAAGTATTCCCAAACAAACCCAGCAACACCTAATGGATGCAACTGATTTAAATATTTCCGACAAAGATCAGCAACAGCCGATTGATCAGTCCAGTCCAAGCACTTCCAGTCAAGGTCGGAAACGGCCGATTGGTGATTCCAGTTCAAGTGGTGCTCCAAAACGAAGTCGGAAACGACGAATTGATCAACCCAATCCAAGTACTTCTGACGAATACTGGAAACCACTATTTGATATAATTAATCCAAATATTCCCAGTCAAGACCAACAACAACCAATGGAACAAGTCGAGTCTGCTAATACTAGTTCAAATCAAGTGACTGGGTTAAGCCGAAAATTTCAGAGAACCTTTGATGGTCTAAAGCAAGGGCTTATAGCGTCTAAAGAATTACGAGACAAAAAATGGCAACAATATCGTAGGTATGTAGACCTTGAATTCGAACAACAAATGACGTTAGCAATGGGCAAAGAAATATCTGGATCAAAATACGATCCAAACGTTCAAAAGCAATTGAAACAAGAGTATGAAAAGCTAAGGAGAAAAGTATACAGTACCAGACAAAAATTGAAAAACTACATGAAAAAGCATGGTTTAGAATTTGATGAGCCAGACCCAGATTGATGATGTGTCGATCAATTTGATTTCGAATAAATTTAAACTTTCTGATGTGTTGGTATTTGTCGAGTATCGTGAATGGTCAACAACCATATCATTGATTGCATACTGTGTTGAGTATTACATCAACAATTACTGGGTTGTTGATTGATACATTGACATGGTTTGTTACATATACATCAATGACATGACAACAACCAGTGTTGATTGTAACTATCAGTCATACTTGCAATCACTTGTCAGTTGTATGGTTGCATGATATCACCAACTGATCATGTCGTGTATTGTACAACAAACGGAGCAATACACTTGTTCAAAGTCTGTCACAAGCAAAAAGTGTTTGCCATGTCACTGTCAATGTTGGAAATCACAACATACAATGTTTGATTGAAGGATTCAACACGCCATTACAAATCATCATTGCATTGTATCAAGAATATACTAAAACTAACCAATACGTTAATGTCTTGCAATATATTGTGTTTGACTACAATCACATCCAGCATTGTGCAGTTGGTGATATTGCTGAATCAAGATATGAAAGTGATCCATCAAGTGGTTCAATTGAAACAAACACTGCAAACCATTCAATCAATGTTGGAAATTGTGTTGGAATACTGAATGGACAAACCTTTGAGTAAAATACAAGTCAATATACAGTAATGCTATGTATACTGTGGTTAGTGGAAATGATTACTCGTATCCAATTTCAGATGATGATCAAATAATTCAGACTTGCAAGTATTATGAATTTGAACACATCCAAATTGCTGAAACGTTTGTTACTGAATCTAGAAACCCTGATCCAACAATGACAAATAAGCAGTGTCAAAACAGAAATCAATTGCATGCATTATCAACAATTAGTGAACCTGAAAACAACAAAACATATGACATATGACAGGACATTTCAAACAACTTGTTTTCTAGAGCAACTATAAATGCCATTCATTGACTCGATCAAAAACTACACCAATTACTTGCAATGCATTCATATTTGACATCCAAATTTGACATACATATCCAGTTCAACAACAGAAAGCGTCAAACAAGTGGTATCATGATTACTATTCACAAAACAAGCAAATTGGACAACAGCGCTGTCGCAACTATTATGCTTCAAACTCGGAATCAGAAACGATGCAGCTGAAAAAAAGTACACAAAGTCGACGAGTATAGTTTATTGAATCATTCAACACCAATATCGTGTACTTGAAAATCAATGACATCAATTCCACCATCTACCAGAAACATGTTTGTTGCGGTGTGTTATTTGATGTGAATTTTGCACCAGTATGTTCATGTCTGATACAATTCATGGCTGTTATTGGACTTTGTACGACTGAACCATTGTCCAAATGTGATGATGTTTATGCCACTGTTGTAAATCGAATGGGTGCATATTGAAATACATGATATTGTTGTAATAGATTGTAGTATGTCTTGTATGCAAAGTACGACAATCTCTCGAGTTTGAATTCATTGTAAATATACACCAGACATTCATCAAACTGAACCTTTTAGTATTTTTGCTTGCTTGAAATAGCTCCAGCAAACAAACAAGCGTTTATGCAATGCACATTGTGTATGCTACACCAACAACATCATTGATGGTCAATACACACAAGTATTGTTGATGTACACTTTGAGTTCCAAGACTGTATTTTTTGTAGCGGGAAAGTCGTTGAAAAGCTGCACATTGAATTGAACTGTTTTGAGTTCCACTTTAAACATCTGTTCAGCAATCAGTTCATACTTTTGACAAACTCATGTATGAATGATGGTTTATCAATGTTTTTATCAAGACACGGTAAATTGGTTCATGATCAATGATTTGGGTTGGTTCCAATGTTACTGCATTGATGACATTGAGTGTATCTGAAACAGCAACATCATCACTTGATTCGAGTTTCAAACGATAATTATTGACTGTGTTGGTCAAACTGCAGATTCACTGCTATTGGATTCAGACTCTGTAGCAAGACTTTCTGTGTGATGAAACAGCATCTGAAACTGCACCAATCGTTTGATTTCCAATAATATGAGCATCGTCCATAATAATATCATCAGCGGTTTGTGGTTCAGCATTTACCATTATACGAATCCAGTGAATATGTTGATTGTAGGTTTGTAAACAGAGGCTACAAGCCAGCAGTGGCATCGTTTGTAGACTTTTGATTTTGAAAGCATTCATAATTTTTGATATGTTACTATCATACAGCAAGGCACATTGCAGTTGCTCACTTTGTCGACTTTTATTGGCAACTTATTATGTACCAGCCACAAATATGATATTGCAGACTTGTAGATGCTTAAAAATGGGGTTTTCAAATTGACTTTTGAATTTGAGGATCGTGAACATATGATGGTATGTTGATGGTTGTCATTATTGGCAAGTGTGCTGCAGTTGATTGAAGACACAAAAGAATGAATCAATATTCGATTGTGTTGTTTATTAACAAGTGAGTGAGTGTGTTTATAAAATGGAAGAAACCAAGAAAGTCATGTGAATCCCAGTTCAAACGTCATTGTTGATGGTTTTTGATTGTTAAACTATTCAGAAATGTCTCACATTCACACACTAGTAATATCTCACACAATGCAAGTCAACACTCTCACACTAGTAATGTCTCACATTAATGAGACATTAATTCTGGTGTAAATTTGACTAATTTCCAAATATTTCAATCGTGTGAATTGTCTTGAAATATCCCGAAATTTTGTTATTTTGACTCGATTAAAAAGTCGATTTTTGTTTTACAATTTGACAAATAAATTGCTTTTTTACTCTTTTTTCTTTTCATAAAATGCCAAAACGATTCCTCAATGTTGAATACGACACACTTACTACTGAAATCGATGTGACTGACTTTGAAGACCCGAGTGACGTTCAGGATGCTATCAAGTCTGAGTATGGTCCTGCTATGGCTGACATTGATGCTCCTCAACTCCAACTATACACCAACAGTAACAAGAGCCAACTAATCAACACCTGGGCTTTACTCGACTCTCTTCCTCAATAATACTTTACTCAAGATGGTTATTGTGTTGTTATTGGTTGTTTACCACCACCTACCAGGGAACCTACTCAAGCTGACCTAGGTCCAACATCTGCAGCAGCCTCAACCGCACTACTGGATTTTTGGACTGCTTTCACAAACTACCCTAACCCTCTTGAAGTAAACACTGTTGTCCAACTTCCAGCAGACGTATTCATCCTTGGAAACCATTCAATTGGATCATCCATTTACATCCGTCCTTGTTATCCTAAACTTTTTGAAAAATCACTATCTATTGTGCAATCTGCTGATATACGTCATTTGATCATCCTTGGAAATCCTGGAATTGGCAAGACATATTTTGGTTACTTTTTGTTGTTGCATCTTGCTCGCTCTGGTGCTACAGTCGTGTATGAGAGTGGAGTTGATCAAAAAAGATATCTGCTTACTCCCAATGGTGTATTCGAAGGAGGAAAGCATGCTTTTTGGAAAATCTTGGATTCCTCGTCAACATTCTACATTGTTGATGGCTCGGCACCTGTTGATGTTGATGCCAAGACCATTCTTGTTACTTTACCTCGTTGGGAAATTTGGCATCGGTTTTCCAAGGGATCCTGCGACATTCGGTATATGCCAGTGTGGTCAAAAGAAGAATTGCATTCTTGTCGCTCAATGCTGTTTCCTACAGTTCCACAAGAATTGGTTGAAAGTCTGTATTTGAAGTGGGGAGGAATTGCTCGTTATGTTCTTAAACATGCATTGGTAAAAGAACAACAGGATTTTCTCGACAAAGCTTTAAATATTTCCAATATCGATTCAGTTGTCAAGTCTTTTGGTAAATATGGTGAAAACTTAGACGCTTCAAGTTGTTTGATTCATATATCAGTCAAGGATGGCTTCCACGGTGGTCCTTATCAGTTTGCTTCTGACTATGTGGTTGATGAAATTTACAACCGTGTGTATGCCAGAGACCGAGATCATCTTATCAGATTCGTTTCTGTTACTCGAGAAATTGGTGAAACTGGTCAACTTAATAGGGCATTATTTGAAAAGCACGCTCATACAGTCATCGCTAAAGGTGGTTCATTCAAGATTCGTGATTTACGTACCAAGCTGGAGTCTACACTTCAACTGCCGATGGATCTTAGTACTTTGTTATTGTCCAACAATTCTCAAGTTCAAGACACAACGAATTGCTATTTCCGTCCCATTAGCAATATTTTTGAATCTGTTGATTCGTTCATCAAGCCAAATCTACTTTTCCAAATGACCGGTGCCAAAGATCATCCTTGTAAACAGACTGAACTTCGTAATGTTTTGGAAATACTTGGTAATCCGTCAAAACCAGAACTGTATTTTGTTGTACCTCCTGATCGTTTTGCCTGTTTACACACCAAAGCTACCACGGAACAGATGGTCGAGTATTGTCACAAAACGATACTATTGCGAGTGTTGAGAAGTTGACTCGATTTGTTTTGACGTTTGAACCATCTCATCAATAAGGTATGTAGACTATAATCAATGATATTTATTGGCTGCATAACGCTAATCCTAACTCTGTTTCTCGACCTCGTTCTACACAACACACGGCGTTTGATTTCTTAAAGGTGAATAATATCGTATGGGTTCCATTGGACAACAAACCTCACTTTGTGGAAATGACCACTTTCATTGTCAGGAACTTCCCAATCGTGTAATTTAATCGCTTTGGTTTTGAAACCTATAGTTTCTTGTAAATAATTGCATATCCCAAGACTGTTTTTCATCATACAGTTTTGAAACTAATATTTTGATTCAAGAACAAACTGCGTTTTCCTTTTTCTTTTGCAAATAAAAGTTGTTTTGTTACTTATAATTTTGGTCAACCAATTGACTGCCAAACTGTACAGCAGTTTTGCTGACATTGGATTTTTCCGATCGATAGTCTTGGGTTTCAAACTTGAATCAAATTCCCAGCTGACAAAACACTGCAGAGATTGTTACAAGCACAAAAGCAGCTGTTTCAAGAGATGTTGGTATTATACAAGGAGTACCAGAAAGTATACTCTTACAAAGAATTGTTTGCAACTGAATTGAATCAAATAGCCATACGTGATAAACAGCGGGTTGATTGTGGTTTTATTCCCAATCAATGGTATTGACAAAAACAACCGGGGATGAGCCAGGATCAAGAGTTGGAGGCTAGACACAATTATGAATGGAATATGCTAGAGTATCAAAAAGATGATCAAAAAAAGCGTGAAATTCAACAGATCAGCAATGATGTCCAAATGCATAGTGTAATCAAGCAAATTTGAATCCATTTTGGCATTGCAAGACACAATATCACATTTGGAAGAGTTGATTGGAAATATAAAGACTCGTACTCGATAAACACGGACTTGTCAGTGGTTTGATTTTATACTCTATCATTCTTACAACAAGATCCAGCTAAACCCAGTCTGATGTGTACATTAACGCTTAGTACTGGTTAAAAAACTACCCATTGTATCCAATTTGAGGCATCAAGTATGAGTCTGGCACAAATAGCTCGTATTTATTATGAATTACAAGCAAAGCTATTGACTATTCTACCCTAATACTTTTGACTTGAATTCCTTTCTGCAAATAATTTATGTTTTGACAACCTTGTACATGATTTAGCAGTAAGTGTCGGTTAAAAAGCTGGTATCATCGGGTGTTCTATCTATACTACTTTTGATTGATCGAATGTCAATATGTTTGTACAACAGTTTGGTACAACTGACTGTTCATGGATTATTATCACATGAGTCAATACTGACCTGATTTGCGATATTCAGTGTTGTTGGAATATCAACACAACATCAACACCAAACATCAGATTGACACTGCACGTTGATGTTGATGAATGCAACATGAATATTGAAACAATGCATCATAATGCGTACAAGTCGCAGATTGCAGTTCAAACTCAATGCAAAGTGCACATTGTTACAGTTTGGTCATGAACAAAGCGATACGCACAATGTGCAGTTCATGTCTACGACTCGACTGATTGGTAGACAACGACCATTTGCATTGTTGAACAGTAAACTGAACAGTAAATGACCATCAAACGCATGGCTTGGCATTGACATTCAAGCAATCACCATGATTGTAATATTTGCAAGTTGTCCACAAGTTGTTTACAAACGACCATCAATTGACAATGACATGCATGTGTATGGTTGACTATACAATATACTACATGAACCAATATTACTGACTGAATACAAGTCACAATTGCAAGTATCCATGTGGTAATGGACTGACATTGGTGTTGATATTGAATTGATTGACTAATCGATCATCATCAATTACATCAGTGATTGGTATATGCAACAGATATACACCATGTCCGAGTCTGATACATGTCGATATATGCGTGTCAATCAGCAATGCATATTTGTGGCCATTACAGTCGAATGTGAATCGAGTCGATCATTAAACCAACCAATCAATGATTGCATTCTAAATGTAGTGCGATTTGATGCAACATGACAATATATCTTCCAACAGGTTCAACATACACAACACCGATATCCAATACATCACACATGAATACACTGCATATACAAGCAGTAGTAATGACCAATCCAAACCAACAGTGGCAGAGTTACACATCAACATATACTCGATTATCAGTCGAGTCTGCATATATCAACTAGTTGCAACACGTCATAATCAATGTGTATTGTATTGTCCACCAATCGATCATGACAACTAATCAATACCAATCATGTAGTCAATACAATCACTAGCATATCGATGATTGTTGACTTGTGGTTACAACTCGCCAATTGCATCCAATGTTACAGGTGATACACATCTGATTACTGCAAATCAACAACTTGTCAATCATATCATAGTGTGTATTGCCAACGAACCATGCAATTACAAATCAATGTATACGTGATCAACACTTGATATTTGATGGTGATGAGCCAACCATGATTGATTGTATCATACAACTAATACAGTTGCATTGTCTGGTATTGATGATCAACCCATTCATGTCAAACAGTAACTAATGTGTGTATATCGAGTTTGTGTTGCATGAACACATCAAGGTGTTTGATAACGAGTCCAACGTGATGATACAAACCCAATATTATATGAATATCCAAGTTGATGAATCAAGTCGAGGTTTGCAAAGTGTCAATATGTCAGGTCAATCAAACAAGTCAGTCAACCATTATATTGTGACTAGTGATGACACGGTTTGAATGTCAACGAGTTAGATAGTCGACAATATCGGTGATTGTGATTTGGTCAAACCGCAACACTTGTATATCACTGAGTCGGTTTGATGTGTGTGGTGTAAGCAGTATGCATAAACTCGTTGATATCATGGACTATAACCAATATACATCACACACATATACAGTGGTAAACACCAACGTGTGGTGTATCCAGTGATCGTATATTGGTTGATTGATGCAATATGATCATACATACTATTGTATTGGTGACAAATGGTCGTATAGATGACTGAATTATCATATACAGGTCATTGGTATCCTTGTCGCATTATGGTGCCATTACACAGTATTTCTACACAAATCACACCCTGATGCTACGCTTCCAATTTCAATAAGCAATTATATAAAGAAAGAGTCTTTCAAAGTCATTTCAACATTGACAACAAATCAACACCAACCCTGATAGTGACACAAATCTCTTAGGATGGTCATTCAAAAAGCATGCTTTTAATATCATTTATTCAATAATGGATATAAATATAGTTCAAAAACTGGCTCGTTGAATGACATTACAACTTGCGCAACCAACCACCAAAATGAAACTCGCAGTTGCCGTACTGTCATCGATGTTGGCTGTCTTCTCGGTCACAGTTGCCAATCCAGTTGATCCCAGTTCGACCATGAGTGCTGAAGTCAGCACTGCGACAGTTTCTCCCAGTGCAACTGAAACTGCAAGTGCTAAAGCTAGCACCTTGAACACTTTTAGTAGGTTTGATTATCCGAAAAAATTAAAATCATATAATGAGTTTGGCAAGTATTGCTATTCAATTGGCTTGGAGGGAGTATTTATGATCGAAGAACACGCAACACTTTCAGTTAAAATCGACAAAATAGAGAAAGATATTCACAATGTAGATGCTCGGATCAAGGCTCAAAAAACTTGCTGTATAATCTGGAGCAAGATTTTGACTTTCTAAATAGAGCCTCGGGTCAAGGATCAGTAGACCTCGACCTTGAAGCTAATATTAGAACCCAGCGTGAGTTTCTTGATGAACTCCAAGAGATTCTCCAAAAAATTCTTGATGGGTATCGGATTAGGCTTAAAAAAGATTCTGAGCAAGAATTGGAGCTTAAACATTACTTTGAGCATCACCATAAGTTTGAGGTGACAGATTCTGACGATAATATAAACCTGGAATCGTATCACTCGTACAAGAGTTGTTTTGACTTTTTCTACAGTTACTTTTCAAGTGTATTTTCACGGTTTGAGCAAGATGCTCAGCAGCAAGCTTTACAACCATAGACCCGTCACGATGTTGGATTTGAGTGAACCATCACAGTCACATCCAGTATATGTTGTAATGCAGCGTGTATTGCATGGTGGTTTAATTGTCATGTGTCATGCATTCAATGTCATTCATTTAATAAACATCGTGTATTGTCAAACCATGTGTATTATACTAACAGTTTGATCATATTGCACCAATCAACTACTATGTGCTGGCATGACTGATCATTCGGTGTGCTACACATATTGAATGCATGCAAATCCATGACTGTCAATACTTGTTGTTGAAATGGGTTCAGATCACCATCAGCTCGCTCACTCGTTGCACCAATGTGATTACATGATCAATCTGACACCAACCAAACCACACTCGAATATATATGTTCCAGTCATGTGCATGGTGTATCTATTGTCAACTCACAATGTCAACTCCAACACATTCCACCATGGTTATGGTCACATCACACCATGCTGATGTATGTCGATCGGTATCACATTGCAACCGACTGTCATCCAATGACTGCAATGCAATACCGTGCATGTATTGTGACTGATACGTTGTGCACCATCAGCAAGTGTGCAACTGTCACTTGATATATCGACTCTGATATGCAACAACATGCTGTGTTTACCATGATCAGGTTTTTGATCAATATCGGACTCACAATACATGATTTGACATGTTGGATCGTGTGGATGTGTCATGAACTGCAATTTAGTTGCAGACACACATATGTTTGACATTGACTGATGCATACTGTGCAATGACTGATCAGTGCGAGTGTAATCACACACTTGGTGGTATTGTGCATTATGGTTGTTTGACAATGGATGAATGCTCGATTAGTCGGTTATATGCAACCCATCTGATTCGACCTATTTGAACAAACACTCGATGTAACTGACAACAATGTGTATACATGGCTGTTGGATCAGTCGAGTTTGTGCTGATACTGCCATACATGAGTTGGTCAACAAACTTGTAGCACTGCCAAATACACTCGTATGGTTTGCTTGCATGAGATAATCTTGTGGTTTAACACCCAAGTTTATTTTACAGTCGTATTCACGTAAAATCAAATACTTTTTTGTATTGATCTTGTAATGATTGTCTTGGAATAAACAATCGTTACATATTCATTGTTGTTGTTGTTGTTGTTGGAATGGATTATTTGTTTTATTGAAGCTACAAGTTGTTTGGTGTCTGGAATGGCTCAGCACACACAGTCATTCCAAACACCAAAGTAATTGTCAGCAGGGTTCAAGAATGGACAGTATGATGCTGTATAGTGTAGTTCCAAACATCGCGCTGTTTGTTGAATAGTTGGTAAACCATGTCTAATTAGAGTTGTTTTGTGGAATGGAATGTTGTCTAGAATAAAGTGACCGTTTGGAACCGTTTGGGAATGTTGCATGTCATTGTTTAACAAGTTAATATTACAGCATTCACTGCTGCCTTGATCAATCTCTCAACATATTGATCGTCATATGAAACACACACTATTAGACTATAGTTTTGAACTGAAATGTTGTTTTTGGACTGTACTCTTTCACCTCTGTTTGTATAGCCATACATTGTACAATCACCAAGTTTAAACCCAACTCGTCCATTGCAATCCAAATATTTGATTCTATTGTGCGAATGTTTTCAATACTTGACAAACTCTTCCATGCCAATTCATCAGTCGCTTACAAGAGTGAGCTTTCTGTATGTGTTGTTCCATTCCAAGATGCTTGAAATAGTTGGCTGACAAATGTGTGCCTGGTAAAAGTCCATTCGAGCACTACCAACATCACTTTGTCCGAGTGTTGGTGACTTTACGAGGTTGTCACATATCCACTTTGCAATGTCTTGTTCGAGTCCAGAGTCTGATAATGACAAATCTACAGTGTAAAGAGTGTAAAGAGTGGAAACACTAAACACTTTGTCAAGTTCAGAATGTCTTGACTACAAACTGAAACCCAAGACTTGGCATGACAGAATCTCAAACAGCAGCGATGAAATGACCCAGAACTATACAGCATAACGTCTGTGACAAGAACAATTGTTTTACCACTCGACATAGTTGTTTTGGTTCCAGAACTAAAAGATATGATGGTTATGGTTGAACAAGTGACTAGATATGTCAAATATCTCAGATTTGAACACTTATAGTCGAGGCACTCATCTTCAGAGTTCAATCAGCTTGACTCTGTATTTCTGACGTTGATAGTTTGTTGTATAACAACTTGATACAACAATAACATATCAGAGCTTACTCGACCAACCAACGCACACTGGAGTGTACAACAAACCATTGTGTAGTGGCATTCAGGTCATGTCTTTTACCACAGTCACCTCAATCACTGGTCAAGGTTTCAAATCCCACAGTGTTTGATATACACCAATACCCAACACTCTGTTGAACCATGCTACTGTGAATTTTGCAAAGCGTTTAGAACGCCATGTGGAATGGAAACTAGACTTCAATTTCCATCAATATCAAAACACCAATCGACAATTTGGAACCACATTCAACGTCGGTTTGACACATTGTTTACAAATGCAATATCGCAAATTGTACAAGAACATACGCAGTTTGTTGACATGTCCCATGCGATTTCAGACCACAACTACCAACAGTTGATAACCTAATAGCAAATACACATTATGAGCAACAAGACCATTGACACACATACCTTGGAATTATGAACAAGATGCTTATAGATATTGAAAACACCAAGAAACAACTAGATGAACTCGATACTCGACAATCACCACATACATTCAGTGTTGCACCAATTTGTTGATTCCAACATCACCACATAATGTTGGACAATACAGCATGTCAATGGCACATCAATGACACATGAACAGACGCTAAACATCAGTCAATATACATGTCAAAATACACCACAATTAGTCGAGTTTCAAATGGTCACATACAACACATCAACACGAATTATAAATGTCTGCAAACCGTGCATATGCATGCTCAATCAATGGTGATATACCATATACACAACCAGTTTAAATATGGCTGGTAAATAACTGCTATTGGCCAAGTTATACATGTTCAAAGTGGACCATTTGCATCATCACAATCGCGTACTAAATGGCCTATTTCACAACCAATACTCAAGCCTGTGTTGATATGGTGACATGACAATACTTGTATATACTTGGTATTGTATCATGTACAATTTCAATACAATCCATGCATGTTTGATAACACAGTAATTGAATAGCTGACGTTTTGTAGGTTGGATATTATAGTCGATGTTTGACGTGTTAATAACTCGGTCTACAATGGTCGTACAATGTCGAAATCAACTGCAATGTATGGTACACATATAGTCATGTATTGTGTATATGATTACGTCGTCATTGGGGCAGTATATCAATGTGTATCATGACCATCAAATGCATGTCCGAAAGTGTCGTTTTGACGTGTTTGATGTCGAATATCTTGACCAATAGTGACACTAGTTGCATGCGATTGACACTGAACATGAGTATACATGCATACTATATACTGGACATGCATCAGGCCATATCGTCAATTAAATTGGAAACATGTTATAATCACGACTGTCGACTGAATTGGACGCAACTGGAATACACTCAAAACATACGATATTACACTGTAGTTTGAACTGTATACACATCATATATTCATGTTACAATGGCCGATACATTCACTTGATTACAATACATATCGATGACTGGCATATTTACTAACGATTGATTGTGTAATGTATGAATATCAAATGCACTGTATAGTTTAATTGACGAGTGTATTTGACGAGTATTTAGACTAGTATTCTGACCGGTATTTGACGATTGTTTGACGATTGTCTAAACCTGCATTCTGACCAGTTGTTTGACTGTTATTCTGACTTGTATTTGACGAGTATTTTGACGAGTATTTGACGAGTGTTTGATTAGTTTAACCAGTATTTCAACCTGCATTCTGACTAGTTGTTTGACGATTGTCCAGACCTGCATTCTGACTAGTTGTTTGACTGTTATTCTGACCTGTATTTGATCATATTTGACGAGTATTTTGACTTGTA